TAAAAAGGCTATTTAAATTTTTATTATTTTATTATAACTTCTTATTTATTAATAAATTTTATAATTTTATAAAATTTATTTAAATTATAATTATTTATTTAAATTATTATTTAAAATTTATTTTTTAAATTATCCTTAATGGTTATAATAAGTATTTATTTCTTTAGATTATAATTATATTATTCTTTAACGTAATTAAATATCCTTTATAAGTAATTTTTATCTATATTTTATCCCCTTTTTACTTTAATGGTTAATAAGGATAATTAGGATATTAATTAATCTTTTATTTATTTTTTATTATTGTTAAAATAACGTAGGCAATCCCATTTATTACATTTATAAATATTTTCTTAAAAATAGTAATTATTAATAATAATATAGTTCTTAATATTTAAGGCAATTTAAGAAATTTAGATATTAAATGCTCTTAGGGATATTGCTCTTGTAACTTAAGGTTTAAATTATTCTTTTAATATCTTAAATTATTTATAAAATACTTTATAATTTTTAAATATATGGCTTATTTTATTATAATTATAATATTTAATTTTAATTATATCTTTCTTAGGTTTTTCTATTTTAACTATATTAAAATTAACTTCTTTAATTTCTTTTTTAGTATAAATGAAAATAAGTTTTTTAATTTTCTTTTTTTAGAACCTTTTATATAACCTTTTATTATAAATAATAATTTATTTAATATATTTATTAATATATTAAGATCTTTTCTTTTTAGAGATTTTATCTTTAATTTATATGGTTAATCCTTTATAAAAATAGTTAAATTGAATATCTTTAAGAAGTTAGGCAATTGTTATAAATTGTTTAAACTTAATAATATACTTTAAGGCTTTTTTAATTTATTTTAAATTCCAAATAACCTTATAAACATCTTTTTTCTTAAATAAGTTACTAAATATTAATTATATTTTATTTTTAAAGTTAAAATATTTATTAAAAATATATTAAAATTCCTTTATTTCCTTTTAAATATTATTAAAATAGTTATTTATAATAGATTATAACCATTTAAAAACACCACCTTCTAAATATTAATATATAACTAAAACCTTATATTCGTCTTTAATAAAATTATTTTAATAAAAAATTAAATAAAATTTAATTACATTAAATTAAGCTTTTATATTTATAATACCATTATACTTAAATAATAATAAAAACTTAAATCCTTAATTTATTAATAACAGGACCATAAGTTTTTATTATTTTATAAATTATAGGTTAAAATCTTTATTAAAATTATAATTAAAATTATCATTTAGATTATTATTTTTCTTAATCTTAAATTCGGTTAATTTTTTCTTAAAAGCTTTAAACTCGTCCTTAAGTTTTTTATAATCCTTATATATTTCCTGAAATCCATCTCTTAAAAGGTTAATTTACTCTCCTTAAATTAAAGTTTTTTCCTTTTTTTTATTAATAATTTCCATAAACTTCTTTTCCTCTCCCTTAAAGAATTTAGCTTAAAACTTAGTTTTAATAAGGGCTATATTATTAATAAATCTTAATACATAATTAAGAAATAATATATTAAACTCGTTATTTTATCTTATTTAATTAATTTCTATTAAAAATTAATTTTTAAGGAATTTATTTAATAAATATTTTAAAATAAATAAGTTATAATTAATTTAAATAAATAAAAAAATATTATTATTAATATTTATATTACATTTAATTAATAACAGTACTAATTAAAGAACTATTAAAATATGATAAACTTACACTTAAATCCATTAAAATATAATAATAAAGATTTTAATTTTAAATTAATAATAATAATATAAATTAAATATTAATAAAACATTAAAAATATTTATTAAAAAGGTTTAAAGTCCTTTTCTTTATATAAATTAAATATAAAACTTAAATTAATAATTAAAAAAACATAAATAAATGTTTAAATATATAATAATTTTAAATATCCTATAAACCTTTTCTTTACCTGGTGTTTTAAAGGTATTGTGGATCTTATGGATCTCGTTAATCCAAGGGATCTCATAAGATCCATAAGATCTATAAGAGTCTTGAGATCCAATTATCCGAGGTTTAACCGAAAAGGCGTTAGTTGACATCCCCGCTTCCATATTAGGTATGGCTTTGTTGCCTGTTGGTTCGTAACAATACCCAAAATTCCTAATTTAAAATATCCTTAATAATCTTTTTTAAAATCTAAGGATTTAATTTATAATTGCACTACCTTTTAATGTAATTAAGCATTTCTTATAAGCAATTTTTATTTATATTTTATCCTTTTTTAATTTTAATAAATAATAGGTATTATTAAAATAAGAACTAATCTTTTAATTCTTTTTTATTATTATTAAAATATTATAAATAATTTTAATAATTATATTTTTAAAGATTAAATTAATAATAATAATTATTTAAAATAACGTAATTTTTAATATTTTAAATAATTTAAAGAATTTAAATATTAAATACTTTTAAAAATATTACTTTTATAACCTTAAGCTTTAATTATCCTTTAAATACTTTAGGCTATTTTTAAAATACTTTATAATTCTTAAATATATAACTTATTTTATTACAGTTATAATATTTAACTTTAATTATATTTTTTTTAAGTTTTTCTATTTTAATAATACTAAGGTTTATTTCCTTAAGTTCCCTTTTAATACGTAAAAAAAAGGTCTTTTTTGTTTTCTTTTCCTAAAACCTTTTATATAATTATTTATTATAAATAATAGCTCGTTCAACATATTTATTAATATGTTTAGGTTTTTTTTCCTTAAAAATCTTATTTTTTACTTAAATTACTAATCCCTTATAAAAGTAATTAAATTAAATGTCCTTTAGTAATTAAGTTATTACTGCTAAGTATTTAAATTAAATAACATATTTTAAAACTTTTTAATTTATTTAAAATTTTAAATAACCTTATAAGCGTTTTTTTTTAAATAAGTTATTAAATATTAACTTTATTTTTTTCTTAAAGTTTATATATTTATTAAAAATATATTTAAACTTTTCTATTTTTTCTTAAATTTTATTTAAATAATTATTTAAAATAAATTAAAGTTATATAAAGGCATTTCCTTTAAAATATTAACAAATTGTTAAAACCTTATATTTATCTTTATTAAAATTAACTTAAAAAAATATTAAATAAAGTTTAGTTATATTAAGTTAATTTTTTACATTTATAATCCCATTGTATTTAAGTAATGGAAAGGGTTTAAATCCCTTATTTAAAAGTAAAGGAATAGTTAAGTCCTATTATATTAAATATAAATTAAGTTCGTTATTATTATTATTTCTTTCTTTTTTAATTTTAACTAATTTATTATGTAAGTTTATTAGCTTATCCTTAAATCCCTTATATACGTGATATACCTTCTTTATATCCTTTTTTAATTATAATATTTTGTTTAAATTATTATTTTTATTATTGCTCTTATTTTTAACTACTTTTTTTTTTCTTTTATTAATAAATTTAACAGTTTTTTTTACTTTTTCTTTAAGCTTTAATAATCTTACTTAGGATTTAATTTTTATTAAAACCATATTATTAATTAGTTTTAAAACATAATTAAAAGGTGATATATTAAGTTAATTACGTTTTTTTATTTAATTAATCTTAATTAATAATTAATTCTTAAAAAATTCGTTTAAAAAATATTTTAAAATAAATAAATTATAAATAATCTTTATAAGTAAAAGGATATTTTTATTAGGGCTAATGCTTATATTACACTTAACCAATAATATTATTAATTAAGAAGTTATTAAAATGTAATAAACTTATACTTAAGTCCGGGAAAATGTAATAATTAAAGTTTAATTTTAAATAAATAATAATAATATAAATTAAATATTAAAATATTATTAAAAGCGTTTATTAAAAAAGCTTAAAGTCCTTTCTTTTATATAAATATAAAACTTAAATTAATAGTTAAAAAAACGTAAATAAATAATTAAATATATAATGGTATTATATATCTTATAAACTTTCCTTATTCTGGGCTTAAAGCCTTTATAATCTTAGTAATTTTAATAATCTCATGAAATTATTAAGATCACTAAGATCACTTTCTTTTAACAAGCTTATTAAGGTTTATCCGTTTTCCTGATCGTACGTTTTAAGATCCCCGCTTTTATATAAGGTATAGTTCTTGTGCTGTTAGTTCGTAACATAAATCCCTTACTTACGCCATAAATTAAGGATTTAACTTATTTATAATTATAAATTTTACTAAAACCGTAATATTATTTACTTATTTTATGTTATTTAAAGTTATGTTTTTTTATATAAGTATAATTAAATGTATAAAAGCTTTTTATATTAATACAAAATGTTTAATGTTAATAAAATTATAAGGAATTAAACCGATTAAATTATTAATTAATATAAATACAAATAAAGCATATATAAATGGGAAATAAATTTAACCGTTTTTTTAAATTTATTTAGTTAATTTAATTTTATTAATAAAATATAATTTTAAATATAATTATTATTTTATTTAAATTTAAAAAATTAACGAAAAAATATTATTTAATATATGTTATTTATTTTATATAATAAATAAAATAATTAAATGATTAGTAATAATTTAAATTATAAATGTAATTAAAATATAATGCTTTTTATTTAATAAATAAATTAAAAAAATGTATTTATAAGTAAATTTATTAATAATATTAATTTAATAATAGTTAAATTAAATATAATTAAAAATTATATAAAATTAATTTTTATTTATTTATTTTTTAATTCTTTTTAATTTTTTTTTTAATTTTTTTAAATATTATTATTATATTAATTTACTTATTATTTATTTTATTTTATATATATATTTATTAATTTTTAAAATTTATGAATTTTTTTATATTTAATTAAAATTCATAAATTTTTTATTTTTTATAAAAAAACTTATTTTAATAATTTTTATTTAATTTAATTTAATTTAATAATGATAACTTTTTATATACTTAAAGCATAAGTTTATGTACTCGGGTATAAGTTCGGACATAGCATTTGCACTGCGCGCGCCACCCCTTTTCTTGAAATCTCAGCTTGTTGACATAACCAACATAGTTAACTAGGTAATTTACATTGCTATCTATCGTATTAACTGTTGTTTCACCACTTTACCAATTGAGGACCTTGCATCCAACTTATTTCCCAACTTTCCATCCAAGTTTCGATATCGGTTATGTCACACCTTGTGATTTGTTATACTTGCAGTAGGATTCCCACTGTTCTTTTATCTTGTCTCCCGTACTTCTCTTTTTTCCTTTGGACTCTTCTCTTTCTTTCGAGTTAGCATCCTTTTTTTGTTCCTTAATTCAGCGTTCCATATTCCACTTTAAGCAATGTCTCGAAAATACTTCCTAGTTATTGCCGCTACTATCGTCTCATGCCTCCTTTTGGTTTTCTTCTCTTCGAATAGTTCTATCAACCCTACTCGGCTAACCTGTCAGTCGCTATTTGTTTTAAATTTTCTAGCCTCGCTTTTTTAACAACCGGCTAACTCATTCACAGTTAACTCAATTGGCAATGTAAACCTGCCGGTCAAGTCCGAGTCTTCACTCCCTCAAGAGTTTCCTAAAAAGATATGGCAGAGCTGGAAAGATGACTCCGATGACCCAACTGATCGAACGATGGGCTTCCCGCGTCAATGGCGGGCCTCGAATCCTCATCATCGATACGAGCGTATCACCGATGCTAATGGCCAGACTTTCGTAGCAGAGCGCCTTCCTTCAGACATTGCAAATCTGTTTTCTACTTTCAGTGATCCAATCCTAAGAGCCGATTTCTTAAGGTATTGCGTGATGCTAGTTGAAGGGGGTGTATGGGCCGATATCGATGTACGACCTCACCGTCCTATCTCGGAGTGGATTCCACCGCAGTACCTGGACAAGGCGAACCTCGTTGTTGGAATTGAAAACGACCACCACAAGAGGCCAATTTGGCGAGGCTCTCCATATTCTGTTCAGCTCGCGCAGTATACCATCTTGGCGAAGCCTCATCACCCGGCTATTGCCAAGCTAGTAGAACGGGTCAAGGAGAACCTGAAGACATTGTTGCAGTCCAAGAAGCCAGGAGAAGCAATCACTTTTGAAGATGTTATGGCTACAACCGGTCCGTTCGCATTTACCGAGGTCTTAATGGATTATTTTACCAATACTACAGGCCTTAAGCACACTGGAGATGAGCTTGATGGTCTTAGAGAGCCGAAGCTTATAGGGGATGTATTAGTGTTGCCTAAAGATGCCTTCGGCTGGTTACCGCAAGAGCATTATTTGGACGCGGGAGATCCCGGAATTCTAGTTGAGCATCTGTTTATAGCGTCCTGGCGAGGCAGTCATCCGGGTTAGCAGCGTACGGGCTGCGAATAACTACTACATCCCCTATGAAGCACTTAGTTAGTACTGCGGTTTACATGATTTATTTAATACGTATAATGATTCAGTCAAATTGCCCTACAAATTTGCACGCGACTCCATTATTCGGAGATGATGCCACTGTACTTGGTTCAATTTCACTTTGGACCACAAGTCCTGTCCTATAACACCTATGGTCCGATTTAGCGATACTTGGGTCTCGGGTTTTGCTTCGCGAGACGCCGGGGAAGGAATAGTGTCATTTTGTGGCCTTGATCCTTCATAGGCTATCATTGGGAGATCTTCATGCGGTAAAAGAACGCCCTAGTCCTCTATTGGTTGTTAGTTGCGAGTGTTGGTTGTTTACTCGGAGTTGTTGGTTGCAGTTAATTGTTGAAAGCATGGGTATGGACCCACAGTTTAGCCCCTTATTTTCAATATTGTACTCTACTCCCAGCATCATACAGGCCTACCCGCGCACTATTCAGTTATGGCACGCATCAGGCGTGGTATACTATGTATATGATGATGAGTTGCAAGTTGAGCCGACATGTTCGGATATGGGATCATATGGGGATTCGGATTTTATAAGTACCTCCGATGATCGCAAAAGCAGGGGTTGAAAGCAACAGGTAGGTATCTACGCCACTGGCAATACATTGAATTTGCTATAGAGAATACGTCCCTGCCACTGCGTCCCTGCCACCCTCACTGTGAATTCACTTTCCATTTGTTTTGGTGTTCTGTCTTATCATCGCTGAGCAGGTTTCGACGACCTGAAATTTACCTACAATGACGAGGCTGTCTTATTTCTGTCTACAGCTTGCACTTTTCCATTTTTTTCGTGCTACCTTCGCTATCAGCAGCCATTGCTATTACCCGAATCAACAGGAAGCCGAAGGTGATTCTCCTTGCAACCCAAATGCGGACTCGAGTGCCTGCTGTGGTCGCGGTATTGGTACGATTTGTCTTTCTAATGGTCTATGTCAAGGACCTAACGGAGCTGTAATTCGGGGCTCTTGCTCGGACAAGTATTGGGACTCGGGAAACTGTGCCAACTACTGCTTAGGTGAGTTAATTAATCAAGTAACTGTCTGGTTGTCTTCTACCCGGCTCGAGATATCATTGGCTAACGTGTATTTCGAATACGAAGGCGCTTCCCTTGGGGGTACTGATCTGGTTTCTTGCGCAAACGTCACTAAGGACGACACATCTTATTGCTGCAATGGTGCTGAAAATTGCTGCGATTCTGGAGACGGCAGGTTCTCGGTTGGTCCGCATAATCCGACCACATCAGCGACCTGGAACGCGGTTTCAACCAAGTTCATACTGGTTGGGATAACATCAACATCTTCGTCAACGCGTACTGCGTCATCAATCCCTACAGCATCCTTGACTAGGGAGTCGACAACTTCACCCCCAGGCTCAACAACAGCTAATAGTACTATTAGCGGCGAACTTCCAAACGATATTCCTACCAGCACAAATATAGTTTCGCAACCCGAGAGTACCTTTAATTTGAATCAGGGAACTGCTACATCATCTGATCTTAGCGATGGTGCGAAGGCCGGGATTGGTATTGGCGTCGCCATAGGGACTCTACTTATTGTAGGTTTGATATATGCATTATGGAGGTTGAAGAAAATGAAGAATAGGCTGGCCAAGGACCAACCTGGAAACCAAAACAACCAAGCCCCTACATTTCCCACATCCGAGGTCCTGATGCCTCCGAATAATGTCAACATGACATCAGCTCTACCTCCCAAAAGCCAAAGTCAGATATCAGAATTGTACGGGCACGATAATCATCTTCACGAATTACCTACCGAATCTACATAGCGGATATGCGATCGATATTTTGGGATCGATAAGATATGTTGAATAATAATCCATCTCTCCTTTATTCGGATGTTGCCGTCATAACTGGGGTGTCGATATCTTGCACCGCTGTGGCATCATCGGTGCCAAGCCGGGGCTGGTAGTGGGTTTAGGAAGGCGGCCATCGTTATCGCTTGTGTTTGCGACTTTGCGTTGCATTCTATACCACAAAGGCCTTACAGGACAGTAATAGGATGCACGTTATCGGAATAGTGTATATAATATATTTCCTCGTCTTCCTTTGCGCACTAGCAAAACTCTACCTTGTAGGTATGCTTTAATCTACAAACATCATGAAGCTCATTACGTTTATTTGGTTTATTGCGATTCTTGAGACCACTGCTCTGGCTAGCCTGAATGGTAGCGTCCGGTTCGAAGGTTTCAAAGTTTATAGGATAGAAACGGGCGACTACGCTGCCGACCTATCATCAACATTTGAGGATTTAGCTGTCGTAGAGCTTAGCCGTAATCACGGTCATGGAAGCTTAGCCACCATCGATATCGCAGTTCCTCCGGAATATGTTGCAGCCTTCGATACGCTTGACCTCAACGTCACCATACTAAGTAAAGACTTAGGAGCAGACATTGCGACAGAAGGTCCCCTAGGTAGCTACCCAGGTTCGCGCTGAAAACCCCATGGTTTCTTCAAAGTTCTCACTAACTTTCACGGAGAACTTGATGATCATGGTCTTCCTAGTTTATCTTGGTTCGACTCATACCATGCTTATGGCGATCATGTTCGCTACTGGGCCGACCTCCAGGCTGCGTTTGTTAACAACTCGGAACTTATCCAAGTTGGAAGCTCGTTTGAGGGGCGAGCTATCCAGGGAATTCATCTCGTATGCCATACTCATAGTTCCCCCTTTTAACCCTCTTGCACTCGTTAGTAGGAGAACTTATTACTGATATTTCTTTTTTGTGGCGGTGGTAGTGGGGTATCAGTGGCAAGAATTCAAAGCCAGCAGTCATCTTCAATGGGAACGTACATGCTCGTGAATGGATCACCTCTATCGTGCGTCTTGATATACATCGCCCCCTTTTCAACCTGCACATATAGCTATCCAACTGATTTCACAAACTTTTCCTAGGTGGTCGAGTACCTCTTATACCAGCTTGTGACTGGATATAAGAACGACACGACAGTACAAGCGGCGCTAGATAATTACGATTTCTATGTCCTTCCAGTTGTGAATCCCGATGGTAAGCTAATAATTGCCAGAACTCGAGGTGAAAATGATCCATACCACTAATTATAATCTCATCAAGGATTCGTATATTCCCAAACAACGAATCGACTCTGGAGGAAGAATCGTCAGACGAGAGACAACACGACCGCAGTCGGCACCGATATCAACCGAAATTGGTCTGTCGGGTTCGGTGGCGGTGGGTCTTCCTCCAACCCGGGTTCCGAGACATTCAGTGGTTACCGACCCGGAGACGCGCCGGAAACTGCCGCACTAATGGAGTTCGCTCAAACGCTCGCTACTGACAAAGGAATCAAGTTGTATATTGATTGGCACAGTTATGCGCAAGTGATCTTACTCTCATACGGCTACACTTGTGATAGCTTCCCACCAAATATCGACCGTCAAATAAGTCTAGCTAGCGAAACAGCAGCCAGGATTGCCCAGCCTTGTATGTCTAGTATTATTCCTTCTTCTTCCGCCATTGCACTTAAAGCAACCTTGGGCCTACGTGCAAGCACCTCAAAACTGTCGATTACTGCTTATAACGAGCCAGACCGCTAACCAACCTGAGGGTAGACAACACAACCTTTGAGTATGGCCCTGGGTGTCTAGTGTTGTACCAATCGAGTGGGAATGGCAGGGATTATATGACCGATGCAGCTGGGGCGGAGTTTGGATGGGGAATCGAGCTTCGATCCACCTCTTACGGGTTTGTGCTTCCTGCAAATCAAATCCTACCGAGTAGCATAGAGATCTGGGAAGGTATGAAATATTTGTGGACGAATATGTAAGAGGACAATCTGACAACGGTCGAACCGTTACCTTTGGAGGCACTTAATAGTATCCTCACCGTACAATATATGGTATCAGGTTTCATTGGTTTTTACTTCTTAACCCCCTTTTATAGATACATGGGTATCTACCTGGGTACCTAAGGTATATATTAGACACCAAACTACCTCATATTGTGCTATTAGATTCATTTTCTGAACAGTACCAGAGTTTATGTCAAGTACCGCAAAGACTGCTATGATATTGGGCCTCTTCAACTTGGGAATAATATTTTTTTTTCCATTACTACTGCTAAGTAGGCTGTAAAAAGAAGTACCTAAACAGAAATACTATATACTAGAAGAGTCTCCAACTGCCAGCAGTACCATCCTTAGTATTTGTACTTACTAGTATTCACACGTAAGCCCTCAGTGTTTGCTATGACCTTGCTACTCATTGCGTGCTTCCTACAACGTATGCGATGTCTAGCATCATTCAACACAGTGACAAAGGGATTGTTTTCATAGCCTCTTAGGCCTTCCAAAGACTTCCCTTCTTTCCTGACCTTCTCCAAGGAAAAAGGCTGTGGCCTCCCTTCATACTCACAGGACTTAGTATTTGCCATGGCTCCGAGTGCAGTCCAGCTAATACGTTCCCTGCGCGTCCTCAATCGCTCGTGGGTGAGGCTTTGTGCTAGCGCAGCGAGCTCTCGCATTTCGCTCAGTTCACGATCTATCTTGCAAGTTTGATTGAGAACACCGAGTCGAGGATTCCCGTCAGGTAGAAGAGCGTCGAAGTAGTCATGCAAAGTGTAATGACGGCTGCGAGGTAGTAGATGAAACTTTGTCGGAGCCGGCATAATGGTATGGATGGTGTACAAACTGCCTACGAAGCGACCTTCTAGCCTCTGACGGATACCGAGAAGCACACCAATCTGCGCGAATGGGTCATCCGTGAATGCAAAATGAGTGATTAAGGGGTAAAGAGAATCCCTCTTAGCTTCGAGTCGTTGCGACGAGGTATTCCCAAGAGGCAAGGTCATTTCTATCGCTGCAGCGCCAAACGTGAAGACTTGGAGCTTGCTTAGTTGATCCCCAGGAGGGAAATCGGCGCAAAGGCGGGAGAGGAGCCATGAAACATCCAGTACCCCCGTGTTATGGGCGAGAATGCGAACACCTTCTGTTTCTGGGTTTAGAAGACTTGCCCGAACGGAATTGTAGACATTTACAGATCTTGTCGTAGGTATATGAGCGCTCCGTTGGAGAAAGAAAAGTATCGTGTCCAACAAGAAGCCCAGTCTATAAGCCATGAAGAAGTGCATATCATGACCAAAGATCCTCGTTAGCCTGGGTGCAAGTTCCTGGCACACATGGTCATCGTCCATAAAACCACCAACCACGAACCAATCGAAGTCCTGCGCTTTGCTACTTGAAATATCATCTTGGGCCTTTTTGGTGATAAATTTTGAAGACTGAGACCCGCCGTTAATATATCGGATGATAATCCAGATGAAAACGGCTTGTAAGCCTAACCATGGTAGAAGGACTAGCCCTGGAACAACTAGCCATAGGAAAGAGATAGAAAGCAACCATTGTAGCTGGAGAAGTGATAACAAAATGTAAAACGTCACTCCCCGTACTTTGGCCCAGCTCGTTTCGTGTCGACGGTTAACTATCGCCACGCTAATAGCCAGTAGAATCCGTGGTACAGCAGAAGCGACGTATGGAGCGTCCGCTTTGAGTAAAGATAGGAAGGTTTGCTGGTGGCTTAATGGTGTTGTTCCTAGAGAGCTGTCTTTTAAGGCCAGTGCGAGACTCAAACGGAATGTTTCTCGTGTGAGAGCGTCGCGGTAGCTCCTGCTTGGGGACATGATATGAGGCGACGTGAGAGATAGTCATCGGTCCATGTTGTAGAAATTTAGCGTGGAGTTTTCAACTCCCAAGGCTAAGCATAGATAGGACCGGGTACGTAAAGAAAAGGAAACTATGTCGAATGTTATTTATGAATGGAATTTGTTGACATTCCAAACCAGATCGAGCACGCATTCCAGCGGCACACGCGTTCATATCACAGTTAGCTGCCCTCTAACAAGCAAATAAATGGCTAGACATATCAATACATATCACTTCATGCTCTTGTTAGGACCGTTTCATTTCATTCAGAGTGAACGTATCCTTGAAGAAAAACGTTTGCAAGGTCGACTTAGCTGGTAAAATTCTCCTAGTGTTTGCAGCACATGCACGTCACATCTAGCAACGCCCTTGGTATCTAGCGGGCGTCTTGAATAAAAGGAATGCTTTCCTTCAAATGCAAGTCGTCAACTTTCCACATCGGTGTACAAAACGTATAGACGGAGGAGTGTTCCGCTCCCGTCGAACGGGCCTTGTCTCAATCGGTCATGTCTCCGAAATGTGAGGCTGTGGATATTCGCAGAAGAACGGATAGCATCGGGCATTTCCTGGGGAGGGGTGGATTTGGCCCATTCTGACAGCTTCTGGAATGGTCGTGGCGGAAGGAGAGAAGTCGGTAGACGAAAGTTGTAAATTGAAATATTCTATTTCAAGGCTTGCAGAATCGTTGAGGGGGTTGCTTGGGGATTCTTCTGATATGCTTGGCGTGGGCGTGGGCGTTGATTTAGCCTACGGCTGAAGTGATGAAGTGATACCCAAAAATTGTGTGTACGGGAAATCTACCTAGCTGTAGATCATTGCTACCTTGCAGCCAGTCAAGGGACCTATTGGGTCAATCAAGGTAAACTAAAATTAGTATATTCAGATGGCTTGGAAAACGTCAAACCTGGGATTTCCGAGATCCAGAACGGCAAAGGTACGTACTACTTGTAGTTGCCCTCAGAGGCTAGAACTCTTGGGTGCTATCAACGTTAGGTATATGGAAGTTCTACATATGTACCTAGGTAGGTAGGTATGGGGTGAGACGTATGGTGATTTCCTCGATCAGATCGTAATACCATCGTACCCATACCAAAGATACTATCACACTTTCCTAGGTACTCGTTATATTGCGTACCTGCAACCCGTACGATATATGAGGAAGGAAAGACCACCTGTCTTTGTAGGTACATTGCCGTAGATACATACATACATAAATACATACATGTGTACCTAACCTAAGGTAAGTACCTAAGGTTACATAACCGTACCTACTATATAGGTAGATAATGGGACGTGATTGCCTGTTTACTCAAACGCCTACCCTAGGTACCTAGGTAGCATATAAATGTAATTAACCTTTTCGTTTATCCTTGGCCATCTCGTACCTTCCATCACCATCGTATAGTTATCTTCTTCTAGTCGGAAAGGGGGAAAGAACATAAATTCACCTGTTCCCTTACCCAAACCATCGTATCCCAGTGTCATCTTTCCACCAAACCATCACCACCTAATCCATAGGCAGAAAAAGGACACACTGTTCTTCTACCTTTGCATTGCACGATCACTATATATCCCTATAATCTAAACCTAGTCTCTCTGTCCTACTCTACACAGTCAACCCCATTCAACCAGAGTCACAATGAAGTGGCTTGACAGCCTTCTCCCTCTTGGTATCCTTACCTCTTTCGTTTCCGCTGCCCCCATTGTGGAGCGACAGCTCGACCTATATGAACTCCAGATTTCTTGGTAATTGCAAACCGTTCTCTCTATTGATTTTGCCTTCTTCCCTTATTGTTGCTGATAGTATTCGTAGCCCCGCCAACAAAAAACTCGACGGCCGCTTCATTGGCTTAAAAAACAACACACTTGGTGTCTTCGATCGAGATGATGTCTCGCCCGTCAAGGTCTACACTGTGGATAGTGAAAAGGAGGGCTGCAATGAGCTCCACACGTACCCGGTGGGCATTGTTGACCACTCCATAGGTCTCTTAGGCCCGCCTGATCTGTTGACTCTCGTCGATATGATGAACCCGCGCTCTATCAACCCCGGTGACGGGGATATTGCCCAATGGGACACTTTCCAGCTTTCAGACGGCAAGCTTACCAATGATGCTGAAGGCCAATGGCTAGCATTCCCGAGTGGTGGCGATGCTTGGAAGGTCAAATGGACTGATGGTAAGTAGATGGAGATGCTCTTTGGCTCGGCTAATTACTGACCAGGACAGGCTTGGCTGTTGTCACTACCGACTTTATGGTTGTTGACGTTCTACTCAAGAGTGCTGGCGAGGGTCGCTATAACGGAGACTGAAATGGTGGACCCGCGATATAGGATGGGAACCAAGGGTAAATAAAAGGAATATGATGTATTAGGTGGGCAGGTATCGTATATAAGGCTCCACGTGTGTAACTCGTATACATCCCAGCCACACATATTCTAACAATATTGAGGCCGCGTAAAACCGCCGTATATACGTCCCACCCTAATCGTGATGTAAGATGCGGCAGCCTTGTTCTATGACCCGTGAAGGTAGTGTCAAGGTTCGGATAAGTTGTTCAACGTGCAAGTATGTTGACCTTTAATGTAACAGCGCGCTCGGAAAGCAAAAACGAGGGGGAAAAACGACAAGGAAATATGGAAAAGCTAACATGTAAAGGATCCGCAAAGTGAGGTCCGACGAGGGCAAACCACACTGCCAACGCTGTGTAACTACGGGCCGCAAATGTGACGGGTATCTGCACTGCGTGGCACCGTCCGGGCCACCTATTCCCAGGAGTCTACAGTGAAGATGAGAGGCGAGCGCGTGTGTATTACGAAATGGCTAGTCGGCAACAGGTTTGCACTTAGACGGTATAACTCGGCCACCCGAGAGCTCAAGATTATGAACAACGAGCCTTTGGTTTTGGTAGCGTGTATATTATTCATCTGCATCGAAGTTTTACAAGATAACCGGGACGGAGCCATGCAGCATTGCAAGCGCGGAGTCTGCATTCTGAACAACATTGAGGCTGCCTTTCCATGGAGAAAAGAATATCTCTCTCCAATCTTCCGTCGGCTAACTCTAATTATATCCGTCCTTCTTCTCAATGGGTCAAACGGACTGCATTAAATTTCTTATCCTAGAAGACCGGGTTCTACAGGAGGACAGTAGAATTCGATATACACATTCAAACAATGCTCGGATTCATTCCACTCTAGCGTGTAATTAGTTGAAAATGGAGTAATATATTAAAATACAAATAATACACATAAGGGTCGTTTAGTAAAAAATGGTGTTGTCCGATTCGTGGAAGCAGCCAAGTCGGAAAACCCCAACTTCCCGTAACTTAGACATGCATTTCGATTGTGGAGGATCGAGCATCCCACGCATATCGGATCCTGCAGTATATTAGAATGATAATTGTTTCCCCGACGGTCTCTCGATACCACATTGGGGTACTTTAATTGAACCCCTCATTTTGTCCTACTTATGAATCTTTTCCCTTTGCTTTACTCGTCGTCACAACAGCTTGTACATTTGAGATAAAGTCACCATATAATCAGAATCGCTGAGGAATCAAACACTTACAGAAGTATCACTTGATATCCACACAACATGACCTCAGGCTCTAGTAGTTCAAACGAACCGGCGAAGCCGTCTCCGCAGCTTTCTCCGGATCTTCCGAGTACTACCACGTACCTAACAGGCCATAATGAAGAGGGAAAAGCGATCATACAGTCAGTGAGGCCAGCATCGTGGAAGGCCTTCGAAGGGGGTATTAGTATGTCTTTGGCTCAATGGAATTCCTTCCCTTTAAGTACCTAGACTCTGTTCGCGTTGGCTCCAACCTTGTCAGCGGAGATTATCTCGGACGTCGATCTCCTCGCTGTATTTGCTGTGTGTCACAATATTCTAACCTATGTTGTTATAGTGGGCTTCAACCAGATTTATACCAACAAATTCTTGCCGGATCTGAACAATGATGCCGATATAAAATTCCACGAGGAGATAGTCGCGGGAGGAAACCTTGGATTAGCCACCAAAGGCGGAACTGTCTGCCGTATGGTCGACTTCGGACCGCAGTATGAGTGTATGATGCATAGAACCAAGTCGCTGGACTTTGGTATATTGATCGAGGGCGAACTGGAGTTGAAGCTAGACGACGGCAGTATCACAAATATGAAGCGTGGTGATATAGCAGTTCAGAGAGCAACGATGCATTCCTGGCGCAATCCGAGCACCACTAACTGGGCTCGCATAGTTTTTGTGCTTCAGGATACTCAGCCGTTGTTTGTCGGGGGAAAGAAGTTCGGAGAAGACTACGGTAGAGGCACCACAGATCTTCCACGGAGCGGGAATGACGATGATTAAGTCTCTAGATGTACTAGAATTTAGATTTAGATGACGCTCTTTTATAAAGGCGAGGAAATGGTGAGAAATGTGTACCTACCTAAGGTACCTAGATACCTGACTTTATTAAATGTAATAAAGCGAGCTACCTAAAAGAGCAACTTCAATGCTTGAATCCCCCGCTGTAATGCCATTGGTCAATCACATGTAGAGAAAATCGTCAACGGAACGGTCAAACTTTCAATCGCTACCCCGCTGTACGGATCCTTAGAGGAGGTACCAGGTACGATCTAATCGATTGGGTGGGGATTTTATTGTAGTACAATAATTGTACATCTGAACTGTACTTAGGTAGGTTTTAGGTACTGCGTACATGTAGGAGAAGCTCCAAAAGCCCGTTATAATCAATCAGTCGATTTTATTGCGAAACTTCAAAAATTTATCGGCGACTTATGATTTTAAAACTATGACGGCTCAAAGATTATAACTACGCCATTTCACCTCCACCAACATCCTATACAAGGTGCTTAATGAATTAAGTTGTGTCTGATTTAATTAGACGTGCCTATAAACACATATACATTTGACATAAAAAAAAAACCCCCAAGGAAAAGAAAAACGAAAATTATGGCATCGCCCTATAGCCCGCGAAGCGTTGCCGACGCTACGCGATTTACTTCTAATACCCCCCATGCGAATGCGAAAGCCCCATTACGAACTCCTCTACAAAGCGGCTCTTCCGCATCTACTACTTCCTCACAGCCAGCCAGAAGCATGCCATCGCCCGGCATGCCCCGACCGTCGGCGCCGGAGACCATGGAAGAGCGTGTGCGCCGGTTGCGGGCCGCACATCTTGCGGCGAGGAAGCATGAGACGTCGCGGTTCGACCGTATCGTCGATGCATCTAGGAGGTACTTTGATGCTGCTCACAAGTTCACCGTCCTGGGCTTGATCGGATTCAGCGGTAATGCCTCCCCCAGAATCTTTTTTTTTCTTCTTCTCTTCTTCTCTTCTGATGCTCTCGGTCGAGACCTACGCACGAGAATCCTGAATCATCTCTTTTTTATACTTGGCTCCTAACTAGTATGTCTTTGAACAGGCCTAGCACTCTTCGTAACCGTCTACGCAACAGCCGATATGATGGTGTATAATCGCAAGCGCCGGAACGAGTTTTTCGCTCTACAGAAGCAGCTTAAAACCGATAGTCTAGAGACCGCACGTCTGGCGTATATGACGGGCACGGCATCTGCCGAACAGGTTGCACTGGTAGAGGAAGCCGAGGAAAAAGCCAGACAGTCGGGTGTGAGCTTACCACCCCTGTTATCGGCACCCAAGCCCATCGTTTCAGAAGGAGACGCAGTTGAGAGCACAGAGAGAAGTGCTTGGCCGGGAGAGTCCATGGTCGAGAGTAGCATGTCCGCTGCAAGTGAAGTGGAGAAGCCCAAGAAGAAAGGCCTCACGGCGTGGCTGTTCAGCGGGCTGAAGAAGGAAGAGGGTAGCGAGGAGCTCTTACAATTTGACAAAGAAACCGCCGCGGCGTCGGGTATTACCAGCGCGATTGGCGAGTCGCAACAGGCCCTGAAAGACAAGGCGAGAGCGGCATTTAACCAGGAGCGGGAGAGCCAAAAGAATGGGGGTCCTCTAGACCAACTCAGTTCGAGCGAAAAGTCTACAAGTAATGAGAGTAAGAAGAGCAGGTGGTGGTAAAGCTGACAGAAACACCTACAATGATGTTCAAAAGGTAAAATTCAGTGAAGTGATAAGGGTGGTGGTAAATGCTATATAAGCCCACCGGCTGCAACACTCCGTTGTATATAGGTACTCGACGCCGTTGATACCATCAGATATGGCATGGGTTTGGCAATACCTATTGATTACGAGAAGATTGGTGTATCATTACCACATGAAAAGGACAGAGAATTAGACTGGGCTGGGCGTATTGGAACGACAAATGACTATTCTACTGTATAATTCTTAGTTCACCACCCAATCTATCATGTAACTTAACTTACCTGGTAAATAAGGTAGGATACCCTCTTCACCACCAGAAAGTGAAGTGTCCGAGTAAGCTTGTAAGTCCTAAGGCGAAATGTTATATTTAGGGATTAAACGATATATAAACCCATCTTTGACTGCCTAGGTATGCGCTGATCTACCTACAACTTCTACCAATAATTCGTCCCTGAATTCACTTTTTGGAGACTTCCATTTTAACGACTGACATGCCCCCCTTAAGGCTAATGCTCTCTTGGTATAGAGGATAGGATGTTTGATATCTGAACCAACCCCGACTTATTTTTGGCTTTATGACTTTCAACGCCTATGACACCACGGTCTCCATAACGCGGAAGATAAAGAAGAGACGGGAAAAGAGAATTGTAGAGTTAATGCACAGATCCCATATCCTTAGCTCCCGATTTAGCCCTCCAACGAATGCACACATTTCCCCTTGAAGTCAATAATCAATGACCAAATGCAATAACGACCGTAAGTTGGGTATTAGCGTATGAACGGATGATGTATGCAGGTAACAAAAATAAAAATATACAGCAACGGTAGACAAACCTACGATAGGAGAAAAAAAGTCTCATGGTTTCACTATCATGCAATGCTTGTGTTCAAGGCAAGACATTTTGAGAGATGGATGAAATGAGATACCACTAGGCTCCAAGGTAAGCTGCGTATGTCGCCGTTTCTACTATTATAAATAGCAGAGTTCGAGAAACGGACTAGAAGATCTGTTTCACCCATGGAAACCCTTGGTTTAGGCAGGTTGACTGTAAACAGCACCTGGATGGGCCCAACACGCCTCGCGAAAGAAGAGGACATTAAATGTATCGAAACCCCTAGTACCTAATATCTGCTACGTCCGGAATGGGGCTGGCATATTTCTACGGACGGCCGAAAATGTGATACTTTGAGCGGGTGTCCTCAATGCGCAGTTCTATCCTTACTCGTCTCGTTTCTGGCATGCCCATGGAATATTGTATGTCGCCTCTGGCATATCTTATCGTATCGTCCAGGTTAGACCTAGAAGTTTCACGGTAGCCCTTTGCCAACTATGCTAAGAGATAATAATGTGATTAAAGTGGCCTGGAATCTTCATGCGGCACTTTTCGCAGTCAGCTCGGTAGCCTATACTGAATGACTTCTTCATGCCGGGTTGGAGCGTCCAGTTATTGAGGGTATGCTTGCTACGCGAATGGCCAAACTTGCCTCTCGGCGACGGTGTAGCTGGGGCCGAGGAAGGGGATGATGCAGGATCAGTATCCATCATACCGGCGTCATTTTCTGCGGTCTGAGGGATAGTTTGGATATTAGGGTGAATGGCCATGGCGTGAGGGTTTATTGAGTGAGGCATATGCGGTAGACAGGGTCTCTGGGGTTGAGATGCTGTAGAGTCCAACACCATACCTGGGCTTGCTGGCATGTCTTCACCGCCGCTCTCGCTAATAGGGGACGGGAGACGTCTATTTTGGACCATGGACCACTCAACAGCAGCTCCTGCATATCGCGGTACCGAAGACTCGTCCTGTCTCGTTGGGAACGGCTTAGCGCGCGCAAAATCAGCCTCACTGTCAGGTACCATAGCATCATCATTTGACCGGTTTGTCATATGCACCGTCTGGTTCATCGTTCCCCAACTCTGTCCTCGCACTTGCGCAGCAAAAGTGCAATGTATCGGGGTTGGTAACCGTCCGGTAATGCTAGCGTTGACGGAATCCGCTTGGGACGGACCGGGTTGAAAAGGTTCGGATGAAGAGTCCATCATCATATCCAAATCTCTATCGACGTCCATAGACGGATCCGATTGTTGCTGATTTCGCATATCTTCCGAGTCAGAATCAGTCGGCGTGATTGAGGAAGGAGGTGTGGTTGCTGCAGTTGGTACCGCAACCGGAAAGCCTGGTAGTCCTGACCGTCGTTTCTGTGTTGGAGAAGTGCGTAGAGGAAGGGATTGTAGGCGTTTCTGTTAGAAAAAAAGTCAGGTTAGTTGCGACGTTTCGAGTCGAGCAAGGGATTCGATAGCTTCGTGTGGGTTTCCATCGAATATGACCAGTAACTTATGAATTGACACAGCTTATACTAACATTACGATGCTCAGTAAAGCCCAAGGTCCCGTTCATACCATCCCCCGCGCTGATCTGGATACCGCTGTACTGCTCTTCATCTTCTCTCTGTCGTTTCCGCGGAAGCTCCTGCCAGTGAGGGTCGAACATGTTTTTATTATGGGAGATAACTTGGCCCTAGGGATTCAGAAAAGAAAATAAAAGCAAAAAACGTCGGAAAGGAATTAGGCTCGAATACCGGCGCCAATTAACAACAGAAAGACGATAATGTTAAGTATTAAAAAAAAGAAAAAAGAAAGAGAGACCAGGGCTAGCAGGCCAGGGGGCGGGTGCCAAAAGCGACTGAGTTATTAGATGCCAATTGTTAAGATATATCGATATAACCGCAGTGCCAGGCTTCAGCGGGGGAAGGATGGCAGAGGTGGAAATAGGAATGGGAGGGAGGGGGGATCAAGACTGGAATCTCGGTTCGTGGCTGGCTCCAGACCGCAGACCGCAGACCGCAGACAGACGGTTCTTCTTTCAGTTGTCGATTAACCGTTTACGAGAAAACAAACCAGTGAGCACTGAGAAATAGTTTAGAGTCTTCTTTCTCGCGTATCATATTCGATATAAACAAAACGCACGAAGCACATTGCTTGAAAACCAGAAGGAAAGGAGAAACATGTAAAGAAGATGTTAAATGCACCTGGCAGTAATTCACCGGTGACGATCCCAGTCCCATACATCTGACGATTGTGGGGATCTAAAAGTCTCCATATTAGGTATATGTAAATAGTATTGTACATGCACATGGATCATCGCACCACGTACGGCCAGCCTTGTGTATTATGTGCGTAAGCCATCTAGGCCATCCACACTGTAGGTACATCTCCCGCTTGTACCTCAGCCATGCTCATGCCTTGTGCACCTAAGGTACCTACTCCAATACCCAGGTAACCAGCCTCGTACATAAAGCAAATTATTATGCAGGTATCCACAATTCATTGAGTCGGCCCATCTACAATGATATGACTTGGCATTCATAAATTGGATGACATCTTCGTCCGTATGTACACCTTATGAAGGAAGTATCTAGTTGACAAATTTATTAGAGGTAACTTCTACTTTTTATTTCCCTCCTTTTTTATATCCAATACCGTTTTGATTTTGCCATTTGACTGATTCCAATCACTCTCCTTACACTCTATGCACCCACCTAGTAGGTAGTCTGAGCTCCTAACAAAAATATGGGATAGATGCGACTGGAGCACCACCTCGACCAGTTTTCAGCCTGGACAACAAGCTAACCTTCCAAGGCTAGGAAGGTTACTTACTGTTTCTATACCTGAAAAAAAATAAAACCTGCTTTGATCTTCTTAATGGGTGGTTGCAGTGATGAGATACAAGATGCGTTTCATAATCGACGCCGCGGCCGAACGGGTACTCATCTCATCAGCCCCGCTATGATAGCGACCCGGGCCGTCCACATCGTTCGTGGTTCATCCGGCCCTTACTCGACCTCTGGATAACAGGACTACGCGATATCTGTTATGTTGGCCTTAGCTACCACCATATTATAGAATCTGTTGTAAGATATAATCATATGATGATAAATAGTAATGGGGCATAAGGACTTTATCTCTATGTGGTGGGAACTGAGAGTATTATGCATGTGTGAATGTGAGATACCTAGAGAGTTACACGTTAGGTATCGGAGGACGTTATATCCCGTGTAAGACAGGAACCATAGGTGGCGGAATTGGCAAAGCCCGCGAGATGACAATGTCTATTGGCCTGTTAGCCTCGTACAATATTGCTATATCCAACCTCCTCTTGTTGGACTGGGTACTTGAATCTTTTTTTTTCGTATCCTCGTTGCTTTCTTCATGTAAAGTCCAGGTTATCCAAAAACGAACCAAGAGGCAAAACGGATAAAATAAAGTTACGAAGCCCGTGAAAAGCATGAAATAAAACATCACGTACGATATGACCACCAAAGCCCATTTTCCGAATAAAGAAAGGTTCTCGTACGGCATATTATCGATAAAATTTGGTTGTGTCTGGAATCTGGATATTCATACATAGAACTAGCCCGTTTGCTACGGACAATTCGACATCTCGTCCGTGACCCGATCTGATAGGTAGGCAGATATACTTATGTAGATAGCTAAAGAAGCTGGGTTTCTATACCATTACAAAGACATTTTTCGAAAATATTTCCTTTTCCATTTCAATGAACAAGTGCTGCACTTCGGAACGGAGGCTTTGCTTTTAAATATACTAAGGTTCTTAATCCAGATACTTTGGGTATTATTGTTCTGCTTAAGCTGATACCTAATTTTCAAGTATCGACAGATACCTCTTTGATGCTTTTAGTTAATTAATCGATTTTACGCTATCACATATGATAAACTCTAGCTGGGTTGAGTAGACACATCCTACAAGGCGGTCGTATTGCCTTTGAAAATACCTAGAGGGAATTGGTCGGCGATCGCCTGGTAACCAGCAACGTTGGGGTGTAGATGATCGCCACCATCGTATTGAGAAGCCAGGTTAGCTGCGTTGGAGGGATTCGCTAGAATCTTAGCAAAGTCAATTGAAGCATCGAAGCTGCCGTCTCCACCGCTTAGAATCCATTTGTTCACCGTTTGTCTTGTTTGGTCTCTAGTCGGGTTACTATAGCTTTGTCCGTTCCCGCCGAATGGTGTGATCGTTGCACCAAAGACGGTCAGACCAGCCGCTTTTGCATCCTGAGCGATTGTCTTGAAGGACGACGTCAAACTATTTCCGATGCGAGATTGCGTTCCTGAGTCCGTAGATCCTCCTCCGATGTCGTTAACGCCTTCAAAAATGAGTGCGTACTTGACACCGGCAGCTGTGAGTAGATCTCGTTTGTAGCGCTGCATGAGCGGCGGGCCAAGACCGCCAGAAAGAACGGTATTGCCGCCTGCTGCCTGGTTGCACACGGTAATGTTGGTGATTCCTTCTTTTTGCATCCTAGCTAAGAGTAGATCGGGCCAGCTAAGAGGATCTGTTAGTGAGATTATCGGTTATAATATAGATTCCTAACTATACCGGTTATTGGCATTATCAATGCTCCCGCGGCCATCCGTGATACTATCGCCAAGAATGACGAGGGCGGCAGTCGTCTTCGGGGCCCAGGCTTCGACAGCTGTGAGGAAATACCAGTGCGCTGTGCTCGCTCCTGTAACGGTCGAGGCATTGAGGTGGTTGCCCTGCTGCATCCAAGATGTTGTTCGGCTGCCCGGGTGCCCAGTAATACTACTCCCAGATTGGCCAGGTTGCGAATATAGACTGACAGTGACCATGGTTTGAGGGCCAACTTTGAAATCGACTGGGTCAGTGTATGCAACTTGACCCCTTGGGATCGTGACCGAACTTGAGCCATTAAAAGTAAGGCCCTTTAATGTCGCCGTATCAATGCCGTTAACACCAGCCTTACCTCCTGTTGGAAGGGCTATAGATGCTTCTGTGATAGGAAGGTCACTCCCACCAAACGTGTTGGAGATCTGGAAGCGAAGTCTTTCCGCACCTATGGAGAGATGAAGCGTCTGGCGAAGAGTGGCATCCTTAAACGCCGCAGACCCCGACTGAACTCACAGTTAGTAATTGGTCTCCAACTATCCAAATAAAGAGAATAGAACATACGAATGGGGAGGGCGGTAGGTTATTAGGTTCTACCAGCTGCGGCATCGAGGTCCACGTTGCCACCCAATGGGATTCTTCTTCCTGACAGGGGGCATTGCAAGTAGGAAGTGCATCAATGCATAAGGTCCACCAGAGTAGCCAGGTGGTCAAGATTGAGAAACGGAAGCTGAGGCTTCTCAGCGTAGTTGACGAGAACGCAGCTGTCATGTTGGCGAGGAGTAATGAGGAGACGAACGCCAAGGCATAGGAAAGATATCTATTACTTCCATGGCGGCGGCTTGGATACTTATTACAACAAACCCAAGATGTTACCCGAGGTTTAGAGAGACGGATAATTTACTTCTGCCGTTATTTTGCCTTGTTTTGCCTTGTTGGTATATTGCTATTTAGCCGTAGGACTAGTTTCTGAACGCTTAATCGAAGACAGTCTAGCTTGTATATGAAATAGACATGGTGAATTAAATGAGAAAAGAAGGCTGAAGTCAAAAGAAGGGTTTAAAGGAATACAACGTCACGAAATGAAGATATACGCAATATGATATTTTGATCAATCTTGCAAGTATCTCAATCGAGTTCCTGTAGCAGTGTACGTAGTAAAGGCTAAAATGTATGTTAACGAAGTCAAATAAAACCTTCCAGACTCGAGATTTATTCTTTCCCAAATGCTTCCGTATAGCTTTCCAACTCGGAGCGTATATTGATGATGTAGGTAACTTGGTAAATCCAATAGTATGCCAACAGTGGATCAGGAGGAAAAGGAAGAAAAAGTTTTCGAAGTTCAATTCCTAGGACATACCTGGTACCTTAGTGTAGTACAAAGGGTAGTACAAAATACATGGATGAGGTACGTAATACCCAATTGAGGATAAGTGATAAGTAATGAATGAATAAATGAATGAATGTACTATGATATAGGGTAGTAGTACCCCTCCATTCCTAAAACACCCCACCTTCACCTTGCGAACATTGAAACTGGGACACACAATATTGCAACAACGTCGTACCTTGGACCTACCTAATCTCTTTACATTCCTAGGTACTAATTAATTGGCTAGAATTCTTCATTGGTTCAAACACCTTTCCATATTCAAGTTTCTGGTGTTAGGGATCGTAACCGTACCTGGGATAGTAGTTTCCCACTCTCTTCGCCTTGCGTAAGTTAGCGTCGACATCTTCATTTTCAGCTTTAACTTTTCTTTTTTCTTTTTTCACATCAGCTCACCAAACAAAAACGGTTAACCAATTCCAACATTTGGTTTCAATAATATCCGGATTTTGACTCAAAGAGCTTTGGAAATAAGGACCTAAGAGGTTAGGACAAGGAACAAAAAAAAAAACCATTACGAGAAACATTTGCATTCCCTTTCATCAAATTTTCATCCTGGGGTTTCTAAAGAGTCTGACTCATCTCAAACCGTCGGTTCTTATACAGCACACAACGCAACTATCCGTTGCTCGGATTGCCCGCAGCAAACAGCACTTATTACGTCCCTCGATACTCGGGTGCTTATCCATTCATCGCTCGACCAACCGAGTTTTCTTACATACATCCAAGCACTCTGCTCACCCATCCACCACGATGCCAGGTGTTGATATGGCGCCCCTTGTGGCCGACGACATGAGAGGTATGTTAGACAATAAGCAAACACCAATCTTTAATTTACCAGATTTGCGTCATTACACCCGTCCCGCTTCCCATCGTCACTCTTATATTCAGATCTTGAGTGCCTCACTCGCGTGCAACTCGAAAACCTCTAATCCCCTCCTAACTGAGTCATAACCACTCGAGCATCGTTTGTGTTACGGACTATAGAAGAGTGAAAACATGCTAATCTACTTGGAAACTGTAGTCCTGGGACAGGACCCTCTCATCCCACCGGCTTTGCTTATCTCTGAGATCCCCATGACCGATGCTTCGTTGCAGACGGTCGTTAAGGGTCGAAGAGATGCGGTTTCTATTATTATGGGCCGCAACGACCGCCTCTTGGTCGTTGTTGGGCCCTGCTCTATCCACGATCCGGCCATGGCGCATGAGTACGCTCAGCGTCTCAAGAAGCTTTCCGAGAAGCTGTCAAATGATTTATGCATCATCATGCGTGCTTACCTCGAGAAGCCGCGGACAACCGTAGGCTGGAAGGGTCTTATTAATGATCCCGATATCGACAACAGCTTCAAGATCAACAAGGGTCTCCGTATATCTCGGCAGATGTTCAGCGACCTGACTAACACCGGTGTACCCATCGCCAGTGAGATGTTGGATACCATCTCTCCACAGTTCTTGGCAGACTTCATCTCCGTCGGTGCCATTGGTGCTCGCACCACAGAGTCGCAACTGCACCGTGAACTAGCGTCTGGCCTCTCATTCCCCATCGGTTTCAAGAACGGCACTGACGGCAACTTAAACGTGGCTATCGATGCTATCGGAGCTGCGGCTTCCAAGCATCACTTTATGGGTGTGACCAAGCAGGGTCTAGCGGCCATCACACGAACCAAGGGCAATGAGCACGGCTTCGTCATCCTCAGAGGCGGGAGCAAGGGTACTAATTATGACAAGGAGAGCATCCAAAATGCCAAAGAAACCTTGATTAAGAAGGGACAGAAGCTGGCTATTATGGTTGATTGCTCACACGGTAAGCCATGTTCGCGTCTCACGACGCCTAGTCTTTTACTAACAGTGAGACAGGAAACTCGAACAAAGACCACCGAAACCAACCCAAGGTTGCTAAGGTCATCGGCGACCAACTGCGAGAAGGCGAAAAAGCCATCATTGGTGTTATGATCGAGTCCAACATCAACGAGGGCAACCAGAAAGTCCCACCGGAGGGGCCGTCAGGGTTGAAAAAGGGCATCAGCATTACTGACGCTTGCATCGATTGGGATAGCACAGTCGAAGTCCTTGAAGATCTCGCGGCTGCAGTCCGGGCTCGCAGAGAGAAGAATGGATCGCCGAATACCAATGGCAGCGAACAAGAGCCCAAAACCACTCTTATTGAAGAAGAATAGGCATTCCCGATGGGAATGCATTGTATTGGCTTGTGAGCATCATTGATTTTGGGCGCGTCAAAAGTTGGTACCTGGCTCGGAGTGATTTCAGTTGTGATAAAAAGAAGTGGACCTGACCTATATATGAGGATTGATGATTATCGAGGAGGTAAGGTATCGGGAAAATCAACTCAACAATCTAGCAACTTGAATGGGAAAGCATCCCCACCCAAAAGAAGAAGAAGAAAAAAAAGAGTAGGCGTTAATAGACGAAATTCCAAAATTAGAAGGACACTTGGTTTTTTAGTGCTCAGTAGATAGATCATACTGAGCTTGCAGTATGGCGAGAGCTTCAACATGTACGCCAATGGTTGTAAATTAGACCCAATGTAGTCAGTAACAGAACACAATCATTATCTCCGTATGGCTCTTCTAGAACTGCCCTAAACGCCATTCGCAACGCCATTCGCAACGCCGCAATCTCAATATTTTGGACCAAGAACTCCCCCTTCCCCACCCATTCCGTTATATCGACGACGGTTGTCTTTCACCTATTTAGTCGCTGTGTATCATGATTGCCTACTGGCATATATATGCCCCTATCCTGGGCGGAATCTCGCCCTCTGCCTCCTATGCCGGAGCTGCCTAATCCTAGGGCGGCAGCTTTCTTCCCTTCGCGCAGTTCGACAACTCTTTTAGCAGCCGCCCATCCCAGCAAGCTCGTAGTACCTAGGATGAAACCCCATACGATGATTTGGTCCTTACGGCTGTCGCGCTGAAAGCAGGTGGTGAGGACGTCAGTTTCCTCGGCATCCTTGCAGATGGGGAGATGCTGCGAAAGGCAGAAAGCTCGGGTGCATTGGGTGCAGGAGGCCGAGGCGGCGCGCTTTCGGAGGCGCTGGGACGCAGGGTGTTCGGGGTTGCCGAAGGAAGAATCGCCTTGCGGACCGAGCTGTATTAAAGTGCTATTCTTGAAACAGGTGCATTTACAGAATGTCGGCGCGGCTGTGAGTAAAACGGGAGGAGTTAGAATGAATAACATGGTAGGGTATAAACTAAGTTATCAAGTGAGGTTCAACTTACATGCGGCGGCGACGTAGGAGACGAAGACTCCTATGAAGAGGATATAGAGATGAAGCCGCATCATGTCGCGATCATCAAATGCCCACTGAATGAAGATTTGGAGTCGCGGCCAGCTGAAATTAACTATGCGCAGCCCATTTGGATACTGCAATTGCTAATGTGTTGAAATACCAACAAACATGTAATAGGGTGGAAGTATGTACATGTGATGAAGGAGCACATGGATCCGCGCGCTGATAAGGCGGTTAGTGTATTGTGTTGTACGGATTACATGTACCTAACATACGGTACATCAAAGGTGGAAGCTGCCAAGCCAAGCCAGGGGTATGAGATGTACCTGTGGCTTGAAGCCCCCGACCCGCCAACCCCACATACATAGTACATGTACCTAGTAGCCCCACGAACATTAATATGTGTATTGTACATCGGTACTTAGGGAGGTTTTGCGGCTAAAAGCATCGCGGACCGAAAAAAGTTCACGGCTTTTACGAAACTTCAATCTACGATCTGAATCTGGGGGTATCGTATCCTCTTTGCCGGACAACCTCCCTCATATCTTACCTCAATTGGTCACAATGAAGCGGATACCACGATTAAGGCGACCCTCCGGTCTGCTTATATCAACAACATATTCTCCAATCGCTCCTCTAGTCGGCCAATGCACGCCTGCATCTCAGACCATCTCGAATTCGCATCGTAGGCCGATACCTACGACTCTTCAACGTTCATCATCCCTCCGATTCTACTCGACTGATAAACAGCCGATTACACAGAGCCAAAGTCCTACCCCTATTGTCGAAGAAGTACCAAAAGAAGAGGTTGAGGTTGCATCGCTGGCCGAAGAGGAGGTATACGAACCGGAAAGTTTTACTCCGACGCAGTGGCAGACGTATGTTCCACCACCTCGGCGTAGCTATGCCGAGCGGTTAGACGATATTTCAGATCCAACCTACGTACCCGCGTTAACGGCAGATGGCTTGGAATCGGTCGGTGGGTTACGAAACTGGTGGGACAAACCGGGCAATTGGACGGCCGATTTCGTCGGTTTCAAGCCGCTGAACTCCGTTCTTGACCCCGCCGTCCTCGAAACTTCGGTACGGCGTGCCGTTATAGAGGCGTTTGCGCTGAAGCAAGCGGGGAGAGAAGACGAACTAGTGAAAGCATGGCCGATAGCTGGGGAAGACGAATTACATCGTCTTCTGAGTGTGGAGATCAGCGTAGCACCTGACGGTGCTGTGTCGCTGACTGGAGATGTATCTGCAGTCTTAGACTCGCTAGTCCAAAAGAGCGAGTCTACTGTGAGCGAGGAGTCTGTTGGAGAAAGCACAAGCGTGCCGGTGCCCTCAGCAGAACAAGCCCAGAAGTACAAGGGCGCGTGGGGTCATGGATGGAAGGCCGTGTCTCTGTCGGATCCTCGGATCAAGTTCGCTGTAAGTCGTGCCATGTTGAAGTTCCTATATTGTCCATATAAGTAAAGATATCTAAATATAAAACTAACGCGGCAACCCCAGATCACGAAGCGGATTTTCCAGCTCACTGGCCACCTGGTTCACGACCACCAGCTATCTAGCATTACAGATGTCCGGTCACTGATCCACACGGTGCAAAAGCCTCCCAAGCCCAAGACCCTGACTGAGGAGATCCAAGAACGCCGGCAGGATCTTGTGCAGATCCCCAACGTGTCCTTCGCGACGAAGCGCATTACGCGCGGCGACAGGGAGAAGGCGGTTGGAAGATTCAAGCTCATAGAAGAGGAACTCAAGAAGAGAGATTTGCCTCTCGTGGGCCACGGCTTTGTAAGCAAGAACAAGGAGATGTCGCGGTTCAGGGGCGGAGTCTAGTATCCATGCGAGACGCTATGTACCAATATGTCGAAATGCGGTATTTGTCAACTCTAGCCTTGTACATACATATAGAACCAACAATACGATATGGCGTTCGACTAATGCAAATATAACTTGTGACGTGTTCCTTATACCCTGCCCTATTGAGAAACAAGCCCGGCTTCGAATGGTTGGCAAAAAGCGTGACAGTGACTAGTAGAGCAGTCCGTCGTCTACCAATCATAAGTTACAAACAAATTACATCAGTGTTTGTAAACATCTGAATATGTTTAACTCAATGAGAGCGCATTTACATGTATGTTTATATATATCCACCGGTCTGGTCTCGTCTATTCTCTCCCTCTGTCTTCTAAGACTTCTATAGTATATAATATATATCTAGCAACTCCGTCGGTAGAAGTCGACTAGGCCAACCTTAGGTTCATTCCGTAAGATTGACATTCTCTGATAATCGCCGCTCTTGGAGTTTTACGTCCGCATGCTCCTGCTGATCCTCTACGTCTGCCAGTTGCACTCTTCTCCTCGCGTCGATGTACATCATATACTCTTCGTATGTATCTAAAATATTGATTTAGTTATGAATCTATAAGCAAGCTTTAAAAAAAGAGAAAAAAAAAAGGGGGGGGGGAACCAGATGATCTGAACTATGCATGATGTGATGGACAATGGATAGCAAAATTTTATACGTACGTGGTAGAACCTTGACGTCCCTGGGAACCGAGAAGGTATAGTTAAATTGGCCAGTAGGCTTTGCGTTCCCATGCTCGACGTCCCTCACTTTGCTATCTACCCTGACATGCAACCGCGTCACGGGGTTCTCCGAGTCCCTCCGACGGGGCTCGCTGCCATCCTCCTCCAGAACCGGCGGGTCCGTATATACGATAGTCGCAGTTAGATACAGGACGCTACCAACCGGCACCGGGTTCCGGAAGGTACACGGGTCGGCGCTAATAAACGTCGGGCGCGCGTGCGCAAAACTTGCCGCGCAGCAGAATGCTAGCTCAAACGTCTGCTTTAGGTGGAAGCCGCCGAAGATCATGGTCTGATGTCGGTTGCGATATTGCGGCTGCATGATAGACGCGGTCGAGAGTTGTGTCTTCGACATGGCGATCACGTTGCTAGGCTGCCGGAGAGGATTGTTCGGGTCATGGTATGCTAGTTGTCTTAACCAGATCTTGTGAATCAGAGCCGACTCGGGGTCGTTGGGTTCCGTCTCAAGCAACGAAGTCTTGAGCTTCTGCTTGTTGGCTAGGGCTTTAGCCTCCCCGGCCTTGAAGATGTTTTCTTCCTCGGGAGTCGTGTACTCCAGGCGCGGTACATTGACCGGTTTCTTCGTTCTGGGATCCAAGGCTACCATAGTGAAGGTGCATGTTAGCAGTACGTCCTCCGGCCTGCTGGGCTCGCCTTCGTCCCTGGCCCTGGCGACCTGGCAGGTGATCTCCACGCTGCTTCGCCCTGACGCGTAGGTTACTTGCCCGCTGTATTCGAGATCGCATATCTCTGTTAGCGGGTGGGCGATGGTGATCCTGTCCAACGCAGCAGTGACGACAGTGACTCCAGGTCCAGTATGTTTATACACGATGATGCCCGATAGAGCATCAAGATCCATGAATATTGTGCCTAACCTAACCTAGAGTCTTAGTCAGACATATCAGCAGATTAGAGAGGCGGGCTAAAGACCTTATGTGACCGGATGAGTTGATGTAGGTGTCACTAAGCCAAGGATCACGACCAAGAGGAAGTACGACACGATGATAGCTATCGCTCATCTTTTTCGGGCTTAGATCGCGTTCCTTTGACCGAGCCTCATCAGATGCTATATCTTTTCCTTCTTGCTGTAGCTTCCACGCCTCTATCCACGGCATCGGCAGGCGGTTATCTGTGAGACCGCGAAATACTCCATCTGTACGAAGGTAAGCCGTTCCATGTAGACATCTCCTGAATTGGAAACGAGCTGCGGCCAATGCAACGCACGTATCTGACACGCTGGATTTAGAGGCCTGAGCTACGAGGCGTCTAATTGGTATATTCTTGGAAATCATGACCGAAAAAAAAGAAAAGACAAAAAGTACCTAAACATGTGCATTTAAATGTAGGTAGGTACATTAATAAAAATGTATCGGTATAGATCGGTGATGCAACAAAACAAGACGTAGCCTTATTGATAAGTAGGCGGCCTATCGGTACAGCAATTACGGGACAGAAACCGAGGCACCTCACCCCCCCTTTCCGTGTGGTGGACCACAAGAGCCCGACTTTAGGAAAGTGCTTATGTAACCCCTAAGCTTTACCCGAAGTACCAAGGTTAGCCTTCCGTTTTTTTAATAAGTCTTTCCATCTACATCCCTCCCAAAACATCCCGTCCCTTCTAAACATCCGTCCGTCATAAAGTCGGGCAAAGTCGGGCCAAGTCGGGCCATTTGGTAAAAGTTTAAGCGCCTCAGGCGGGGGTCGAACCCGCAACCTTGGGATTACTTAGAATCTAGGAGAATGAATTATTTCCAATTTTCCAGGTTTTTGTAAAAGTCCCACGCTCTAGCCAATTGAGCTACCGAGGCGTATTTATTCTGTTGTGGGAGGGACGAAATCGCATCCGACGTTGACCATTGGATGGATTGTTGGGATGACGGTCGTCTTGCTACCAATAAAGATATTTTTTGGTCTTCTATTTTTTTTTAGTAAAGCTTCCCTGCTGCTGCACGACACATCACATGAAACTTTAATATTACCTACCTAGATAGATAAGATAAGTTGCACCTTAGGCTTACTATGTAAGGTTGCGACTTGCAAGATGATAGATGATGTGCCGAACGCGGCCAGCCGTTGTTTCGATAGATCGATATGAAGGAATCTGATTGTTTCTGTGATAAAGCCTAGTAGGCGAGGCAAAATATTAATGGACTGCCTCACTTCGAATGCAAATAAGTATTTCAATTCTCGAAGCCCATCGTCTCTCGCCAATGCCTTCAGGTATTCATTCATACCGTGTCGGATTCGGGTAGGCAGATGATAACCAGACTGCTTCCACTGGCTCCATGATTCAGCTGAGAAAGAAGTTTACGAGAGAGGGCGAGGAACCATAGTCGATATCCAGTACCTAATGAAATTGAAATACCTATTTTGATATCCACCTCGACTTACTATGTATGCCATTATCTAACAGTAATATGGCACCGTCAGCATGGCCGCAAAGTCATGGACTGCTTACCTTTCCCTATTTTATTAATCACATAGTCACTATTCTTGCCTACTAGAATGCGTCGGTTATAGAAATAAGGATTATAGAGACCACGGTGTCTGAGTTCAACAGCAAAAAAACATTCCGACTACACGTGAACGAGTCGAATTACGGAACATGACAACCCAGATGTCTATTTGTGGTTACCAGGACGGCGACCTATCAAAGCCCCGGACTGCTGAGCCAGATTATGACTGTCGCCTTGATGCTTCGAATTACTTATGGGGTTCCTGTCCTACGACTGTATGGGCCCCTGGAGATAGTGGACTAGCTGGAGCTTGCGTGGATGGAGCAGGTTGTTCTGTGACGTGTGGATATATAAGACATACATCCATTAGCACAATCTACTGGTAAGTTGGTTTTTCTTCTCAAGGGTGTGCTGTCCGACATATTAACGACTGCTCCCATTGTACCTCAATGAGCGAGTATAACTGGTTTTGGCTTGGGTAATTTTATGGAAGAATCTCGATGGTTTTGGGTTTTGAATAATTTATGATAGGTAATGTTTCAATTTATGAAGTCAAGGGCGTTGTAGTAAGGAGAGAATATGTTGTTGGAACATTTTTCAAAAGGTGAAGGTTTAAGTGTTCACAGGTTGTGTCATTGCGTACAGTATGGTGATTTAGATAAACTGTGCTTTCATTAGTCATCAACTTAGGGCCTTACATGTACATGTAGGTAGGTACTTCAGCCTCAAGAACTTCAAAAAGTTTTAAGCCACTTCCCTCTTCGCACAAACAAACGCACGCCCCACTAAAAAATTGTAGGGTTTTCTAGCCCTCCAAAAATTTTGCCGAAAGTGCGGGTTGGGTTCAAGCCGCAACCTCTGGGAAATTCTCGTGCCTCTAATCTGGAGAACTGAGACGACTTGTGATAGACGACCATTCATTCCACAACCAACCCCCTTGATCGCAATCAGTCACAATGGTGAGTAATGACCTCTAATGAGACCTCTAATGATAGATATCATCGCGATATCTGTTTTGAAGCCATTTTTCGAAAAGCATTAATCGCTAATAACCATTGAAATATAGGCGATCAAGCACAACAACCAGATCCCACACAACCGTACGTCCAATCGAATCCATTCCCAGAACACGAATCGATCCAATTGCACTCCCCAATAATAAAAATTACAAGATTTAAAAATAGTTTAAAAACAGTAAAAATTGACTATTTATCTTGTAGATTTCCGAAAGGATTGGCAGCGCCGGGTCCGAACCCACTTCGACCAGGTATGAAGACGAGAGTCCCTTCGAAACCGAAAATCATGCAGATATTAACATGAAAAAAAACAAACTATAGCCAACTCAGAAGATCCGCCGCCGCTCTCTTCGTCGTGCTAAGGCTGCTGCCGTTGCTCCCCGACCTGTCGACAAGTTGAGACCCGTTGTTCGATGCCCTACCATCAAGTACAACCGCCGCGTTCGCGCTGGACGTGGTTTCACTCTGGCTGAGCTGAAGGTACTTATCCCAATCGAAAACACGCTGCGCAATCTACCATTAGATCCCCGTCCTCCGACAACCGCCATCTCGAATTCTTTATTTTGGATCCCGTTATTCTAACAACCAATACAGGAAGCCGGTATCCCTCGCCTCGTGGCCCCTACCGTCGGTATTGCCGTCGACTACCGCCGACAGAACCTTAGCGAGGAGTCTCTCGCTGCCAACGTCGCCCGCCTTAAGGCTTACAAGGAGCGATTGATCGTCTTCCCCCGCAAGGGTGCTAAGCACCCTAAGGCCGGTGACACCAAGGACATCGACCTCAGCAACACCGAGACCGTTTCTGTCGTCAATGCTTCCCTGCCCATCGTCCACGTGGCCGAGGGTATTTCAGAGATCAAGAAGAGCGATCTGCCCAAGCCGATCGAGGGTGGTGCCTACGCGAAGCTCCGCAAGGCAAGGAGCGAAGCCAGACTACAGGGTATACGGGAGAAGCGAGCCAGAGACAAGGCCGAGGCTGAGGCTAACAAGAAATAAGATGGAGGTCTCTTACGGGAGTATGGACGGCATCATTAGGGTTCTGCTTTCGTTGTGTTGTTGGACGGTCACGGCGGGTTGGCTTGCGGTTCCTGTGTAGCCAGGAGAGAAACAAAAATATCATCGTTCTCTCGTCACACAATACAGGCCGAAGCATTATTGCATCTTCCGGTTTGCTCTAGGTCGTTCTCAATGGAAAAATGAATGGACATACTCTCTGTTGCCTTTTGAAGCATCGCGTGACATGAAGCTATGAACTAGGACGCTAGGCACAAAAAATAATACAAAAATAAATGCTGATGCTTAAATAGGAAAATTCCACGTAAACGGCTATTTGTATATATCGGATTTTTTTATGTTCTGAACGCTTTGCCGTCTAGCGTTAACCAGCCATATTTGACGCAATTTCACTGATCAGCTGCGGATTCGGTCTCCTTCCTATCGCCAAGCACCAGCTCTCCGCCCGTTTTCAGCATCTCGACGAATTCATCCCTTGCCTCAGAGGGAAGCTCATCCGGACCACTCTTCGCTAGCTCGGCGATCAATACTAGCGCATTTTCCCGGTCCATCTTAGTCGCGGCTTTCTTTGGATCTACTTGCTGCGGTTCTAGCTGGCCTATCGCCGAGAGATCTAGACCGGTTTCTGCGGGTGGTTTGTCGCTTGCCTCACGCTCGCCTGCAACAGCCGCGGCGAGAAGATCTTTTAGTTCAGGATGCTGCAGTATAGCCTGTTTTACGATAGCGAGCCCCTCGGCGGAGCGCGACATGAGTGCGAGTACGAACCATAGGTCCGAGCGTAGAACGGGGAATTTGCTTTGTAGACCGAGATATAATAGCGTGTCTATCAAGGTGGGATGTTTGTCGTAGAAATCCCGTAGGAGTGCGCGAGCTTCTTCTTCGGAAGCGGACGAAAGGGATGATTCGGAGAGGAGTGCTGATCCGGCCGGCTTGTCGGAGTGCAGGACGCGGCAGGCGCAGGCTACGGCGCGGGCCGTTTCCATCTTGGTAGGTTCCTGGTCGGCTTTGCGGTGAAGGTCTATTAACTGTTGTATAAGCGTCTTGTCTTGCGTGCCTGAGGTCACGCAAACACTCCGCACATTTTCGGGACATTTGACGAGAAGAATGCGCGCGAGGGACACGGCATCGAATTGGACTTGCGGCTGCGTGTCGAGAGTCCATATTCGAGGTAGAGCACTGGAGTCCAATAGGCCCGCACTGCCTAGGATGGCCTTATTGCTCGCAGGGATAGATAAATTCTTCAAGAAGCTGAGAACGCAATGCAGTAATTGGACATCTGTTTCCGAGTCCGAGGATATGATGGGGATCAGAGACTTGTGCACCGATAACTCCTGCACGAAGGCGATACTTTGAGCGTCAGTACGGGCGATGTTACCGAAGGCCAAACAAGCCGCGGTTTGAAGCTCTGCGCTATGAGATGAAGAAATCCATCCGAGTAACAGACCAGCTACGGGACCGTCCAGGGGGCATAAAGAGGCAAACTGAGGATGAGCAGATAGGTCTGCCCAGGTTTTGGTGTACATGGATTGCACCTGCGCAAGTTGCACTTGTTCATCAGTATCGTCGAGGCCAAAGACAGAAGCACCCTCGACAGCTCTTTGGAAAGCTGTTATGAACACTTCAACAGCACCAGGGGTATCGAGGAAGCTGCCTTGAAGCTTCTCATGAGAAAGATATGCTAATGCGGCTGAGGACAGCCCCAGGAAACCGTCGAAATCTGGAAACCCTGGCTCGGAAGTATCTAAGCTTGCCTGAGACAGGAGGATGTATGGTGCCTGGGGGTTTATTAAGTCGGGCTCGAATTCTTGTAGTCTGTTAATATAATAACATTTATACTTGGTTCTGATAGGGGTTTTCTATATAAGAGAAATAAAAAAGGAACATATGGGGATGCCTTTACCTTGAGCTACCGCCATTTCCAGTAATTTATAGATGATGTTCAGGTGTGGCGATGCCTTCTCTTGCAGTGGCCGCGTATGAATGAGGTCGATTAGGTAAATGCCCAGGTGGGCTTTAGAAGCCGCTGCCTGAGCGGGTTCTTGTAGTTATCACATCAGTAACGGTCTATGCCTCTAGTTGATACCTATTTCATTCTCACCGTAATCAACACATATATTGTATAGAACCGGAATAGCGAATCGGAGTAGGGAATCATGTGTCAGAAGTTTAACCAGCTGAGTGAGGCAACCCGAGTCGACGACTCGTTGTCGGTTCTCGTCTAGGTCCAGTAAGTATATAAAGATTGGAACCCTTGAGAACTAAGAGTATACGGACTTTGATCTGCGCAAGAGTTTCCTGTTACTCGGAGAGCTTGCGCTACCAGATCTGGGTCTAACTCATCCTCCTTGATTAAACTCAAAAAAAAGTCCAGCAGACCAGATCTGCCAAGCGGGATTCTCCATTTCTCTAGAATATGCGAGTGTTAGTTAAGGCATGATGATGTATGTAAGTGAAGACTATACAGAGCCTTATATGGGCCTTTTATGAAAGTGGAATCCTGTTCACCTTCTCGACTACCATTACCGACCTGCTCTGCTAAGGTCTGAAGCTCCGAAGATTTAGTTTCTTGTAATTTCTCCGCAGTACTGAGAAGCTGCTTCAGCGCTTGGACCCTAGATTCCTCATCTTCGGGAATGTTCTCAAACAGATTTTGGACTTCGTTAGGCGTCATGATCTCGGGCACATCACAGGTCAAATTCCGATTATATGAGAAAATAAATAAATAAATTGCGAAGAGAAATGGTTAGACAGAAATTGCGAGTAAGCCTTAAACGTAATTTTGAAGATAATCACAATTTACAAGAGAAGGTGAGGTTAGGTACATAGTAGAAACAACTCGTAAAAGTCGAGGTTCGACTTGCGATTAGTTACGTAAACTTATCTTTTAGATCCCAGGGGCCAGAAGGACCTCAGTCACTTCCAAATTCTCACTAATCGGCTTCCGATCCGGCTGAAGTTTAGCTGAGGCTCTATGCCATTTTACAGCGGGGTTATCCACTAATAATTGGGTAGCGGGACGACGCGTCAGGATTTTTCTTCCCTTTTCCTTTGGCGCGTCCAACAATTCATTCAAGTCAGAGTATTTTGAACACCCTACCTTTTTTTTTCTTTTTTTTCCTAAACAACAATTAGGAGTATATTGGTTGGAAGAAAACAACTACTTTACGCGATTCAGGGGTAGACGAATAATGGATATGACAACCAGGTCAGAAAATAAGTACCTAACGTGGCAGGCAAGTTTATACAGATTCATTTTTAGGTGAAGTATTTAAGATCCCAAGGCATGACCTTAGCTTCACCAATTTAATTCAGGGCACATGGTTCCGTTTAGTTGATCTCTACTACTTCAACGTCTAAGGGAGAAAAAAAAGGAAGGAAAAAAAACACGCCACCATCGCATATTCCCAGAGCATCTACTCTGTCTCATGGTCGCGGCCGTGTAGTATGAAAACCACAGATTTATCAAGATGTGTCGTATCAAGTTGCACCGGCAACTGACACTACAGCAATCTAATAGATAGGTGACTGAGACCGTTACGTCAGGACAACGCAATCCAGAAGACCAGTTGCATCACGGCAGAGGACAAGCACAGGCGTTCCGACGTTATTATTCTGTTTGGAAAGCCTAGTGACTGCCTGCTTATAATTAGGTAGGAATCTCTGTGGACCTGGTTCTTAGTTCCATATCGGAGGGCGTATAGAGCAGAAGCAGCTCAGAGATACCCGTCGAGTTTATGTGTCGACTAATTTCGGCCGTCCGTGATGTGAAATGTTGGATTCCGCCGCGAGCTCCCGTCCCACTCGGTAACAAACACGAAGCTACTACATCTGCAATGGTCCTAGATTTCATCAGGCTAGATGAGATAGTTCAGGCCTTGACGGTTTATGCGGTCATCTCCCCTTCCCCCTTTTTTGGGGAGTTCGACACGTTATCTCTCTGGAAGCATACCTGGCTCTAGCTACAACCTCCGCTCATCTACTATTCGGCAACCCGTCCCTTTCCGCTTAATGGGTGTACCAGGTAGGTAGATATCAGGTAACTAAGGTTCCTATTCTATCCAAAATCTGAATTTTCATTGCAAGGTATCACTGCCGAAATGCTATATATCACCAATCGTGATCGTACCATGCATTTACCAAAATGTCTCACGCAGGACAGCTAATGTATCTTTCAATCCTGATTATTCGCACTAACTAGAACGACGGTAATAACGCTTCCCGACGCGAGTTCGACCATCTGCATGTTTCAGTATTGGACTAAGTCATACCTTGTAATCTCCGCCAACTCCCATTGTGCGGCACAAGCACGGTAGTGTTTGGAGCAAACAGCAAACAGACTCGTCTGGAATTTTGGCATAACCATTCCTTAGTATAGATCAATTATTGTACCACTGGCGCTGGGCCATGGCTTCTAATCGAAATACTCCGCTAATCTGGGGATCATATTCGCGGAGAGGAGCAGCAGTAGGACAAGACGACTTAAACTCTGCCCTAGGTGGGATATATAGAGCATTATAAAGGACAGGACCTCCCATCTCTCTATCTAAGATCGTTCGGCCTCTACATCCGGCCATAACACGTTTCTCCAAGTCACTCATTCATAATGGCCATATACTGGCTCTTGTCACTCGTTTGCCTACTGACACCCCTCTCATCCGCCGCACAGGGCTATTCAGGCGGCGGCATCGTAGACGAAACGGTCACCGAGAGTGTCACTGAGACTGTCACCAAGTTTCTATCGCAATGCGGTTCCTCACCAGCTCCGTCTCACACTCCAGATATAACAATTTCTGGCACCACTACGCACACAAGCACGCTCAAAGCAACCATTTCTCTCACAGTACTAGCCAGCGTGACCAACATCTCAGGAGCTGCTCCGGTAGATTTTAGTTTATCCGTATCGGATAACCTGTTTCCCACCCTGAATCTAAGTCACCCGCCTCTTACGACGGCAAGCAGCTATTCGGGGCTCAACTACTCTGTAACTCATGCAAACACTACGAAGATACCCTGTTCGACTTCGACTGGTAAGTTGAAAAAAGCGGCGTCTTCTTCCTAGTCTGACTCGTTGGATCTAACACATCAGTAGTCCTGGTTCCAGTCCCTCTAGAGTCGTCATCTCATTCTACGCCCTGTACAACCTCTTTCCACAGCATGTCTTCTACGACAGCAACAACCACACCGCCAACCCAGATACCTATCAGTGAATCAACTAGATTTAGGAGCAGCATAGTCACGTGGGAGTTCCTGGGGGCCCTCTCTGTATTCTATATGGTGATCACGGGCTTTCTATGAAAGAAGCCCAGCCGTAATATGAGACGGACAGGACTGATTTGCTCAAGACTTGATGTTCCCAAAGCCTCTGGGCATTGCCTATTACGAATCTCGTCTATGCTCTTTAGGGCGATGTCTATGTAATATCTGACGCAATGACGACAGGCCTGATACTGGGCCCGTAAGCTAATTAAACACTGGTTTCGTTAGTAAATATTTTTCTAGGAATTAGTTCTGCTAATAGAGAAGTAATTTTGATGGTCTCAGATAATAATACAAAGTGCATTGGCTCATCCCATTAGATATTGTTAGTAGAAGGTTTCCAACGAAAATACCAAGATCGTATATGAATATGTACCCGCTTCTCATTTGGATGTAAACTACGTGGTTATTTCCACTCGACTTGAAGAAACCATGGTGAGTGATTCAAAGTTGCGATTAAATTTGAATGTGAACCTTGTAGTCGAATCTTTACGATGAGATACATGTCATAGTAGTTGCCCACTCGTTCCTCAGTCGTACACATGATATACGCTGCTCAGCAATGTGGATTGGATGTATTTCTATCTGTATAATTTCATGTCCTTTCTTCATGCATTGTGATGGTTTAATTATAAGTCTGGTTGGTTGTGGTTTCATGATAAAGGTAGCTGTGAGAACTGAGGAGTAACTAAGTAATATAAGTCTACAGCCTAGCTTATTTTCTGATTTCTTCGTTACTATATTGTGTTACTTATAAATGATGGGTTGAAGTTTTAAGCGCAACCGAGTAGTTCGAGGTTAACCTCAAGGAACGAGACTTGGAACAGTACTATTTAATAAGACGAGAATGGCAGGTCCTGCGTGTAAGTCGTTAATAAGAACAAGGTTCTTTAGTTTGTGTTAACCAACAAGAGCGAAAGTACTATTCCAATTTGTATATAATTTTCTTAGATGCATAAGCCCAGCCATACGCATGCCTCGATAAACACCTATATAAATCCCTTACCTAACTTATCCTTATCGGGTAATAGGTACCTAAGATCGACATGTGTCCGCGTCGCGCGCATCGATAAAACCAGACATTAATTCTAGACGAGAACATCAATTAGCAAGACTTACCCATATACTTCACTCCCTTCGCGTCGCTCCTTTAATATACCCACTTCAACCTCGACTTTCGTCTTTCGTACATAAAAGAAAATTATAATTAATTATAATCAATATGACGCGCGCGCAGCAGACCATCTCCATCGGCCTTCTGGTCACATCTGTACGTCCCTTCGAGCGAGGACATCTCGGAATGCTCTCTCAACTTCTCAACTACCCTGCTTTAGTTCGTTGCTAACGTCTTGCCGCAGCTCTATCTCGCCTTGTACCTAAATCTTATTCCTCTTCCCGAACTAGTGCAGACCGAAATCGTCCCCGTTGTACGTTGAATCCTTAACTTCTCCTATTTACTATTTATCTTGCTCTCCCCATTTCAAATATCTCTCCATCATATGCGATCTGCAAGGAAAGGAAATAGAACTAACTAATGCCTGTTCTTTAATAAAACGAATAGCTCCCCTTCTGGGCTCTCGTCTCCTTCGGCGCATACTTGCTCTTCCGCCTTGGTTGGAACGTCATGACCTTCAACGATGTCCCTGAAGCCCATAAGGAACTTACGGCCGAGATCGAACTGGCTAAGGCTGACCTTCGGCGTCTGGGCGTTGATGTAGATTAATTGCCATTTTTGAAGAGAAGATGGTACAAGTGAGGTGAAAGAGTCTTGGGAGATGGAAACTCACAATTCGTACACAAACCAATTGTTCCCATGCTTACCTACCTAAGGTAGGGTAGCTTATACACTACGACTGCCTACCTATGTCAAGATACAGTGAGAGTATTCCAAAAGGAACAGGGGATACGCCGTTCAAGGCCTCAAGGTGTCTTAAATTGCTGGTCGGCAAGCTCGTCCATTCATCTTCGACTCCGCGCCCGCGACTAACCTGATCGAAGATATATAAGAATTAACAAGAAGCATCACATAATCCCACAGTTCAGCCTTTTCTACTTAATGGTTCTTTGCGTGATAGGCTTGATGTAATTCTTGTAGCTATGCTCACAAAGGTCGAACAAGGAGACGCAATCCCCAGTCGTTCTATCCTAGAAACCCTCTGATACAGAATACCGAACACACGGCTGACTGGCTAAACTTGATGGACTTCAGCAATTGATTTTGCTTCGATTGTACTCTTTCTTCTTCTTTACTCTCCAACCAACAATGCGATTACTGTCTTTAGAGCCTCCATCGGATCCTTATTCTCCTGTATAAGCTTGTCAAATACGCCCGGTATATTTGTTAAGCTACGCTTTTTGTCTTGTCCGTGCCCTATAGCAAGTTAGATAATCCGTATATACCCAAGACCCTATCTTATACATTGACTTACACTTCGCTGGAGTTTCTAGTAATAGCCCTATTTTGCTTCGCGCTTCTCCTGTCCAATCGAATTCAATACGCCACTTAATACGGATAGTCGGAGCTCCATCTGGATCATCGAGGATGGGTAGCTCTAGATCAAGGTCTGTCCTTCCCAGATGGGGGAATATATTGGCTTTTGTGAAGCGCATTTTATCAGCTTGTCCCTCGAGCTCCTCGTTGTCGTCTTCGTCGTCGCGGGCCGTTGTAGCTTGTCGACCTCGACCCTTTCTTCTCGTGTCTGTCCTCATTTCCCTGACGCATTTCGCTAGACCTTCACTGCTTTTTAGATCCCTTTCAATGGCGCACCAAAATCGAGCCCTCCTTGTTGCGACGCGAAGCCACTCGCCCATAGCCCAGGTAATGACACTAATATTCCTTGTCAGAGCACTGGTTCCTGTCCCTTTGACGACCCGTTCCACGAAAGGCCCTAGCTCACCAACTGCTGACGGCTCGAGACGTGCCACCTTTAGCTCAGCAATAGATAACCTCTTGGTATTCACCACCATTTCAATCGTCGCAGCAAATACACCTGGTACTGTTGATGAAGCTGATATGGTATATTTTTGCAGAAGTGGTCCCTGATTCGCGGCATCGTCGCGGGGTATTATTGAGACAGTAGACGTGAAAGTTAATGGGGTAAATACTTGCAGAAAAGGCATTTCCTCTTGCGCTGTCATGGGTACAGGATGATGTGAGATAGGAAGCTTTTCAGCCTCCTGTTGGGTATTATCTTGCGGCGGAGAAAATATGGATGGAAGCAACGGTTTCGCTTTGCTAAAGGGGAGGAATGAGATTGGATTTAATGCGGCCTCAAGCCAGTCTTGCGTTGGGTCGGGAGGTGTCTCCTTTTCAGGAGGGAGAGCATGTCGGCGGAATAGGTCGAAAAGGGTTTGCTTGTCTCCTTCATCTTTCGGAGCCGAGCTAACCTTTCTTCCTTGTTGCAATTCGTGTAAGCGAGTATTCTCACGAGTTGCTAGTTCTAGATCCGATCTTAACCGAGCAACTTCGGCAAGCAGCGAATCTCTCAGCGACTTCTTCTCAGCCAGTGGGTCGGGCTCCTCAGCATTCCGGGCTGGATGCGATTTTCGTCTCTTCTTCCGACTTTGTGGTTGTGCTCTCAACGTTCTCTCTGCTGTTCGGGATGGTGACTCTTCGCGCGTAGCTTCTTTGGTAAATTCAAGATGACGAAGTGGTGGCTGTTTTAGAGGAGAACTCTTAATTCGCTCAGCTAAGACCTTACTTCTTCTTGGGCGTTTGGTAGGCGTATTATGGATTCCCATGGGAGAAGTTTGTATTGAGGCGGGATTTGATATGCCTTGCTGCGTCGGCGTAGGTGGGAGCTCTGGTTCTTCAGGAACTGCTTCGCCAGGAGGCGGAGACCGCCGTAACACTCGGCCCTTAAATGGGTTTATTAATTCTTCTTCTTCTTCGACTGATGGCTCTGGTAATGGGCGCGGCGATGGCTTGTTCGGTGTCCTTCGTGGTTTGGCGGTCATAGCTCCTGTGGCACGTCGGACGGGACTCCATGGTTGATTCTCCGAGGTAGATTGTGTATGTTGCGTGTCGCGACCGCTTGCTTCTGTATCGTCTCCGGTTTTTCCAATATCTGAATTGCCTGGGGCATCGCCTAGGAGACTCTCCGCTTCTGATGCGACGGGCGCATCATCTGAAGGTCGAGGTCTAGAGGTACTGCTCCGTTCTAATACCTCGGGGTTCGATCGCGCAAGGCTAGCCTTGGTTGGGGACGCAAATGATGGTATTGGACGACGTATAGGTCTTTTAACCGGCTCATCTTTGGACGATAGCGCAGTCGTCCCGCCTATAGGAACATTCGTCGTCGGCGACGTCTTGCGGCGCTTTGGGGCTGAAGAGTCCATCGAGATCCCTAGATATCTTCTCTTATCCAACCATGATATTTCCAATCGTATATCGACTTCATGGGATTAGACTGGGTTAGGCTAGGTTTGACTGGGCTCCGATAGCTCTTAATCCAGATTTGGATTTTGTAACTTGTTGATGTATTGTTATTGTTCCACTACCGCGGATATGACGTGGGACAAGTGATAAATAAAATAAAATAAAATAGAGAATTTAAAGGGCTAGCTTCGAACCTTTCTTATTATAGGAGCCCAATTGAACCGAAATGGGTTTTCTCTTGTATACTCAATTGACATTAATATTAATGAGACCGAGATAACTTATAAAACGCGGTTAAGTTGTATAATTGGATGTTGACGCGCCGAAAAGCTCTAGGTTGTTTCTTATCTTATCAGTTCAGGTATTCTTTAGCTCAGGTCCACCGTCCCACCCTGGACCACAGTACCTAGGTACCTCAAGTACATGTGTACGTACCTACCCAAGGTAGCGATGTACCACTCAGGTAATTTTTACCTACAAAATTGCTGCGTGTTACAACTTACCTAGGCGCAGCTTACCACGTGATAGACACACTATGCTGTACCTGCCGCTAATTTGCAACCCCCTCCCCCATTCTCCAAACTTGTTCCGATGACGTGAGGTGGCTAGGAAAAATTAAATCATCTTCTATTTCATTCGTCCATCATTTAATCACACTCGTTCTCTACCTGCCTCAACCCTATTCTTAGTATCACGCTTAATTAACGAGGCATATTCTGGTCTTCACAATGCCAATTGCTACAAGGTCTTTAATAAGAGCTTCTAGGCTCGGTTCGCTCATGCGACAACCTCAAACACCTCGTGTCTTCTACTCGGGAGGCTCGAGACTACCCGGAGGCACTCCCGGCGAGTCTTCTTCAGACCAAGCGGTACCTCTAGGTCTCTACTATGAAGCTGTCCTAAACAAGCCGCAACAACCTATTCCTGACGTTAAGCCCGAAGAACCTCCTACTTCATCGCATAAATCTCCCCGGAGTACGGTCAACAAGGCCCCCGCCAATAAGTCACAGGATAAAGCCACTCCATCATCATCATCCTCTGCTACTGGGCCGGAAACCTCCACAAATCCGGCGACAGCACAAGAAAAGGCACGTATTATTTTTGGTTCGCGACTCGCCGGCCCAGCCGAGAGAGCCGAGCGCCTTGCAGCCATCCGGAACCGCAGTACGCTAATAGCCGGCGTCTTAGTCCCCCCGCGGCCCGAAGAGCCAGACAACTGCTGCATGAGCGGATGCGTAAACTGCGTCTGGGACCGCTATCGGGATGAGATGGAGGAATGGGCCAGCGCGTCTGATAGAGCTGAAAAAGCTCTACAGGCCCAACAAGCGCAACGAGGAGAGCCAACTAAAGAGGTCCCAGACGTAGCCGAAAGTCCTCTTAGTGCCACAAGCGTAGATGACGATGGCGGCGGCAGCGAGACAAACTGGCAGCCGGACTTGAAGTTGGCCGATCGACCCAAGATTGCCAAGGACTTCTGGGATGATGAACTCTACAAGGACGTGCCGGTTGGCATTCGAGAATTCATGAAGCAGGAAAAGAGATTAAAAGAAAAACATATCAGGGAGGGTACTTTCGGCGCTTAGAGAAAGATGACTACTACACCATATATGCCACTGTGTCGAGCAATAGAACAATTCGCCATATAATAGGTTTGCCTTCAAGTCGGCTCTGTGGAATATCCGAGATCCTTTTTTTATAATTTTTTTATTTGGCGTCTGGTTGAAGCGCCTAAGTCCTCGATGCGTATCGAGCTGCTCGTGGTGTCTATCTAGCACGCAATATCTATCCTACCTACCCGAAAAGAAAAGACTCGTGCCACGCCATTTTTTGTTAATGGCACTAATGGCACCTAAGCGGCGCCGTTTCTATTCTTTTGCTTTTTCGCTAGCTCATCGTGCAGGTCGATATCCGTTGCCTCCCACGGATAGCATATCCATTCGTCACCTATCGTCCTCGCCGCTAGATATCGCGACTGCTCTATCATATCCGCGGGCAACGTGCCCTTCTTCTGCTTATCCTTGTTCTGTTGTATCTGTCAGCATCGGTGGCGACAGACCCCTTGGTATACGGGGACTCTCAGTCACTTACATGTAAAACGAAGATGCTGAACTCTGTCTTCTCGTCATTGCCCAACTTTTTCCGTGCCTCTTCGACGTCCTTCTCTAGCTCCTTGACCGCATACTCGAGCGTCGTTCGCGTATCGTCGACTTCGTCTACGATCAAGATGCGCTTACCAACCAAGTTTTGGATCTCGCCGAGGCTGCTCAGGTCAAGCCATTGGGTACGGGTGACTTTGGTTCCAATCTGGTCGACGACGCCTTCGCTCGGGTTCGAGGAGCCTGTCACGGGCAGCTGCTCGTATAGGGAGAGACCGATGGCCTGAATAGGAATGTTGGGGCTGCCAGGCTGCTTGAGGAAAGAGCGCAAGATTCGCGCCGGTACATAACCACCACCGCCGATGGCGATGATGAGTTGCGGGTTGAACGAACTCAGAATCTTGGGTGCTGCCTCTTGGCAGAGCTTGTGGACCTGTTGGTCGCAAAATCGGTTAGAGAATCATGGATGCAAGTCAACATTCTTTATATATATTATATTTCCGATAGGACACGACCAGTTTTATACCGGCTTCCCCAAAGAAACAAAAAGCAGAAACGGCGGGGCATGCTGTGGTGAGGTTGCAATAGGTAAACAGGTAAGATCAAGATCTGCTTACATCGTTGTAAGTGACGTAGATCTTCTCCACCATCGTGGCTGATGCAGAAAATATGACAGTGGGGGAAATCCGATGCTTATGCGACTTGTATGTTGCTGAAGAACGCGGATGAAAACTTAGAGGAAGAAGTGAAGAAGACTGGGTTAGAGGAAGATATATAGAGAATTAGAGAAGAAGGATTCTTGTATAGAAAAAAAAAAGGCTAGAAGGAAAAGTTTCGAGTTTGAGTTGCGACTGGGACATGAAGGGAAAGAAACTTTTAGTGGGGCATTGTATTAGAGAGCGCTTTTTTTGACGTGGGGCTATGGAGGGGTCGTTGGGATCACCGGGGGAGGTAACAAGGGGACCTTTTCAAACTTTTTTCTAAAGCGTACTATGTAGGTGCGCAAGCCATTCTATAGCGACAAATTAGGCAAGTCAATGCCACTAGACCCCTCCACCGTAACACTACAGTTAGGACAGTTTAGGGTACCTACAGCTAACAACTCTACACTCTAAATTCACGGCCATCTCCGCTACCTTATATAAATTTCACCTTACACATTCTTGCATATTTGATCTTATTTGAGTGAAGTTAAAGTCAATGTTTCTGTGTTATGCATAGAATATTCTTTACGGTGTAACAGAATGTGTCTTATATTTTAGAATACATTAGTTTTAGTTACATGAGGTAATTATTAGAACTAAAGCAAATAGCCTACCTAAACCTTGCGGCCACCTGGAATAATAATAACAATAAGCACGATGGGCATTGGTGCGATTAGTTCTTAACCAAACTCTGACGGCGCAGACGGGGAGGGACGGGTAGAACGCTGTCGCCGCATGTCAGAACTACCTACATAAGAAAGCAACAAGGAAAGTGCGGACATAAGCTAAACTTAAAAAAGGGTGAAAGATGCTACCTAGGTACCTCCTAAGCTTATGTAATTTGATCGTCTCAGCCAACTAAATCCAAACTTTGATTCTCAGAATCTCACCTCAATCTTTTTTTTTTCTTTTCATAACCCTGCACATTTTAAATGCTAAGACGAAACCATATGTAGGGGTCGCTTGCTTGTGTTTATAATCTGACGTCGGGAACAAGAACAGGGAACAAGAACATTCTTTACGATTCAGGACATACACATGATAGTCTAATCCTTACCCTACGAAATCCAAGAAGCCGCCCCCGAAGAAGTCTTCCATCCTAGGAAATATCGCATGCTCTGATATATCGAATGGCGGGAACAGCGACTCGGGTTCAAGTTGCCCAGCCTCCACCGCGCATTCTTCCCTCGTGTGATATCCCGACGTCTCATGCTGGGAATTACGGTCGTTTATGCCCACCGGCGCGTCTATTCCGCCTTGCTCCTCATCCTGGTCCCGGCTATGTGTCCTTGCCGGTTGTTGATTACTGTTTGGCCCTGTATCACTGTTGGTTCGAGATTCCATTTTGTGCTTGGCAAGAGCTCCGTACTTGAAAGACCAGGCTTTACCCGGAGACATCCTAATCCATTGGTCGATCCGTAAAATCAGGTCCCGGCTCACTTGGTCTGAGATTTTTGACTGCGACTCGTCATAATGCGCTAGGAGCAGGGCGCAGTAGCCGATGCAGAGACATAGGCAGGTTGGTATCGTATCCATGAGGAAGGACGGCATGTCTAGGAAGGTCTGCAAAACAAGCATAGCATACTTACACGCATTAATCCTCAAGATATTGCCGTCATCGCTCTTCTTTTGTCGAGACTGTGTTGAAGTATGGGCTTCGGTATCGCTCCCATCCTCGCCGTCTATCTCCGAGAGGAACGTCCGAGGCCGTAGTCCTTGCCCAACCTCTTCTAGCGACCGAACGGCCAGAATAAGGCAGGCAGCGTGGTACCCTATTTTCAGCATCGACGAAGTCGGAAGGCCTATGGTGCTTAGTAGATGCTTGTGAACCTAAAAAACATGTCACTTACCTAGTAGGTGACTCCATTTTTCTTTCCAAGCTAGAAACTCTTTACATTCGCCACCGTCCCCGAGATATGACTGGTGTGTGAGCTTCTGGTGGAGAGTTGAATATAGCAATATTTCTGCTACCAGCATCCCATCCTGCATAGTGGCTTGGTAGAAGTTGAGTAAGATATTGCATTGGTTGATATAAGGCGCTGGTATGATAGAGGGCCTGCCTGTTGTCGCGGCCCAGCTACAATGCAGCCAATTCTGTTAGCAGTGGGAATGAAAACCAGGTGCTAACATCGAGGCTTACTGGAGGTGGTGAAGGCATATCTTAGACCACAGATGAATAGATTTGTGGTCATCGTTTGTCGAGCTCCCTTGCCTTATGTTGTTTATGATCTTAGAGAAACTAATACTGAGCATTGCCTGCTTGGCACAATAACCTGTCAATAACCAGCTGTCGACGTAGTCAACTCCGTTCTACTTAAAAGTCAGACAGGACATATTCCAGATATAAATCGAGATTACAGCCACATACACCACCTGGGCTATTCGCGTTATTGCTCATTATCAGCACCGCGTTAATCTCTTGGAGATTTAGGGGGCTAGATAACAGAGCTTGTCCTAGTGTGATTCGAACCTGCTCGTATATCTGCCTATGCATCGATGATCCGCATATATCATTACGGTAAACGATGCCCATTAGACAGCAGACGCTGTGCAAGAATGCAGATACCCTGCGAGTTTCGCTACTCGCAGTCAAATCTTCCACGCTGCAGACAAGGAGGTTGTGGCCTTGATAACGGAAGAAACTTTTACATCATATCAGTAATCTGTACACTGGTATCTCAGATGTGGCTCTAGGCCCAAGTAGTATTCTGGACTTACAGGTGGATTAACTCATTTGCAGTCTGTTCGTCGAGGAGCTGAAGCTCTATGAGATCAACGTCAATATGTCCCAGCATCCTCCTGCACCCTCTGGTGATTTGCTGTGATATTGATCTCAACACTACGATTGGCGCGGACTGAGTTCCCTTGTCGGCTGGGGCCGAGAAATATTCGGGAATACGATCATCTTGCTCTGCCCGTAGCAAGTGGCCATCTCCAAGATTGGAAGAACTTTTGCTAGTCGGAGCTCGACCACTTTGCGGCTGATTACTCGAAGTGAGGTCTTTGAGCATTGACTTGATTTCTTGCAATTCGCCTTCATAACGTTGGAGCCTGGTGAATGTGTAAGTTGACTACAGGCACACGGGATGAATGAGTGTAAGTGAGACTGATTTGAAGCTGCCCCTAGACCTAAGGCTGATTTAAGCATGTACCTTTCTTCAAAGTTTGAGGTAGCTTTCTCCGGATTTGTATTAGATGAAGGCAATACGTTTTCTCCGCGGAGAGAGCATTCAATTCTTTACGTAGACCGTTAGTAAGGGGCAGTTTACACATATCGCATGGAAATACATGGGGAATACATGGGGTACGAGTTGACGCGCCAAGGATATATCAATTCGCTAACCTCAATGTCTGGCACCGATGACAACCTTGTGCGCCGGGGTCATATTCGCATCTGCATTTCAGCTTCTGGCAGGATAAGCAAGAGAATGCCCGACGCCGTCGTTTCTGCGGTTCACCGGCAAGCTTATCCTCCGTACTACGACGTTTCGAAGGCTTAGAAGACGAAGACGGTATCGTCTCCTCATTTTCGAGAGCATTAATACGCGAGTCGTTAGTAGACTTCATTTTATGAGCGCCTGAGAGTTGGCTTATTGAAATTACAGCCGACGGAAATCGAAGGCGGATTACAAAAAAAGGGTTTGTTTGACGGTAGCGAAAATGTTGTACCAACCAATTTGGTACCCTTCCCGGTTGGAAAAGGGTTGGAAAATTCCGACGGGTATCGGCGGAACTTGGAACCTAAGTAGAAAAAAAAATCAAAATTTTCTCGATCCACTTTTGTCAGGGGTCACTCCTTTTCCTGTATAATCCTCTCTGTTTAATAAATGCGACCCTTTACATAGTAGAGAGTATATGAAGTTTCTATATCACATTTATTTCTGTAAGGAAAGTATGGCCGATCCGAGTTGCTCTAGAAGGGAGGGCGCGAGATAGATTTGTCTTTTTATTGTTTTTACATGCGTTATAAGTTTTTTAATACTGTTATATGCCTAGCTCACTATAGGTGTGTCTCTAAGAACATAGATATACCTAAGGCAAAAGGAATTAGACTAAATATTTTTTTTTAAAAAGTTGGAAAGTCTTTTACAATAGAATAACTTGTTTCTTACTTCAGGTACATAAATGAGTTGCTGCCTAGAGTTGCACTTTCACGATTTATGACAGATAATAAATGCTACTGCAAAAGTTAATCCGCTAACGGTTTGCTTTTTTCTAAGAGTATCTGCGTGCTTCATTCACGGCTCTTCACCACTTAAAGAAATAATTATAATACCTAATTTTCATAATAAAATAATCAATCTTATTTATATATTTAAACTGCTGCAATATAACATAGTTCTTCCAATTTCTATAGACACAGTTCTTCTATGCCATATTTTTTAATTACTTTGGTTCAACTTATATCTCTATTCTTTGATACTTCGAGTGAGTGAACCTACAAATATCCACCTGTTCACCGGCATTCAAACTGCAGCCCCTTGTTCGCACTGGAACTTTGACTATGATTAGAGCCAATACGTCTTTTCTTGAATCTGTATATTCTAGAATACCAAGCACTTCCTTTTGAGTTCCTTCCTACGTCAGCGAAGGACGCCATATACCCCCCTTTTAAGTCCTAGCATCACTAGTATGTCAATATGATCTCCCAGGGTCTTCAAGAATATCGGAGAGTATAAGCTAAATAAACAAATATTTGCCAGCAACCTATCATTGCCTTTTCCTTTCGCTCTACTAAATATCTCGGATATAATATGCCCTCGAGGTGAGAGAGCCTACTGTACCATGACCTTTCTATGTCAAGTACCTACTATCCATACATACTCCCTGGACCTACTACTTGCCTTTATCTATTGTATCGGTACTATACCTACCGCTTCTCTCTCTTCAGCCTACATTAACACTACTTAGCATTCATTTCTATTATAATAGCAACAATTCCATCCCATCATCCAGGTAATACTAGGCTACTATCTAAGTTACAGGTGACAAGCAAGTCGCCTCTCTTCTGCACCAGGTATCATATATCCTACATTGCTTTAAAAATATATTACTGTTTAATACGATGCTACCAAATACTCGCCGGACTCAAATAAATGAAGCTACTAACGCCCCGATTATAGCAGCCCTTAATCGACCATGGACATAAATGTTGTTAGATTGCCCGGGTCTGGGAGATCTCCACGGCTAGGCCCCCGGGGAGGATCGGACGCTGAGGACCCACGGGATAGCGTCCAAGCTGATATTGAACGGCGCTTTCGAGAAATGCCATCTGATGCTACGCGCAACATGGTCAAAAATGGCGAAGCCCACTACCCCGAAGAAGACGAGGCCTTATTATCAGATGAGATTGCTCAGGTGATTGAGGTAATTGACCTAACCGTGCTTGATCATGCCTCTACGGCGAGGGCGCCACGGAAACCTCGCGAGAAACCCGCAAAGCGCAATCAGTCAATAGACCCCTGCCACCGGCTAGATAGCTACGACTATGAGTACCAGACGCTAAAGCCTGGTGGGCTTGTCGAAATGGAAGCAGTTGCAGAGCTACGGCAGGCGTCATTCCTCCTCGTGCAATCTATCACCAACACGACAAATGGCGTCATACTCCGAGGTCTGCCGTTTACGCGCACAAGAAATTTAAGGGGTCAGTTACTACGAATCCGGAATGAACTTGTCCTCATGCTCGAGATTGACCAAGATGACCACCGATCGGACGAGAAACAGGCGGCGATCGAGATACCCGTGGCTAAAGTTAAAAGAACTCGGAATTTTCTCATTACCAACAAGAACTTCCCAGAGCACCGGTTTCCTCATGAGATCTATAAAGATACCCAGGAGATAGAGGAGAAAGGCGTTCTCGTTTGTCGCTGGAAGTGCAGATCAGTTTGGAGCGATGCTATGAAGAGATGCAACGGCAAGCCCCCTATCGAGTTCGAGATATCGCGTATAACGCCTGAGAAGGTGCTAAAAGAAAGATACCGTACCCCTAGTTCTTATTTGATGAACGCCTGGCGGGGTGGGAAAATTCGAGGCGGTTCATTCATCCCGGGTCAGCCAAACGACCTTAGAACCATGGTAGTGGCTGTTGAGGGCCTCGAGGACCAGGATGATAAACTGCACGATGAATGGATTCCGAGGAAGCCAGGGCAGCAATATGCCTTTGGTGACATGTTTTGCGGAGCCGGAGGAGCATCATGTGGTGCTAGGGCTTCTGGCTTTCGTATCACGGTGAGTTGTGACAACGCAGTTGGGGCCTGCAATACTTACCGCGAAGAGTTTAGAGAGGCAGATTTACACGAACAAGATATGTATGACTTCATCATGTCAAGGCGAACCTCTACGGAACATGTCGACGTGCTTCATATATCACCACCATGTCAGTATTGGTCACCAGCACACACGACTCCTGGCGCAGGCGACGAAGCGAACATTGCGATACTATTTGCATGTCATGAACTAGTTAAAGCCCTTCGCCCGCGGGTATTCACGGTGGAACAAACGTATGGTATCCTCCACCCGAGATTTGAATACTATTTTAATGGCCTAATCCACGGATTCACTCGGTACGGCTATTCGGTGCGATGGAGAGTAGCTAATCTACTTCAATGGGGAGCGGCCTCGCAGCGGCAACGACTCATCATCTTCGGCTCCTGTCCCGGCGAAGAGCTCCCACCATTCCCACCAGCTACGCACTCGAAAGATCCAAATCCTGATCTGGGAACCAGACCATATAAGACAGTCAGGCAGATTCTAAGAAAGATCCCCCGAGATGCGCCACTGTATGATCCCCTTCATAATCCACGCAATCTCAAAGAACTCGTAGGCAAATTACCGTGGGACCCTGACGTACCACTTTCTCGTACTATTACCTGTGGCGGTGGCGTCGGTAATTATCACTACAGCGGAAAGCGGGCGTTTACGCTTCGAGAATATGCATTACTACAAGGGTTCCCGCTGAACTACAACTTCCAGCGACCGAAGCAAATGCGACAGATCGGCAATGCCTTTCCGCCCCTTGTAGTCCAAACGCTCTACAAGCATCTCCGCAGGTGGCTGGAACAGCAAGATCGCGTGTATGCAGACGGCGAGCTCTCGGACTCTGAGAGCGATAATGATAACGATGACGACATCCGAGACCAAGTAGAAGAATCTGCGGACGATAGCGAGGTCGAATATCTTGGAAAACTGGTGACCAACCGAAATGATAGCGTCCAGTACCTAGGGGGAAGATATTTACAACAACAAGGTAGTGAGCCACTGACTATCAGCGACTCGGATTCAGAGGGTGATTCGATGGACGTAGATGCCGTGAGAGAAGATGCTCACAGCCCGGATGTTTGCATCGATGCAGTTCAAGCGGTGGGAAATGACCCCTTTCACCCTATCCGGATTGACTGAGGGGAATGGACTTTGGATGAAATCCATCCCGTACTGAGACTAGGATTCTAGGATACGAGCGTCAGCCTTTAACTCAGCCAACATGCGAGTTGTATTATTTGTGCTCTATATGAAAGGAGATAGACTAGTCAGTCGACGTGATTTAGAAAGATGGGATAGATCATGCATGTTAGTTTACTACCTAGGTTAGGTTAGGTACCTTCATAGAAGTCAACGTCGTCAACATAACGAAAATGCTTTTCCGCTGAATAACGCCCTGCCTCTATCTTCCGTTATTTCTTGGCAAACTCTTAACTCCCGGATTATTTCCATCTCCGTTATGCTGCGATGTAATAGAACTAAACCTTTCTAATCTCTCAGATTGGTTAGCTTTGGGAGCATAATGAGCTACTATGCATGACAACGCATCAGAGTCGTAAGATCCGGGGGATATGAACCGTGGAAGCATCCAAAAATTCAAAATCAAAGGGGACGCGCAGATTATGCCATCGCCGAGACGAGATGAGGCTCGAAGCTGTAAGCGATACTCATGAGGACATAGTACCTATGTCGAGCATATAATAGGCGGTGGGCAATTCACTCGCAGGCCAAGACTTCCATCGACCCGTAGTGTTATCTCGCTAGGTATTAAGAGGTCCCGTCTAGGCTTAGAAGCTGTGGACTAGGTTCTCGAACGCGACAACAAGGAGGCTGGCAGCGGAGGCAGGCTCGTCGAACTAGGCTTGGCTCACCTTGCGAGCAGGCGAAACTATCGGTGTTGTCGTGTGTGTTCTCCAAGGGGCAAAGGTCTAGAATGTCAGAGCTGTGCCGCCGGGCTAATACTAGTTGGATATACTACGTAGGAAAAATGTCAAAAGTCACGACTATTCCGATGGCTTGACAAAGCGCGTCAAAGGGGCGGTACTTAGAAATTCGCCAAATTCGGGATGCTTGCATCGAAGTGAGTTATTTTGGTTAGGTCGAATTTAATAGTGGCTATTTTTGGCTATTCTTGATATCATTGGAAATCTGTTTGGAAATCTCGTATTGAAGCTATTGGTACCATCCATCAGGAACTTCTGTTTGACTTGTCTATTAGGTACCTGGTACCTAAGCTACCTAGCTATCTGTAGTGTGCAGTATTTGCTCTACGTGAGAGGCTAAAGTTTTGGTAGCAGCACGAAGCCAAGATGGAAAGCCGACGTGTAGCCAAAGTCCACAACGGTATAAGTCGTCTGCGGAAGCGGATTTCGCTACCTATATGCATCGGACCCGAAACCTAGAAAAAAGAGAGAAAAAAAAGGGAAAAAAGAAATCTACCGACCTACGGAATGGGATCTTCTACTAGGTAGTGTATACGGACTGATGTTCAATACGTCTTTTGGGTCAGGTGACTGGATTCGAGAATACCGTATTCGCCTTCATATTATGGTACATCATGTCACTACGGGTTTAGTGGTCAATTCGCTGAACGCTTTACCGGGCTCGATAGTTGAAGAGACGATTTTAGGTTCTTAAGTCCTGTCAGAAACGCGTTAGGTACACAAGCAGTAATAAACAACGGCATATGTGCTCGGGTTGTTCGGCATTTGTGCCATATCCCTGTAAGTATGAGGCAACAAAGAAATGGCGAGGAAATCTGACGATTCTTTACATTAGGTAGTAATATCAGATTTCTTTTCGGTTGGCAGGGTGAGTTAGGCGTCGAGAGCGGGGATTTAATTTTGGATTCGAGATCTATGGGGATGAGGTTGCAATGCGGCTGCACAGCTCGTCACCTAGATGCAGTGTCTGAGACATGAAATAGAAAGGTACAACGTCAAGCCCTGGGCATTGGGAAGTCTAGACCGCTGAGTCTATCAAGTTGTTGCTAGGTACGGATTTAAACATGTCAGATGGCTTGGGCTTGTGTGCTCGGACGGATGGTAAGCTCTCATAGTAGAGGAGTCTATTATTGTCAGAAGTCTCACTCGAGACTCATTAGAAAGAACAAAGGTGATGTTTGTATATAGCTTTGGCTTCAGAGCTATTTTATGTTTGGTTAAGAAGTGCAAGGGTTGCTACGAGTGCATACATACGCCTGTGTACCCGGGCATATAGCGGAATGGATCCGATCTCTTTTTGGAGTAGGTCTAGGTACACACACCCATACACTCACACGATAGGGCAGACCGGAGAGAGCAGCTAATTTTATCGTGCAGCCGGTAGAGATGTTGTAGCTGACATGCTGCATTATGGAAATCCTAGAGGAAGTACGTACGTACATAAATAATACCTTGAGTACTCATCATCGATTGATGAGTGATTCGTGTTGAAATTTGCATGACAAGATGAATTATCAATTTATCATGCAGTTCATTCCTCGGATTAGGGAGCAATGTTCTTCTCAATCTCCAATAATCAAGAAATGATCACCGACTCTCCAACTTTCATTCCATCGGTTAGCAACACCGCGAAAGAAATTCGGAGTGACGCAACCACCCTTGCGTTAAACTGAATGCATGGGCCATGCCTAACTTTGACATCGGATGAATGGGGGAGTTTGTTACCTGAGGTACCCTTTCTTAACTAATAACTAGAATAAGGTTTTATGAAGTAATAAGTACTGTGTAGGTAGTCGTCGACGTAGTAGTGCTAGCCAAGAGTAGTAACCTTCGAAATAAGGCTGCCCAATTGTCAACTGCTATTGGAAAGATTGGAAAGCTTTCTCTTTTTGGACTCAAGTCATTTACCTGTCTGCCTGTCAAGTTGCTAGTGTGCATTGTAGGGATGAATCGTTGTCGTTGTGATAGTGACTGCATCCGCTGCAGTCGGTTCCTGACTAGGCGCCCCCTTAATTACCCATGCAGGACCCTGGACCGCCAAGCTAGACTGTGTTGATCTTCATTTTAGAGGCCTGCCAGTCGCTCTAAGGCTTACTGTTCAGCTGTTCTAGTGCTCTAACTTCACGACATATGTCATACGCGTACAATTGTAGTAGTGGAAGAAAAGACGACGCGAGTAGCTACACGTCATTCCGACCTGTAGAAGCGTTTGGCAGCAGAGGAAAAAGCATAGACTAATAAATCAATAGAATCTCTAGCGGCTTGAAAACGTTGATCAGACTATGTGCCATATTATATTCCAACTATGTAGAATACCACATAGTATGTAGAATGCTAGAATTAACTGTTAGGTAGATCATACCTTAGGGTAGGTAAGTAACCTTTTTAATAATATGCTACTTTGATTGACAAATATGCTTTGGACCGTCAAATCAAATCTCAAATCTGATATACTTGCGTAGCAACCCATTTGTAGAAGATGGAGGAAGTATTGTACATTATAATAAACCGTAGGTACGTTAGGTACCTAACCTAACATAGTAATAGGTTCCTGTTCTCCTTTTTCTAACGTGGGTTCACCAATACGACTCTCGTTATGTATGTACTACCACACGTACTCTTACTTAGCCCCTTTCCCTCCTAGTATTTTGGGTCCTGGCATCGTAATAGCGCCCGTGCGCATCCGCGCCAGAACCCCACAAACAAGAGAGCATAGCCAGGCTGTAGAAAAGTGAAAAAACCCTGTCGATAGGCCCTGTATCTTGGGGGGATCCACATGGCACAGACAAAGATGCTCAAAGAAGGTGAGATGATCACGGTGAGCCTCACCATTGGGACTGTTATCACTTAGGGCAGAAATCGACGATCTGAATTAGGCCAATAGTACTTACTGACCGCCATACTTCTGGGCCAAAAAAATACTCCGATTTTTTTTTTTTACTGCATCGCCTGGTATCGCCTAGCACCACCAAATCACGGGAGGCCGGATAGCAATGACAGCCCATGTAGTTTTTTGTATTCCCTACCTCATAGTAGTATTCCCTAGTATTTCCCCTTGGCCAATGTGTTGATGCTAATTTCAGACGAAGGCATAGAAAAGAGAGCCTATGCCGTCTCTTACAATGCTTTTCCTTCTTCCTCCACTCCCATCGAGCTTCGGCCAAGATAGTCACTCTTTAGTGCTTGCAGCATAGTCGCTCTTTTTGGAATATTTACTATTCCAGTCCATTCTTTAAGCAGTTGCTGTTTGTTTGCCAAGTTTGCTATAATGCGTTTCTCTACCCACGGCTCCGCGGCCGTGGCGATGGCGGCCCTCGCCAGCGCTACCGCCCCGGTCTCCGAGCGCCATCTCCTCGACCTGGACGTTTCCAAGGGTCTAGGAAACCCCATCTCCGCCAACATTGATTTGGGTGTCGACCTGAGCGGTACCACTCTCGCCGCCGGTGTTATTGCCGGTGTGGCCGTTCCCCCTCTGGCCGGTGTTGGTGCCGATGTCGAGGTTGAAGTTGTTTGTGACACTTGCTACACCAAGGGTAACATCAATGCCAGTATCTCTCTGGAAAAGGTTGTCCCCGCCCTTAGCCTGTCCCTGACAGACATTGAGGCCAAGCTTGATCTCGATATCAAGGTTGGTGCCGGTGCTGTGATCGCGGTCAACCTGTTCACTCCTCCCGCTCCTATCTTACTCCCTCTACCTGGTCTTAAGGTTGAGGCCCGTGTTTCCCTCGATCTCGTCATCGGTGTTGAGACTGAAATCGACCTGTCTGCTGGTATCGACTTGAAGCTCGTAGATGAGGCTATCATCGAGACCGACATCTTCTCTGGAAAGATCCTCGATGCTGCTTTCTCTGGACTGTCCGTCCAGGTTTTGCCCATAGAGGTCCGAATTGGCTGCACAAGGCTGTTGGCCGATTTGCGTCTCCGTGTTGAACTTGGTGTTGCTGCTGAAGTTGACATTGACGACCTTATTCCCATCCTCGACCTCCCTGAGATTGGTGCTGGTCTCGAGGTCGCTGTCTTCGCCAACTTGCTCGAGTATGTTGGTTTCTTCTGCGCCACTCCTGCCTGCCCTCTTTCCAAGGAGGCTTATGGCCTGAACGTCGGTGCTGCTGTCGAGCTCAATGTTGCTGTTGAGGACCTCCTCTCCATCCACCTTGCTCCCACTATCTCCACTGCTCTCCTCAGCTACCCTACCACCACCATCTGCGAGCACCCTTCGTACACCCTGTCGGTCCCGACTCTTACCGCCACCTCCGGCTCCGCTTCCATCACTGGCTCTGCTTCAGTTACTGCTTCCGACTCTGGCTCAGCCTCCGGTTCTATCACCGCCACCGGCTCTGGCTCCGGATCTGCTTCTGGCTCTGTTACCGCAACTGGTTCCGGCTCCGCTTCTGAATCTGCTACTGCTACGGGCTCTGGTTCTGGCTCCGGCTCTGCTACTGCCACTGGATCTGCCTCAGCTTCCGGTTCCGGCTCTGCCTCTGGATCTGCCTCTGGATCGGGCTCTGAGTCTGCTACTGGTATTATCCCTGGTTACCCTACTCTCCCCGGCTCTGATGTTGCTTCTATCACCTCTGGTGTGGCTTCCATCACCTCTGGCGTTGCTTCCATCACTTCCGGTGTTGCCTCCGTCACCTCTGCCACCGCTCCTATCTCCGCTCCTAGCGGCTACACGACTTCCACTGTCACCAACACTCAGACTTTCACCGTCACTCAGTGCGCTGCTACCGTGCCTAACTGCCCTGCTGGTTACGCTACCACTGCTACCCTCATCAAGACTACTGTCTACACCACTGTGTGCCCCGCTACCCAGACTGCGGCTATTACTGCTCCCCCGCCGAAGCCCACTCACAGCAAGCCTCCTACGACCGTGACCAAGTCTGTCATCACTCTCGAGCCCTGCTCCGAGGCCTCGACTTTCGTCCCTCCTACCAACCTTCCTACTGCCCCTTTCCCTACCGGTGGCAAGGCTGTTCCCAGTACTACTCCTGCCAGCATCCCTGCCTCTAGCTACCCTAGCGGATCTCCCTCGCAGCCTGCTAGCATCCCCTCTGTAACCGGCCCTGCCGGCACTCCTGGCAGCTCCGTCACCGTCCCCGGCAACAAGCCCCCCGGATCTTACCCCACCGGTGGTAACGCCACTGCGCCCATTGCTACTCCCAGCAGCGCTCCCAACGGCCCTGTATTCCCTACCGGTGGTGCCCCCTCCGGCCCTGCGTCGAGCGTCATCCCTCCTTACCCTACCGGTCCTGTCGGCACCCCAAGCAATCCCGCTGGCCCTACGTCTCCCCAGACTCTGAGCACTTTCGTGCCTAGCGCCAGCCCCGTCAACCCCGGTCCTTCCGGCTACCCGACCATCCCTGGTCAGCCCCCGATCGCTACCGCCGGTGCCGCTAAGGTTGGCAGCGGTGTCGCTCTCGCCGTTGCCGGTGCCTTCTTCGCCCTCCTGTAAGGGGTTTGAAGCACGGAAATATGTAATATAGTTGGAATGGGAGGAGAAAGAAAAAGGTCTTTTTTTAATATGTAATGTTTCATTGGAAAGCAAGCGTGGGGACGTGTTAGCATAGCTTCGGTAAGCTTAACTTTATACCATATATGTTCATGACAGCTTGTCGATATTTTACAAAGTCTTGGTCGCTGCCTAGTATTTCCTGTGTCGATGTGAATTAACCGTTTGGGGCCGGGGTGCCTCATTTTCGTTCTAGTATTAAAGTGGTAGATTTACGTGCACTTAATACTATCTCTCCTGTTGTCGATCAAATTCTGGGTAACTTGCTCAATGTGCTGAGTGGTTATAGCTTCCCTTATTATGGTTCTGCAGTGAAATGTTCAATAACATGGCTTGAGATTATGTCTTATCGTATCTACTTTTTATATCTTCGAAACGCAGTTTTGATCACAGTCGTTCTGTCGTTTCGTTCTACCTCAGTTTTACCCCCTTTTATCTTTTGCTCTTCCCAGCTTCCAATATTTTACCCTTTAATATTTTTTTCAAAGCTTTCTTGTCCTTGAATTTCTGGCTTTCTTCCTTTTCCCAAGTACTTTTTACCTAATCTGTGTTCGTGTAGCATTAGGTTACTCAGCTCGCATAACCCTAGACGTCACTTTAACCCCAGATTCATGACATCCTGTGATGCGACATAACGAGAATACTCCAACGATTCCTACATCTCTCTCTTATCAAATATCTCCTATCGTAAGATCTTGTTAGTGATTCTACGCAGCTGGATTTTGAATCCCACTGTCCCTCAATACTCAACTGCCGCTGACCGCCGGTTTAATCTGAGCTAACAGCAGTTAGAAGCCGACTAATATATTAGCTCGGTCCCGGCGGCTATGCGACAGTGGATAAATCTGACGCTTGCTGTCCTACCAGAACGATTCTAGCTAGTAACCGTCCTCGTAGTGTCGGCCGTTTCTATTTCCGCTTTCCTTGGTCTGCATATTCGGTTGGTTTGTTCACGCAAAGGGCACAGGTTTCGCCACTTCGTCTTACGTCCTTCTCCGCACCTCATCCCGCTCTAGGAATGTTAGGAGGATTACTATATGTGTTAATGATAGACTAGCGGCCCGAAGCGCTTTGCTTACATCTTTAGAGATTATAGTTTTTTTTCTTCCCCTCTTCAGCTCTGTATACAAAAGGACTTGTGCAACCGACCCTCTCTTTGAGTGAATTAAAGTAACAGTCATATTTGTGTCTTGTCGCTCATCTGCCGATGTGGTCGGTCTTTGATTCTCTCCTCGCCTCTCTCGTACGTAATAAGTTTAGGACTAAAAACCTAGAGGGAAGTTATCAAAGTACCCGAACCTTTTCTACATTTATATCGCCTCAAAAATGGCCCCTCCCCCGTTTCGTGCCGAGCATTTAGGTTCGCTACTGCGACCCGAAGAATTACTAAAAGTGCGTGAAACCATCCGCGACAAGGGTATCTCCGCAGAGGAGGCAGGGCTGCCGGCAGTTGAGAAGAAGGCCATTGGCGACGTAGTTAAACTGCAGCAGGACTTAGGCTTGAAGGCTGTCAACTCGGGTGAATACAACCGTACCCGGTTTTGGGGCCTCTTCTGGGACGAAATCGAGGGTACAATTCGTCTCCAAGATGCCGATGCAAGCATGTTCAGGCTGTACCACCCGGATGTTGTTAGTCTGATCGAGACAGGTAGGAAGGTCATGCCTGGAGAGTCTGTTATTGCCGGAAGCAAGTTATCACACAATCCTAGCAAGGCAGTTTCAAACCTCTCTGAACTTCAGGAAGTCCAGGCGTTCGTTCCCAAGAGCGAATGGGGTAATATCAAACTTACCATGATCGCACCCTCCTGGTTCCACATGAGGTACAAGCAAGGGAGGGCATACACCCCGGAAGCTTATGCCAACGACACCGAGTATTTTGCAGACGTTTCTAAGGTTTACCATGCCGAACTACAATTGCTATACGAGGCCGGTCTACGGAACGTCCAGTTCGATGACCCTGGCATGGCGTGTGAGTTGATTTTATTATATTTCGCAACATAATCTCTTTAGCATGTATCTAACGAAAAAGCAGACTTCTGCTCTACGGATTTCCGAAAAGGCTGGGAGGAAGACAAGGACAACATAGGAACATGGGAGGACCTTCTCGACGCCTACATCAAACTATACAATGACTCCCTAGCCGGCTTGCCGGCAGATTTCCACTCAGGTATCCATCTGTGTCGAGGTAACTTCATCGGCGGAAGGCACTTTTCTGAGGGCGCGTACGATATCATCGCGAAGAAGCTTTTCGAGGATCTGAACGTGAACACGTTTTATCTCGAGTACGACACTGAGCGTGCAGGCGGCTTTGAGCCTCTGCAGTTCCTCCCTAAGGATAAGAATGTCGTGATTGGCGTCATTAGCTCGAAGCTAAGACAGCTAGAAGACAAGGAGGAGACTAAGGATCGTATCTACAGGGCGGCGGACTTCGTGGCGAAGGGAAGCGGCCAAACCCGCGAGGAGGCTCTGAAGAGAATCTCCATCAGCCCTCAGTGCGGTTTCAGTACCCATGAGAGTGGATACCCCTTAACGGTAGACGACCAGAAGAAAAAGCTATCGCTTGTAAGACAGATAGCGGACGAAATCTGGGGCGAGCCATAGATCTATATTATTTAGATGCGTGCCTACATGACATGGGAGTTTGGGGTGGAAGATCCACGGTTGATTGGTTGTGATTTCGCAGAGGTTTAGCGACTCGCTCTTGGTTACTTCAACAGTCCAAATTTAGGGTTAGAAAGGATAAAGATAAGGTGCCATAGGGTACGGCGGGTGGTAGTACGGCGGGTGGTAGCCGCAATTTCTTTTTTCTTTCTTTTTTCTTTTTTTTTGGGGGGGGGGGGGGGATGCCCATGGAGAATCAACTTCTAAGATGTACATAACGGCATATCGGCATGGCGGCATCAGGGTCTGTCAGTGACATGAGGGAAATTTAAAAGGAAGTGATACCATTTGTATGATCTATACATGTCTACCAGGTATATAGGGGATACGATCGTGAGATCAAATGGGTCTTGCGGCTGCGACAGGTGTATCTCGACCGGCCTCAAGAACCCCATGGGGGGCGGAATGTATGCCAAGGGGAATATCGTGAATCTCAAAGTGATATAACCACTTGGTATCACTGCTAGTTGAGATATGCCATCACGGCACCGTAGTTTGGAATGTCCGAGGGCTTCTTCTGCGTAGACCTTTAAGAAAAAAGGAAAAGGGGGCGCGTCCTCGGTCTATTTCCTTACGTATTTGGGTGCGTGGCCGCTATGATGGCGTATTGACCCCGAGCCTTGAATGCCTTTCACGAATCTTGGAGAACTGGTGAGATATGTTTCGCTTTAAGGTTTTGGCTTCGTCAGAATAAACCCGTGGTATCCAAAACCAGAGCCATCGCCGAGGACCTCCATATCAATTTCCCAGTTGGTTCCTTCACAATTCAGTAAAGGCCTTATGAAATGCGGTTGACGATAGGTCACGTAGAGGAATACACCATCATCCTTGAGGACTCGATTCACCTGCGTTATATTAGTAGTTCGGAGCAGTACACCAGCAACTTTAAGACCTACCTCACGGATATATTGACCGGTGTTCTGTTTAACATCGTGAGGGGGGCTCCAGGGACTACCGTGTATCATCGCGTCCAAGGTCCCCTTATCAAATGCGACATCTATGGACTTTTCAGGGATGTCATCCAAGTGACGGACATCGCCGTGTTTCCATTCGATACCCTCCATACTGGCGTGTCGCTTAGACATTAGATCCACAACCACCGTGGAAAAGTCGATGCAGAGTTGGTTTTTATACCCCTTTTCCCATAACCCTACTGGCACGTCCTGTGGAATACGTCAGCTGATTTAAGTCATGTCAGCTTCCATTTCCTTAAGCGAACTTACGCTATCTCCGGACCCTAAATGTAAAATGCGTGGGTTTGCATCTGGGTCTCGGGTCTGAAAGAGCCTCTGATTAAGAAAGGACTCGAGTTCTGCGAAATTTCTAAACCACTCATGAGTTGGCCGGTCTCCTTCAGCCTGAGAGTACCGCTGATCCCAAAAGCTGGGATGTGCGAGACGCTCATTTTCTTCATCTGACCCCATCTCGAGGATTTCCAATTTCTTTCCAAACTGAATCTGTCGAATTTGGTAAAACAACCTGTCAGTTTCTTCACCTAGGTGTCTAAGACTTCAACGCTGCAAAGCCACTTGTAGGGATAACTGTGGATATCCACGTGACATTATATAGAATGGAATAACCATGTTCCCATCCGGAACTTTTACTGAATTGAATGGAACCTTCAGTTAAATGGATTCCGTGCACATTTAATGCATTAAGGTACATTATAGGTAACCCACCTCCACATGCCGATCGTAACTTCACATTTATCGACCATTGGAGGAAGAGCTGGCTGTAGGGCTGAGAGGTACAATACATAATAAAGTATTTTAGGTTAGACATGCTTCTATAATAAGAATCCTTGTAACCTTGCATCGAATATTGCGTCACTTACATGGGCAAGCTATATACACCCATCATCGATACTATGTCATCGTCATCCTTTCAAGTGAAGCAAAGGAACAACTTCAACTCACATTGTTTAAAGAAAAAAAAGAAGAAAAAAAGAAAGTGATAATATCACAAATTTCAAATACAACAGGGTAATCCGATGGCTGAAGTCGCAGCTGGTATATTGGCAGCCGAGCAAGCGGTCTCCGCAACTATCTATGCTGGAGCGGCTGGTTATGCTCTGGCAAAGTCCACGATGCCTCTCAAGGCAACCTTTTCACAGACTGGATATACGCCCGACACTGCTTCGAGGTGCGAGATATAATCTTCCGCATTCATATCATACTAATTCATTCAAGCGCTTCCCTCACTAGATCTCATCATACGCTCACCATAATTGGCGACAAAGCTTATATTTTTGGAGGCCAGACAGGCCAAGGGAAACTTGCCGGTAATAGCATTCACTCTATAGCGCTACCGGAGGCCGATACTGCTACGCCTGATACTGCTACGCCTGAATATCAAGTATTGCCAGCCCTCGCTGCGGAAAAGGGCGGGTCTGTGCCAAAACCGCGAACCAGGCATTCTGCTTGCGTTTTAAATAACAGCGTCGCTATTTACGGCGGTTACAATGAAAGTGGAAACATCGTAGATGAAGACTCTACAATCTGGTTGTTCGATGTCGAAAAGCTCACATGGAGTACTATTAAACCTTATAGCCTTCCAGAGAGTACGCCGCCGCCAAGAGGCGAAGCGTATTTGCTTGCGCATGATGGGAACCTCATTCTTGTCGGTGGGAAGAATGCAAACGGTGAAGCGCTGACGGACGTTTGGCATTATAATTGCTCCTCCGGGGCTTGGAAAAAGCTATCGCATACTCCAGACATCATCGCAGGCGCAGCAATTGCAGGGCACACGTTATATGCAATCACTAACTCTGATGATAGTCTTGGTAGCGAAGTGCATCGTCTTGACATTCAACCGTATACCGGACCATGGCAGACGGTCTCGTTTCCTACGGACCCCTTGACACCGGGACCTCGACCACGTTCTCGAGGCGGATTGATACCCATAACTACGGGATACGGCCGGAATTATCTCGTCTATTTCTTCGGCGATCGCAAGGGAAAAGCTGAGGCAGGTGACCTTCTCCAATGGAGTGATCTGTGGACTTTCCAACTTCCATCTAGCGATTTGGAAGCCAAATCGACCACCTCCGTAAAGGATGCGATCAAGCCGGCTAAGATTAAGGATGAGATACGCAAAAAGCTAGGCGCTGACACGGGCGGGTTTAGCTGGGCTGAAGTTGAAGTGCAACCACCTGGTGATATTGAAGCGCACGAGGGTAAGATTCATCCTGGGCCGCGAGGTTCGTTTGGATATGACGTAACCAATGATGGAAAGAGAATTGTACTTTGGGGTGGTTGTAATGCGGCTGGAGAACCGGAGGGTGACGGATGGATCGTTGAGTTCTCGTAGTGCTACCACTCGTGACATAATTGGCTTTGCTACCAAGAGCCCTATTAAAAAATAAGGAACACCATGTAGGCGATGAGAAAGACGAGAAAGCCGTATCTATTCCAAGGAAATTGCATATCGAAATGTCCCACAATGAGCTTGTTCTCCTTTCATGACAGCCCTTGTTAAAATGGGGAAAACAAAGGCACCTTTGTTGCAGGCGATGGACAAAGGGTTTATCTAATAGAAGAGCATTCATATCGGGTCCGAGCCCATGGCACTTGGAACCCTTTTTTGATGTTCTTCATATTTTTACTTCCGTTTCGTTCTACCTCATACTAAATTGACACCATGGTTAGAAATCACAACGTTATTTCGGTCTATGATACCACTCCGTATCATGCCTATTGTCTATCCGATAATGGGGATGAAGATGACGACGTCTGCGTGTGGAATGAAGGCCCACAACTTATAGATATGTATGATAGCGAAGATGAGCGTATAGTTGCTGAGATTCATAGACATATTCCTGAGAATGAGAGGGTATTTCGCACCAAAGTGGGGAAGGATGTATCTCCGACGGCGAAGATACGACCTAAACGGCCTGAAACACCGAAGAGGACGGATAGCGTTGTCACAATCCTAGAGAGATCACCCAAAGACCCAGATACGTTGTCCGATGACGAGCTTCAAGAGCGGCAGATCGCACATGCACTATCGACTACCCGGACGAACCTTACTAGGATCTCGCAGTTCATTCTGAAGTTAGAGTGTCGTGCGGGGAAGATCACGAAGGAAGGCATCAAACAGACCCTCGACGCTACTGTTGCCAATGTCACTACTAATGCGGCCGATAACTACCCAACTTACCAAGACGAACTTGAGGAAATCCAACACCTCAGCGAGAGCACCTGGCAGCGTCTATATCTCATCGATAGGCACTGGCGACGGCAGAGCAACCTAGACAAGGATGCCGGGGCGCCTAATTCCCACATCGAGCTTGAGAGTGAGCCGGGCGTGAAGGCGTTTCTAAAAGGGGAACGGCAGAGCAGCCACATCACAAGTCAGGACCCATGCTACTACACAGCGTATAATCTCGTGAACGGGAGGAGGTTCGAGGACTGGATTGCCTACCTGAAGGACTTCTGTGAGTTCAAGGAAAACCCGACCGAGGAGACCAAGCTTGTGCATCTAGCCTGGAGGTTCTTGGACCGCGATCTGCGTGGACCGAGGCCGGGCAAAGCCGCGCGCCTTCAAGATTTCCTGGATTCTCTCAACGACCAGTATGATAACGGCGCCTTTGACGAGGCGATAAAAAACCCCAGGAAGATGGAGCAAGATGATGACGGGGCATGGGGCGCGATAAAGAAGTTCTGGTTTACGAGGTTTCAGGGTTAGTTACCAGGTACCAAACCTATATAGCATCTAGAGTTAAATATATGATTTTGTTACGCTTGTAAGAATTAAGCCCGCAGGGCTGAGGCAAGCTTGTGCTGTGTGAGGTGTGAATTTCCTTCATTTGAATGTGAATGGGTATAGAATGCACGAAGTTTTACGGACTTACATCCCGCATCATTCTTGCACCCTTAAAACTGCTAGAGTAAGGCTAGCAGCACGTATATACAACTTCCAACTTTTAAATACGGTCAGTACGATTCAGTTAGCATGTCGAAGCATAGATGCAGTACGGAGGGTAAGCACTTGGATGTCGAATTTATGTAGTCCTCTGGGTCGTGATGTACCCAGCACGAAAGCCTAAGCCCAAGCGCAAAAGCAAGAGCAAGATCAGTTTGGAGATGATGCCAAGTATCACGTCATCATAGGTTCCTTTTTTCTATGTTAGGGAGATGCTTGTCTTTACGATACCTAGCTGTCCAATACAGGGCAATAGAATCCTTTCAAGATATATAAACAATGCTTTATACCTGGTAATCATCTCAAAGGCGGCTCAAGGAACCTGACTGATGCTTTATCTGTGAAACAAGCCATTATTAGTTGAATCGTGGAGGTGACGTCGACGATAGTGCAAAGAATAGGTATACAAACAGGTAATAAGAACCTTTATAGGCCTGATTATCGCTTTCGTGTAAGCTATGCGGAAAATTAGACGCCCGTGGGAATCTAGCAGCTACCTCATATGCCCCCCCTTTTATTCAACCGGCTACCAAGTTCCCTCGCCCTCATGTCGTGCACTCCACTAACACCTCTTCTGGGGTCTTCGGAAAACGCCAATTATTCTGCTGTTAAACATGCGTTAAGTAGTAATACTCTCGTAAGGCAAGAGTCAGGTGAAGCTGAATTTGAAGTTCGGGAGGACCATATAGTCGATATCGAGAGAATAATGAAAATGAGAGAGATGATCTCGCCTACCACGGCATGTTCTTCTGATAGCAGTTGCGGTTCGTATTTCTGCGATTACTGTGTGCAGAACGGTTTGCGGCACTCTCTAGAGGGGGAGCAGCAAAACCTTTGGGTAAGATGTGTGGACGACGAGGGGTCGCTGGCGGTCCTTGAAATGGCGATAACCTTCCTGATGCGCTTTCTTGGTGTATTAGTGCCTGTTATCTTGCTACTCGTTCTAAGGATGTATATAGCGTTATTATTTTAAATATATTTGGGTTGCCTGATACCTACCTAACCTATGGCATATGCATTATACACATGCTCCCTCGTCGTGCTTCCTCCCTCCAAGTGAATGTCTCCTATCGAACTTGCTACCCTGCGACCCTGCGACCCTTGCCCAAGTGCAACTACCTAACATACCTCCTTCTAAGCAAATTGACATTTTACCACACACACATACACTAACCACCCTTTTACCATCCTACTCTTACATATTATATTGAAGATCACTCCCAAGTATCATTATTCTTACCTTAGCTGTCTACCTCCTACCTGGGTAAGGTAGATACACACAGTTTCCAGCTTGTTCCTACCTAAACCCTATTCCCACCTCTCATGGTTTATTAATTTCCATCTTACTAAAATCATTAAAAGCCTCACTCGCCACGTACCTCTCTTTTCTTTTTCTTTTCTTTTTCTTTTTTCTTTTTTTCTTTTTTCTTTTTTGATCATAATCGATACTATCTCGTTACACCTCTCCAACTAGAAAAAGCAAGGGGACTTCGGCCTGTGATTTCCTGCATCTGGTTACCACCACGCTCTTCACTTCGACCCTTCCTTGACATCTAAGCATCTTTCAACTTTTCCCAAAACCTTCAAGTGGGAAATCTAGTATCATTCGCTCTAATTTCTTTTGCGTGACTGTGTCGCTCATTATCTTCTCATGGTATTCCTTTTCACCTCCACATCTCAGCATAGATATAGGTTCTATATCTAGATACACGAGACGTCTCATTACGACCACTTCTCAGTCTAGATATGACCGATATAGAAATGGAAGCTCGGATTTCATCTCCTACTACTGACGCGGCAGCACAGCATGAAACTTCAGACTCCTTCGCATGGAGGCTATGTGGCGACTGTGATGACGAGAAGCGAATCGAGATTAAAGAAGATGCACTCGAGTTCGGACTCTCTAAATGCGAGCATTTGATCAACAAGTTCGAGCAGTTTCTTAGTGACGCTCGCCTGAATGACGAATCTACTTCAAATCTTCTAGGACGTGAATCGCTTCGCAAGTGGATTGAAGACTGCAGTACGGATCCTAGGTACGATTCAAGGTGATGCAATGCTAATATTATGCTTAGGAGATCTCACAAAGCTTCACAAAAAATTCGAAGTACTCGTCGGCGTTGCCGGTTCCACTGGTAGTGGGAAAACGTCAGCACTCAATGCCCTTCTCGGGTTCAATGAGCTCCTACCAACAAATAATCAAGAGGCATCAACTGCCGTGGTCTGCAAAGTATCTTATAATGACAGTGATAAATCTAGCATGAAGTTCAGAGCTTGTGTCACTTTTCGCACGAAGGCAAACTTGGTGAGGCAACTGGACACATTCTTCGAGGATCTAAAGGGCAGGGATGAGCTACGAGCGGCAGACGGGGATTCTCTAGAGGATCAAGAAGCTCTTCGAAACACGAACGCACGTCTGAAGCCGACTTTTGAGATGATCAGAACAATCTTCGGCATCGAGGAGTGCGATGTGGCTGGGATGACGACCCAGACTCTCCTTGAGCAGAATGAGAGTGTCACTAAACTGCTTGGAACAACTAAAAAATTCCACGCTGGCCATGAAGACCAGTTAGCAGAGCAGATAAAACCTTATACGGACTCAACTACAGCTCAACATACTACCTCAGGATTGAAATTTGCAGCTTGGCCCCTCATTGATGAAGTAGAATTATACATCAAGTCGGATATTCTCAAAAATGGTGTTGTCCTTGTCGATCTGCCTGGCATCGCCGACGCCGTAGAGAGTCGGGCTGACGTCGCCAGGAACTACTTTCCCAAGCTAGCCGCTACTCTCATCATTTCTCCCGCCCGCAGAGCAGCAGACGAATCTGCCGCAGTGAAGTTGATGTCAGATCATCAAGAACTACAAATTCAAATGAATGGCAAATTCCATAAGAACAGCTTCTGCGTCGTAGTCTCGCAGACGGACCATATTGACCGTAGGTCAGCCGTTAAAAATCGAGAGGATAAGTCAAACTCTAAGCTGAAAGACCTTCTCGAGGAAGAGAGTAAAGTGAAATCAACGAAGCAGAAGAAGTTACAACAGCTGAAAGAAGCCACCAAGCAGCTTCAACAACTTCGCGTTGCCGAGAAAACTGCAGCACCAAAAAAAATCCCAAGATATTTCTCGCAGTAAGTAAACTCAAAACAATTTGCTACATCGGCATGCTAATAATAATTTCATTAAGAAACTTGGACCAAAGCCCCAGAACCAAATTATAGCAGTCGGATAAAACGTCAACGAAGAGATCGCGACAACCTCAAGGATGATATTGATAAATTGGAAAAGGAGTTAGAGCATTTGGACGGTCACATCACTTTCCTCTGCGTCCAGAGCAGAAACAAATTCCTCGAGGGTCGCATACAACGTGATTTCCAAAGGCGACAGACAGAACTTACTCACAGCGGACAAAACAAGCCCAGAGATATATATGATGGTAGAGTCTCCGTTTATCCGACCAGTGCAAAGGCATTCTGGAATTGCATATTAGAAGACAAGCCCCTGACTGGCTTTCCGGATCAGCGATATTCAGGCATTCCAAGTCTCCACCAATGGATCAGAAAGGCCACCATCGATGAGCGAGAGAGCCACGCTAATAGTATCCTTTACGATCTGCTCAATCACTACAACGTGATTCAAATCTGGGCGAGGGAGGAATGGGGTCACGATCGACTTCAAATCAACAGGGAATGGCTGGAAAATGATGTATTTCCAATCTTCTACGCCGACTTGAGAAAGGTATACAAATTCCCTTGCATTTTTAAGCCATGTGTGACTAGGTACTAATATGGAACGACGCAGGATCTGAATGCATATTGGACGGAACTCAATAAATCCGCAGGAAGATATAATCCGCTTCGCGACAGAACGCAATCACTCAATAACTGCGCGGGACAATGTCGTAAGGTTGTAAAAGGCTGGTCATTCAAGAATGATACTACGGCGGCCAAGATACATTGGCTCACATACCAGGTTAATATCAGCCGGCATGGGGGTAGCTTTGAGAGCATATCTGGGACTTATCACTGGATGGAGGATATGTAAGGACTATATCCCTTTTGCTATAAACTTTCAGAATGACTAACCTTAGTATCAGCTCAGTTGTTTTACTTCGGACAATTGTAGCCGACTGGGATCAAGCTCTGAACCATGATATTCCTGGACTTTATGAACCGGCATCTAAGTTTGTCGATAATATTTGGGAGCACTTCTCAATAAATTTAGAACCGAGTGTTCGGAATATCGCTCCTAATCTTTTACCTTTCCTTCACGAGATCATTCCCGATCTTGTTATGATAAAGGAGCAAATCAAAGACAGAGTACGACAGGCTCTGATGAGTATCTCAAGGGGCGCATCTGAAGTTCACCCGAATATGGTCAAAATAATTCAGAAGAAATGGGTTTCTACGTTCAATGAAGCACTCAAGATAAAAGGCAAGTTATACCATCTAATTCTTACTTTTAAACCACACCTAACTCGGGAGTAGGGAAGGGCTCGTTCAAGGCACGCCAGGACCTTTTAGCTAGATTTGCGGAGAAGAGTGGCATTAAGATGTTCAACGCCGCTTTCGAGGATATGAAGAATAAACCCAAGGAAAACTTTAATCGATTTCCGGGGGATCTTCAGGACATATCGGAATTTGCAATTCGGTTGGTACAGAATCGCATACAAGTCCTCTTGAATAACATTGCCATACCAGACGCAAAGATAGAGGAGGCATTCAAAGAGAAAGTTGAGCTGCAGCAGTATGTGCGCAGTACGCTCATGGACTGGGATCTTAAATGGAAGCTTCACGGAACATTCCACAAGGTCCGCATGATTGAAGAGGAAGTGTTAATTCCTGATGAATACCTCGTAGAAGAGACGAAGATGACGAAGACGGTGATGAGATGGATATTGATGATGAAGATAAGGACACTCGCGGGATTTTCAATATTGACGACTTACTTTGAATAGCCCTTCAGCTATTCGTTTCAGCAATGATTTCTAAAGCTCACGTCAATAACCGATGGGTGCTCTTTGAAGTACCTCTTTGACTTAACTTGATACTGAGCTAAGTAAGATGAGATGGTTGGTAGAAGGCACTGCACCGCCCTACGTCTTCTACATTGTGCCCCTTACATTTGCGATGCTTTCGCTACACTGGCGCAGATTGGTAGACCATATACGGCGATGAACCCTCTAAGGAACGTGCTATTTTCATATAGGCCTAGGCTAGAAAAGAATATAAATCGTGCAAGTTTCAGTTTAAAGTTAATACTTCACATATTTCCCTACATTATGAACGTTGAAGAGCACGGTATATCTTGACTTAGTTGCATTTTCAACATAACATCTACCACGTAATTATCGTTTTCTAATAACCTTCTAACCAGATGGGAACTCAGTAACGAGAACACTCTAAAAAGCCCCCACAAGGTGAATATGACCTGGAAGATTGAAAGAAAAATATCTCTTTTTTTTTTTCTTTATGGAACGTACCACCATAGATTCAACTAAATCTTGCTTCTTCTTTTGAAAACGACGTAGGTAATATTATCACCCATCTTACCTGTTCCACTATCTCATCGACAACAAGCAATCTCTCCCACTCGACGAGAGGGATCGCGCGTGCTGACCTCCCTACCTACCTAGGTACCTACCTCAGGCAATTAATTCCATACGTTATTTTCCATTCTGTCCTCGGGAGCGAGCATCCTGTACTGCGGAGGGTTATGTCTGAAGATGATCTCGGTAGCCATATCCTTCAGGAACGGCGGGCTGGCGGTATCGAGGATCTCGTTCAGCCGCACGATGCCGTTGTCCATCTGCCGGATGAGCGCTGGGAAGTAAGCCAGGGCGGCGATGAGGAGTATCGCGTGGAACCACACGCCGTTCCCGGCCCAGAGCCTGACGTCCTCCCGCGTGTACCGCGACTTCATGGGTTGGCAGTACCGCCACCCGACGTACAGCCAGCCGGCCCAGAGGAGCACCCACACGAGCGCTCCCGTCCAGGAGTCGCTCGCCGCCACGGCCACGGTTAGCAGGAACAGGGAGACGGTAAAGGTAGTCATGCCGGCGGCCAGCCCGACGATGTTGTCGTAGTTATGCGGGTTCAGGAGGCGGAGCAAGGTGACGTCCCAGGGCTCGGGGACGGGGTCGTGGCGGGATTCGGTGCCGGACAGGGAGCGGAAGAGGGTGAGGAAGACGGACTGGCGGATGACGATGAACATGAAGGTGATCCAGAACCAGGCGACGAAGAACAGCAGCACGTGGAAGACCATGGTCAGGACGGTGACGTGCGGCTCCGGAAGCTCGAGGAGACGGAATATCTCGATGGTGTTGGATACGATGTCGTCGACGAGGCTGGGCGGGTAGGGGGAAGGGTCCCCGCCGTGCGGCCAGTTTATACCCATCGCGGCTTGCTGTTCTTGCTCTCGCAGCTACGGGTGGCGGGATATCTGGATCAGTATGTAAAGTGCGCGAACAGTAGGACTTACCGAGACGAGAGTTCTGTTCGTTTTCTTGGAAGTCTTATCTCGTCCGCGTGTAGAAAGGCTGTTTGACTAGTGTTCATTCGACAGACAGGATTACGAGTCTAGATATATATATATACATAGTCGAATCGTGGGATTGTTATTGTCTTGAGTGGCCAAGCTGAATTTGTCTGAATGGGCTTATGCCTCGAACTATGCCTTTTTTCATCTCTCTTACAACAAACAAAGCTATAGATATAGTTGGTATAAAGCCATTGTTCTAATGGCTATGATCTGTAATTTTAGGTAGACACTCCTTTGAGGTCAAGGGAATTTCTATGACACAATTCTTAGAACGATGCGATATACAATACAATCAGACCCGCAACTGCTCCTCGCTCCCCCCTTATCCCCGTTGCCAACCCCCCCTTAGTATCAGGGAATCCCACCATAATCAGGAGACAAAGCCCCTTTTCGTCTACCGCGATCTATACGCGCGTCTAGCACCCAACGCCTCCGTCAACAGCGTAAACAGCGGATTATACACCCAATTCAACCACCCGAGCCTCACCAAGCCGAAATCCATCAGCGTGCGCAGCTCCGGAAACCACGCCAGCACCAAGAGGAGCACGGCGAGCGCAACGATCAGAGACTTGTCGTACACGACGCTCGCGCACACGGCCACGTACCACGCGAGGAAGAGCCAGAACACGGCCGCCGGGTGCGGATAATGGCTCAGATCGGCGGGATCGACGCACGCGAACCCTAAGGCTACTGCCCTCATTCCTAGCAATCCGAATACCAGCATCCAGATAGTGATCGCCCAGCGCGTGGCCCGGATCAGTAGCTGCGGGTATCGCACTAGCCAGAGGCCGAAGACTATTGACCAGGTGACTGTAGAAGAAGAAGAAAAAGAAGAAGCAAACGGTCAGCTATCCGGTTCATTTGAGTGGGAGAAAGCGTATATCTTGGAGTACCTCTGTGGTAGGTAGCTTGAATACATAATATAGGTGGGATTGCCTCCTAGGAGTAACCAGGTCTCAAAGCGAGAGACTCAAAAATGAGAAAAGTTGGCACTTACTAGTGGCGGAAAGCACAATAAAGTACAACATTATTTATTTAGTAGGCTCTTTTCTACTTCGCACGGGATATGATCTTTCGACTTAGGTGTACCAGCGTATGCGGATTATGTTATGGCTATGCGGTCTCGAGATGTGTCCAGAACAGCGCGAAAGTATCAATTAATTCATCTAGCCGGCGGAGGGAGGCTAAGATGCGAATCAGAAAAGGGGGGGAAGGACGTAATGGTAGAAAACCCGTCAACTACCCCCCCTTTACAGTTTCCTGGCCCCTGCCGAAAGCAGTTTCGAGGGTGAATAACAAAAGACCTCAGTTCATATTCTCTTTCACCCTTCAGCTATCTTCATTGTGTGCCTGACCCGTTACATATAGTCTTTGTGTCGATGCATCGCGTACCTCAGTAAAAAAAAAAAAAAAAAAAAAAAAAAAAAAAAAAAAACCCTAATGGCCCTGGTGCCGAGACAAAGAAGATCATCATATGCGTATTTCGACTTTTTCATATGATATACTTTTCATTCATCGTTACCGTCATATACACATACATACCGAGATTATTCACGGACGAAAACACCGGCCATGCCCATCCCGGTCCCAACGCACATACTTACCACACCGACCTGTCCTCCGGTACGCCCCAAGCCATGTAGCAATGTAGCAGTCATTCTCGCCCCCGTAGCACCGAGCGGATGTCCCAGCGCGATGGCGCCTCCGTCGGGGTTAACTTTACCCTGCGCCCAGGCTTCTTTCAAGCCAAGCTCTCTCAAGCAATAGACAGATTGGCTAGCGAAAGCCTCGTTGATCTCCCACCGGTCCACGTCCTCCAACTTGAGATCGAGCTGATTCAAGAGCTTAGGGATGGCCAGTGCGGGGCCAATGCCCATCTCGTCCGGAGCGCAACCCACCGTAGTAGCAGCCACGAATTTCCCTATGATGCTGGAGGTAAGTCCGAGCTCTGTTGCCGTACTCCGCTTCATCACCAGGGTCGCGGCGGCTCCGTCGCTAACCTGGCTGGAATTGCCCGCCGTACTTGTGCCAGATTCGCCGTAGACAGGTTTGAGTTTAGCAAGGCCCTCGAGCGTCACGCCCGGTCTTATGCCATCGTCCTTGGTGACAGTGATCTGTTTCGGCTCTCCAATCGCGTTCCCTTGCTTATCTGTCTCCTGAAATATAGTAGAAACGGGCACAATCTCTTGGTCGAATAAACCCTCGGCCTGGGCCTTCGCAGCGCGGCGCTGGGACTCGAAGGCGAACTCGTCCTGCTCCTCGCGCGAAACCTTGTATCTCTTCGCAACGTTCTCGCTGGTAGCCAACATAGGCATAATGCAGTCGCGCGCATCTTTGACGGGACTCTCGGCCAATACAGGCCACCTATCTACGGGAATGGCCTTGCTAGCGTAATTCCTCGTCATGCTCTCCATCCCAGCGGCGATACCTACGCTAATCATGTCCACGCGGATCTGAGCCGCAATGTTGGCCAGAGCTTGTAGACTGCTGCTACATGCGCGGTTGACGGTGTACAGAGATGTGGTATTAGGGAATCCGACGTGATTCATAGCCATGCGAGAGGCCTTGCTGCCGCCGAGTTCGGAGAGGACGACGCCGACGGCGACATCTTCTATCTTGTTCGGTGGGAGGTTCGGATTGGCGTCGAGCGTGGCGCGTAGTACGACGGAAAGAAGTTCCTCGGGGTAGGCATTCTTTAGTTGACCACGATTTGAGCGACAGATAGGCGTGCGTAGGGACGAGAGAATAACGGTGTCGGATGGCGCCTTGGATAATATGGAGGAGAGTCCCCTGGGAAGTGTCATCTTTATTAAGGAGCCAGAGGGAGGAGAGGGAGTTATGAGAGAGAGAGGGGGGGAGAAGATAAACCAATGTTTAATGGAAGCTATGTATTTTAGGTGGTAGGTAGCTACGATTATATACGATACATCATGTATATCCAACAGGCTAATAAATAATAAAGAAACAAGAACTAATTATACCTAAAAGAGAGTAATATGTACATAGGTAATTAAAATGCATAAAAAAAGGGAAGAAAGATTCAAGTCGACGACGGCCCTAAGCGGGAGAGCGGGAGAACGGGACGGGGGAAAATAAAATCGTGAAAGGTGAAAGACGGCAAAAAGGCCGTTGATTGTTCTAAGGAAGAAATAGCGAAAACTGCCGGTCGCCGGTTCCGCAGGTGGGGGTGGAGTAGGCAGTGCCTTTACAGCACCTAATGTACCTAATTGTACCTATGAAATTGGGGAATGCTACGATTCGTACATCATCTGCTTCAACTTTACATCCGTTAAACACTCAACCCAATATTAGATACGTGTAAAAGCGGTTCAACATCATGCACATATCTGCCTTTAGGTTGTTGGAATTTAACATATCTTATTGATACCCTACGACATGACTAACAAACGTCCATCGCTGTAAACCCATCATGCCAAATTGCCCATTTGCCCATTGCCCACTGTCCCGTTCCGTAAGGCGTCGTAATAAAGCCAATCCAGGAACCCTCATCAAGACGAATTCGAGACGAATTCGACACTTTTCCGTCCAAGTGCGCTTCGAGCCCGGAATCAAAGAGATTCGAGCACCGCCATAACTAGAAAGGGTATAATACACACCTCATTCATTTTTTTCGTCGTCGCCAGAATCCAAAGTATGAACGATAATCCCAACCAGACCTTGCCGTGGCCCAACCACAAGCAACCATAACATGAGCCACATCTCATCTGCTAAATTCTTCCCAACACATTTCGAAAAAAAGAAAATCATGGAGTAGAAACTTTTTAAGCTGCTTGGCCGTAGCGAATACCTAGCCCAACACGGCCGTTCGCCTCAGTATTCCCTCCGTATCTCATCTTCTTAGGACTTACGGCATTTTCGAGGCGGCCTTCGTTGCCCTCCGTGCTGGCGCTGAACTTTCGCTTTTCCGCCGCAAGCCCAGCCTTATTCAGACCCGCGAACAACTTCGATTGTAGCTTAGCAGATTTCTCTGCGGGCGCCGGCGTACCATCACGGGATCCAACGGAGCTGGCGACTTCGAAGCTTTCCCGGGGGTCACGACGTAGCATTTCGGATGCTGCCTGGCTTGCTTGGCTCTCAAATACCTCGTCCTCCTCCCTTCGCCGCGACGCTCGCGAGCCTTGCGACATGTACGACTGAGTAGCCGCTGCTACCGATTCTAGCGCCGCCCGGTCAAGTTCTTCGTTGTCGTCGGCGGATATGGTGCTTTCTCGACTTTGTCGCCCTCGCTTTTGAACTGGCGTCTCTAGACCATATCGACTGTTGTTATACCGGTTTGGAGGTTCAGTTTGTGGGACCAGGTCAACAGAAGGTAGTAAACCAGAGTACTCCCCACGGGGACGTGCAATAGGCGTAGTAGGGAGAGATGACAACGATTGAACTCCACGAGTGTGCCTCGGAGCTGCCCGTAGAGTAGGCCGGCCATTTGCTGTCGGAGTGGATGGTGCACTGTTATCGTGGCTTAAAGCTTGAAGAAGAGCAGCAAAACCAGCTTGGTTTGTATCGTTATCGTGACGGACGTCCCGATGGACGGGCTTGGGTGTTTGTCGTGGTGTGGCCCGGTATTGCTGAGGCGAAGTAGCTGCGGGAGTTTTCGGTGTCAGGGCACCATGAAATACTCCGCCGGGACTGCAGAGCATATGGAAATGTTCCCTATTCTCACGAATGCGATTTAGAAGCATATCACGCTCATCAATCAAACTGTCGCGTTCCTCACTTTGCTGCTGGATAAGCTTGGTAGCAGATTTTATGCGTTTTTGAAGGGCTTCGTTCTCTTTTACGACGTGTTCATGCTGGGTTTGAAGCTCCCGGTATTTGACTTGAGCTGACTCAGTAGCCGCATCTAGCTCTCGCCTGGCTTGACGAGAACTCTCAGCCATACGTAATACCTCAACTTCTCGCCTCGTCATATCGTGTTCCACCTCCGCTCTCTTTGCATCCTCATCAGCCTGCATGCTAAGTAGGTTATATTGTAGCTTATGATGGGCCGTTTCCATCTTTAACCTCGCGTTTTCAGCCAGGCATGTTTGAACCATAGCACGGAGCTCGTCAGCTGAGGCACCCGCAATTTGATCGGGGGTTGGAGCAATATATTCCGACGTGGAACTACCGTCTCGTGCAAGCGTCCGGAAAGTCGTCGCAGGAGGAGAGAATATACCAGCTCTTTGCGAGCTGACATATCCTAAAGGTATGTTGGAAGCCCCATTGACGGTAGGAACCTGAGACGAAGGAGGAGGGGTTAAGGATGAGGGAATAATCTGGGAAGATGAGTTACGGTCATCAATTACTTCTATCTTAAAAGAAGTAGATGGATCAAGAGGCGAGTTTGGACCTTCGGTAGAAGGAATGGACTGCTGCGATGAAGCATGGGCGATACCCGTGGCATCAGGAGGAGTGGAAGGAACGTGATCATAGTCGCTCTCTACAACGCCGTTCGGGCGCGAGTTGTTGGTTTCAGTATCAGCCGACATGATTCAAATTTTGATTCGAGGGTATCGTGAGAGATTGAGCAAGAGGATAGGCAGGTAAATATATCCTTCTGTTAGATCGAATTGGAGTACGACCAAGTCGGACTGCTTGGAGGTAGCAAGTAGAGAGGCGTCTAAATTAAAGGCGAAAGGGTGTTGTGTTTAGAGGTTAGGCGGTCTAGTTCGGAAAACGCAACATGCTCTTTTGAACTGATTCAAAAGAGTTCGCGGACGGTCAGAAGAGGGGGGAGAGGGGGAAGGTAATAAAATAAAATAATGTTACTGCCACATCAGAGTAGGTGGATATGAAGAGTGAAGCAATGAAGAGAGGATGTTTTACGTGGAAGTGGAGAAGTTGTGAAGTGGATTGAAGTGGATGGGAAAACTTCGTTTACTAACTGGAATTACTATGTACAAAGCTGGTTGCTCCAGCAAGCCCACCAAAGTCCCACCAAGTCCAGTGGGCGAAATCCCAGAAATTCTGAAGGCTGGCAGGGGATCCACCCTCGCTGGACGTTAAAAGGCTGAATGCGCTATGCTCTAAGCGCCAAATTGCTTAGGTGTTTTTGCTTCTTTCTTCAGTAGGAAAGTACCTGAGTATGAGTACCTACCTAGGTACCTCCAAGGTGGTCCAAGCACCGGCAGCAATAATGCTTCCATTCAAAGAATAAAGTTTAGCTAGCATTGAGAGAAGTATGAAGCATAGTCATCACTTTAAATCAAGCATAACCTTCATTTATATTACATTCTACCACGTGTATAAATATATTTCGAGCAGCTGGGATATACGCACTATAACACTACCTAGCCTAACTTATTCATACATTATTACTTTAGGTACCTACTCTTAATACGTACAGACGGAAACGGATGCTTTGCGTAACCTTTTATCCCCTCTCCCCCCCCCTTTTTTTTTTTTTTAAAAAAAAAAAAAATAATAATACCAACTACGCATTCTCAAACCTGGACCTGTACCTGTAGTTCATCAACCAACTCCCGTAAGGCCCCCATAAGAGTCCAAGTTAGTATCGCTATCGCTACACGAGAACGTCGGCAAGTAACCCCCCAAAACGCCTGAGTCCAAAGCCCTCCCCCAACAGGTTTATATAACGGTACCAATGTATTAGCTATTAGTCAATATCGTTGAATGCATCATCTTCGCCTTGACCAGATTTTGCTCTCCACTCGGCCATTTCAGCTACGGGAACACGACCCCTGAGCCATCGAAGCGTTACTTCAGTTCCACGGTCGAAGACGTTCCATCTCGGGACCCTGAACCGGTTGCCTGTCACGTCCAACCTCTCAAGGCTCCCTGTGCCACCTAACAACCCAATACGCGGGTTCAAATGCGCAATTTCATTATTGCTGGCATCAACCACTTTCATCCCCTTAATTGCTTCAGGGTCAAGATCTTCCAGACGGTTGTTGGAGATATGCAGAATAGCAAGACTCGGGAAGAACTCCCGCAGGGCCGGGAGCTTAACTATTCTATTGAACGAGAAATCCGCCTTTTGTAGGTTTGGCGCGCAGAGATTCGTAGTGAGCGGTGTAAGGCTGGTAATGAAATTCGAAGCTAGAGAGAGCTCTTGAAGTGCAGTAAGATCAATTGGCTCCGTCAACCAACTCTCCCCCGTAAGCTGGTTATTTGCTATTGACAGAGACGTGATTGTATCTGTAAAGAATGATAACGAATTGGGAAACTGTGTAAATGTATTGTGCTGCAGTCGCACATCACGTATAGTATGAACCGCGGCGATCTTGGAACAGACAACCGGGTGCAATGAAGATGATTGCGTGTTTGACCGATCCAAAAGACCTCCAGGCTTTACGGGCCAGGTCTGGCTACTCAAAGTGTGAGCCCTTGATCGACCTAGAGCTGGAGAATTAGGCGCTGAAGTGGGCGGGGTTGTAAAGTCGTCGGGGTCCGAACGACCCTGTTCAGATCCGTTGTCACCATTGACTGCAGCATCTAGTTTGGTATCACCAATGCTAGATGGAACAAGCGAGAACCCGTTGCCGAATTGTTCCATCCCGCCCATTTCGGCCCGAGGTGGAGGCTCCAACCTTGCCGCCAACGTGTCTTTTAATTCTTCGGTGGTTAGCGACGTGAACTTCTTGTCCCTGAGAGGGTTCCCAGTAATTCGCAGCATAATGAGACTATCCATTCGAGCCACCTCGGGAGGTATAACCTTAATATCATTGCTAGTAAAGTCAACATGGCGCACATTTTCAAGACTTGCAAGTCCTTCTGGGAAACTTGTGATGCTGTTCTCATCAGCGTTGAGGGTGTGAAGACTAGTCCACGAGCTCATGTTGGGAAGCGATGAGATGCGGTTCATGGACACCGTAAATTGGTGTAAAGATGGTAATTTGAGGGGTTGATCGCTGTCAGTTATCATTTTTATTTGATTGGCGGCCAAGTCGAGGATTTGAAGTTGTGGAAAGCTTTCCACTCCGGGGCCAATAAGTGTCCCAGAGAGTTTGTTCTTACGGACCAGCAGTTCAGTGAGTGGGAGCTTTGAGAGGCTTTCGAATGGCAAAGTCTCCAAGGCGTTTTCGTTCAGATTAAGCATACGAAGGCGTGTCATCTTATCGATACTGTCAGGGAGAGACGAAATATTATTTCCGTGAAGATCAAGAAATTCAAGATTCTGCAAGTTAGCCAGATGATCATCTTCAATACGGCCGTACAGAAGGTTATTGCCGAGCTTCAGGTCTCTAATATTAGTTAGCTGTGAAAGGACCTCGAGGCAATTGTTGGTAAGCTTGTTAGATGCCTGTGAATACAGTGTAAGCATGAGTTCAAGTATCATTCTGTGACTCGGAGGGAGGACTTACCAGGTTCAAAGACGTTAGTAGCTGAAGGCGTCTCAGGCCCATGGGCAAAGCTATCAACATATTTCCATGTAAATCTAACGATTCTAAGCCCCCAAACAAATGCCCTTTGCTGTCCTCCTCATTTTCGAGGTCACTGGGATCGATGTCTGGGAAAATAGCATCATCGATCGTCTCTAGCTCATTATCGGCGGCCACAAATCTAGTCAGATCGACACTCTCTGCCCAAGAGCTACCAGAACGATCCGCAGGATTGAAGTCATACATCTTCAAAACTTCGGTCGGAATTTCTTTAAGACCCATGGCTGCAATATTAAGCCTTCCCGTTGTTCTGGCAGTGTCAATTCGTGACTGCATTACTTTACGGTTTGCGCTCTCAAATTGGCGTTGACCAAAAGGGTCATCCGATAGGCCAAAATCAAATGTAGTATCTGTAGGAATGACTGGCTCTTCATCAGCCTCGGGGACTTTTGTCACTGATACTCGTCGATTCGCGGCACGTTTCGCCGCCTTTGCCTTGGCAATCTGGTCTCGCAATGCAGCAGATGACTTTTGAGCACTAGATGCAGGCGCCTCTTCAATAGAATCGATTGTTAGCGCCGTGGAAGCTGTAGAAGCACTTGATAAGTTACGACCATCTCCAGACGTGCTAGACGATTTCGCAGAAACAAGCGAGGCTTTGCGAGTGGGACTCGAGGCCACGGGAGATGCCGAATGGTCTAGAAATGGAAGAGATGGCTTTCTGTATAAATTGTTCATCGAAGCCCGCGATTTAAGGGGGCGAGAAGCTACCGTCCTGGAGCCGTTCTTGGAGATAGAAGCCTCCAGATTCGGCATGGAGAGGCCCGGGGAAGCTGATAATGATGATCGGGAAGGAACTTTACTCAGGCTGGATCGCGGGCGCGGGTCCAGGGCTAAAGGATTCTTGCCAACAGGAGTCTTTGAGCTTACAGATGATACTCGTTTTGCCGGAGTGCCAAAGACATTTGATAACGGTGGTCTGAAGGTGCTGGTAGAGGCTCGGAAGCTAGAATATGAGCCGTCATTGTTACCCAAGCTAGATCCCGGCCGACTCAGTGATCTAACCGACCGTATAGTTGAAGCATCCGATTGATAGCTTGAGCCAGGCCTTGACTTTGAGCTGATGCTACCTTTGGATTGCGGTCTCGTAGGCGCTTCTCCCTCGAAGAAATTACTACCGTGCCGCTTAAAAGCGGGGGAGGAAGGTAACTGTGAAAGAGTCTCAATGGTCCTCTCAGCGAGCGACGGGGGAGATTTGCCGGGCTGTGGTGACAGTATGGTGTCGAAAGTGAGACCCTCGTCACTGGATCTTGGCAGAGGTGGATGAGAGTCAACATCAAATTCATCGCCATCTTCTTCCGGTGATGAGGTTTCACTTGTAGACGTCGCGGGAGAAGGCTGTCTTAATATGCCCGACGGGCGTCGTCTAGCTACGAGGGGTTTCTTGAAAGGCTCGCCACGAGTATCCCCAATATCCTGGGAAGCAGCTTGCTTCGGTCCCCGCGACATACTGCGATTCCTAGTGCTAACATCTCGGCGGCTGGGCTGCGAGCTGACAGGAGGTGCATTTGACCTCTGCGGTTTTCGTACAGTCGAAGTGGTTTTCAGCTGCTCTTTAGAGGGCACCGTTCGTAACCGAGGATTTCGGATATTAGGGACGGTCGCAGGCTGAGTTGAGCGCCCTCGTGTCTGTTCAAGAGGCTGACGAGTTTGAGCGACAGACTTCGCAGGGTTGACAGTGGTATTAGTTGCTATACTAGATCGAGGTAAAGGGAGACGCGATGTTGGTCTTGGAAGGCCACTAATTCTACTGCTATTGCTATCGCTACCGGCGGTACCGGGTGGGCGTTTCTCGTCCATCTCAACAACCATCGAGTCCGGGGTCCGAGTCCGAGTCCAGTCCGAGTTAAAAGAAAGAGCGCATCAGCCAAACTCCTATACCGAATACCAGCAAAGGGCAGCAAGTCCTAAGCTGTAGGCAAAGACGGCACAAACAAAATGCTACGGCCGTGATGATTTGGGAGAAAAAAAAAGTTAGAAAGGAGAAAAGAAAAAGAAGCAGTACTAAAGAAAAGCACCCCCCAGAGCCAATATTAGAATTCGGGTTATTACGTATAAACCTTGCTTGGTTTACTAAACAAGGGTTCATTAAAGTAATGACCAATAAATAACGAGAAGCTAATGAGCAGAGAAGCAGAGAAGCTTCGATCGCAATCTTGCTTATAAACTTGTTTCTTGGTAAAAGAGTCAATGCACTATTAATTTACATAGTCTTTGGGTGTCCCTTTAAGGCGTTTAGACTACTATAGACATTACAAATCACCTATAAAGAAGGACAAGCTAAGGGACGTCCGTTATCTTGGGTAACCGCGTCTAATAACACAAGTTTAATATGTACCTAAGTAGGTAGGTATACAATTGCTGCACAGTTACACAATTAAATATACCTAACGCGTTTACAACATGATGACCCGAATGAGCAAAAAGCAGGGTGTAGAAATGCAGGGATAAGATAGACTAATGGGCTGGTGGGGTTAGGCTATACCCCAGTAAAGTGGTAAAGTGGTGTCCCGGTACCGCTAGCTTCACGCGAACTACGTAAAGCTTTATTACAGCCCTTGCAGCTTGCAGCTTGCAGGTAAACATAACCTGATGTACCCAGGCAATTGCAGATAAAACTCCCAACTCCATCCTCAAAGAAGCACATGCAGGTAATACAGCTCCCGACATCCGATGAAAGAAACAAACCCACAAGTCCACAAATCGAAGATCGAGAATGACAGGCCTTATTCCGTGCAGAAAGGGGAAATTACCAAACGCTTTCAAACGCTTTTTATACGTTCCACCACTTATAAACCTATATAAAAACACCGAAGAGTCTCAGCCTTAAAATAACCAACATAATTAATGAAACAATGTCTTAAGAATATTTGCAGAATATTGATGACGGTGCATGTCGTAATAGAATAGAACATTGAAAAGTATTTAGAATTTAAGGGGTAAAAGAAAGCGAGAATGTTGATGGTGATGGAAATGATGGAAACAGTGAAGAGAGATGTGATTGGACGGGGATGTAAAGGCTACCTTATATACCTGTATGTACCTAATGTACCTAATGCATGTGACACTAACACTGAGAAGGTTCCAGCTTTTACCACCAATCCGATGTGATAATTCTGTACCTATGCATGCATGTGCCAGGTAGTGTACCAGGTAGAGATACCTATATCCTATCTTACTCGATCTTAATAAAATAAAATAATTCGCCAGTGTCCTACCATCCGATCTTGATCTTGACCTTGACCTTGACTTATCGACATATTGACATATCATATTAATGTTTTTGTTGGTTACCAGCTATTGACGAAAAGCTTACTTATTTTCTTCGGTAGAGAATGTGGTCTGAAACAATTCCAAGAAATAAATGAAGACTGAACCTCACCAAAAAAAAAAAAAAAAAAAAGACCTCCATGCATCATCGCCTAAGTACCTACCTAGCCATGGGGTTATAGGGTTATAAAGGTATTCTAACCTAACCCGGGTATAGAATCCAGCCCTATATACGAATATTAGTCCCGAACCGCCTCAGAAAACGGTGTTATCCACCGCGTAAACAACACTTACATCCCTCAACAGGTTCATCAACCGTCCGCTGAATGGCACACTTATTAGCAACATCGAACGATTGAGTAGCCAATGTGCCACAGCTGGCAGCAAAGCAATCATTCGAGTCCATGGCTCTCTGTAGAGCGTCGTCTTTCCAGCCAAACACGTAATCACCGTGCTGACTATGCCCGGTTCTGAATTTGAAGTTGATAGTCAGTAATAAAACCCCGCATAGGAGCAAGACCTTAGGTCTGTCTAGGTACTTACGGATCTCCAGTACTCAACAAGAAAGGCTGCGAGCCATCTTCAGGCCAGTCGTCCTTGTTATTAAACTCGCGCGTATCCCAGACCACTTCAAGCATCAGTTGAGGGATCTTAACCGGATGCGTAGACGGACATGCGTACGCGTTACCTGTCGGAAAGGTGACATGATCCTTGTGGTTGGGCGTATCCAGGTTCTCTCCATCCCAACAACTAGCAACATCATATTAGGGTACCTGTACAGATCTAACTTCATTTATGAAATGTTCGGGCTCACGTTGGAAAATGAATATTGGACCGGATGCCTCCCGGGCAGGGTGTCGACGGAAACCCAGCGGTATCGAGAACCGGGTCTGCACATGGTGCTGCATTGTCGCCTTCGAAGTTTGGGCCCGTGAAGCAACGGTAACAGTTCCTCGGCGATTGTCCCTCTTTGCTTCTTAGTGTAGCATCTCCGACGAGCATGCGAAAACCTGGCTTGAATGCGGTTACTTTGCTTCGAAGGTCCTGTGGAAAGTAGTAAACAGTCACACCCCCGACCGACCCGTCTAGGAATCGGTTAGGCATCTGAGGCACGCGCTTGTATGTTCCGTTACGAGCACGGAAAAACAGGTTCGCCGTCCAGTAGTTCGACAGGTCTTCGCTAAAGCTGCAAGTGGTGCAGTTGGCGAGCCTAGAAACATCGGTACGCTCTATAGTAGCTTTGAACGCATCCTGCTCTCGTTAAGTATCGGGCAGAATATGTTTGGGCTAATAGTGCACGTACCCCTCCAACCACCTGTAAGCTTGTCAGCATGGTATTATTTCGTACCTGGCATGGCGTTTTACACTTCATACCTGATGGAGATGCGCACTTGGATTGGCCCCTGGCTCTACAAGTCTGCAGTGGCTGTATTTAGATATGCCACACGATAATAAGAAGTACATAATCCTTACGGATCAAGCCTTTCAATGGTGATCTGACTACATCCGAAGCGCAGGATGCCGGCACCTAGAGCGTAAGGGGTGAGGAGCCCTAGGCTAGCGACTGATGTGTAATGCATTTTCAGATTCTCAACAATAGGTGAGGTTGAAAAGAACGAGTGTGGTGAGGGCCATGGTAAAATCAGGTGTGAACTCCCGTTCATATATAAGTCTTATGAGAATCCCAAGCATTATAGAGATCATGGGTAATATATTATTATAACCGGACTTCGTCCTGGACTAAATAGCCTAACCTATTGGAACGCGGCCAGATAGCCTCCCATACGACGTCCACCTCTAGTCGAACTGCCGATATGTGGAAGGACTCCGCATTTATTCTCTCTGGGAGATAAGGAGTTTCCTCCTGTAGGAATATTGTTAGAGGACCGGTTCGTCAGGTATTATGCCAACGCAAGGTCTACAGTAGGTATTTATTGAGCATGGCAATGAGGCCATGTGGACTCTCAAACTTTGATGGCTTTACTCCTTTATAAGGGAACATGCGCCTTTAGCTCTGGAATATACTAACCTCAGCATATGAAAGGAATCCACCACGAATATCAGGTAGATGTATGCAAAGAAGCTTAAGTCAACGTATAAAGGCCCACATGGGTTATATCAAATTGTACTGATAATAATCGATATTATTACCTAGGAGGTAGTAAATATGAGTTCTACGCAGTTCATTCTGTATGATAGCAATTGGCCTGAACACATAGACACCAGAAAGGTCATGAGTCTCCGCGTTAATACACGAAGTATCCTATCAAGGTCTCTAGGTATCTAGGTGCTATCTAACTTAACATTCCTCAAGCTCTTGAAGAAACAGTCAGTATTATGAATCGTACCATCTGAAAGCACATGTAACGTCCAGGATGTCATCATCCTTTTTCTATCAGTAGGCTCACCTCAGGTGATTGGTTGTACTAAAAAAAAAAAAATTTGTCACGGTAGGCAAAGCATCAGCCAAATATTGGTTAGTAATGCCGCACTATGGTCAGTTCACCTTAGAACCGTCGACTTCGAGATACGCACGGTAGGTAGTATGGAGTGGAGCCAGTGTAAATAGCATCATAAAATTGCTACAAATGGGATTGAAACAAAAATCTATCTAATACAAACATCCCGGGGAAGATCACACATGCTAATCAGATCAAACTCGAGACCTAGAAAGTCTGTGCTCTTCAACGTTTGCATGAGCACAAAATTTATCGAGTTTTCTTGTAATTGGCGAATGAGTGACGAAGTTTGCGGCTCATCCCTAGCAATCAATCAATTGCACTCCACAGGCCATTCACCGTTCCTTTGTTAGACGATCATCGGAGATCGTTTCCATCGAAGCAATTTTTTTAATCAGCTATCGGATAAATATCCATGCTAGGATCGGTCGCCCAATAGGGTAGGAAAGCAGGCTAAAATATTCCTATATAAAGTTAATAAATCTCGCTGCTCTTACTGACAGGTAGTTTTTGAAGGGTCATGTTGCGTCAAAGTCCTTTCAACATGCATCTATCTTCCGCAATTCTTCTTGCCCTATCATCGGGCGCTACCGCGGCAGTTCTACCCTTCGATGTCCCGGCACCAGCCCGAGTCCGAGATGCCCCCACGCCGACAGGATGCACGGCCGCGGCGATCGCTACCGAGACCACCATCAACCGAGGAAGCGAGGGCATCTGGGTGATTGGACCAAGCGCACCGAATTTGAATGAGCTTTACAAGTTTAGACAGACGGACTGGCTCGACAATGACCACCAAAAGATTCTGGACACCTGCGGTAACATCTGCTTGGAAGGAAACAATACCGCTGATACAGGCATTTGGCTGCCAAGCGGTAAATACTTTCAAGGCGCGTTCGTGGTATGTATCAGGACACAATATATTATCCCAGGCCTTCTTTAAAACTACCCCAAGGTATTCTTTTGTCTAGAGTTGCTAACAATCTAAAGTAAGTAGAATAATCCTGTCCTTTCCTATCATCCAGGGAGGAAATATTCCAATTCCAACAAAGGTACCTCTTAAGGACCAGGAAACTAATACATGAATTTCTAATACATCAGCAACACACCGGGAGGAAACGGCCCAGACCACCTCCTATGGCAGTGCGCGTGCTACGATCGTGCCGTAACACAGGACGATCTTGTTCCTGGTGGCGGGACTTGGAATAACGCCAACCCCGGAAGTGGAACCAGTAAGCTTACCCCTTTTGATCGTTCGGTGTTTTCCTATTCGCTGCACTGCATGATCCATGTTTGTACACTTGCTAATGACGCGCAGTACTCAACCGCAAGTGTTGATTCGTTGATTCGACGGCTTTGCAAACGGAACTCGTGGAAGCGAGATGGGGCGGCAGGGCGGATAGTCGTTGGTAGCTGTGAGATGGGACTTGGCTACTCGTTATGTAGCATGCTATGGTTTTACACGTACAGCCATAAAAGGAATTAACGAAAAAAAAGGAAGGAATAAATGTTCCCTGTGTCAATCTATGGATTGGTGATGTCGTAAGATGAATGCCTTGACTGTATCCAAGCATCTTGATGGGGGATGAGTTAGTCTCAACCTCCCGATTCGGCTTGTTCTAGGCAGAAATAAACTCCTCAGTTATCGCGTTTGTATTTAGGACTACTGATCGAAAGAGATTACTGAAACAGGATGGTTGCAACAGAGACAATGCTACCCTGATGTACATGCCCCTATCGGCTTCTTGCCGCGTTGTGGACAATGCAAGCTACCGTAGAGCCATGTCTACGAACGGCGAAGCAACAGGTATTGAAAGTAGACTCCAGAATATCAACTTTGATGGAGATATGTCCTCGGTGGCACAGCTTCTGGTCAGATAGAGCTTATCATATATCATTTACTTGAGTTATGTTAGTTTAGGTACCTCCTATGTTGGTTAGGCAGTAATGTTAGTCTAAGCGAACAATCAGAAGCCTCGTTCTTAATCGACCCGCGGAACTTTTTGCGTGCCTGAAAGAATTCGACGTATATGCAAGCGCAGGTTTCTTCTACCTAATAAGAGCAGCAGGCAGCCGTCAGTTCTCTAAATTTCCAAAATCAAAGAGGTACCTACCTTAGGTAGTCAAAGCTACCGTCCAAACACAACTGCCAACCACCTTAGGCATCTAAAATATCTTTCTACTTTATGGTGCCTCAGTGACCTAGGCACCTATTTAAATCCCACTTTCCGCCATCTGAATACAACAACTACCACAATAACCTCCTCATAGCACAACTTCTTGCAACCCAAGTCGTCAACAATTACCCTGCCTAACACCTAACTTAAAGTATCTGGAGCGACTGACTACCAAATGGTGCTCTCTTTCAACGCAGAGACCCTGAATGGGCTCTGCTCTGAGGATCAGCTCGAGTTGCTAGACTCTGTGGACCATTTGCGTCTTCAAGGAATTGATCACTACATCTCACTGCCTCAGATAATTGTTTGCGGCGACCAATCTTCCGGCAAGAGTTCTGTCTTGGAAGCCATCTCGGGAGTTCCTTTTCCCATCAAGAGCAATCTTTGCACTTGTTTCCCCACAGAACTTGTTCTTCGACGCGCAGAAACTACTGGAGTTACTGTTTCTATTGTCCCTGAGGTTAGCCCCTAGAAATCCCAAGGGAAGAACGGCTTTTATGATTTCCATGAAGAACTTGAAGGCTTTGAGGGGTTCCCCGATCTAGTTGAAAAGGCCAAAGTGGCCATGGGGATCTCGTCTTCGGGGAAGGCCTTTTCAACTGATAGACTCCGGGTCGAGATTACGGGCCCAGACCGCCCTCATCTAACCATTATCGACATGCCGGGTCTTATCCATTCAGGTACTACCCCTGAGAGCATCGCTGATGTCAAACTGGTCCGACAAGTCGTTGAAAACTACATGAGACAACCGAGGAGCATCATCCTAGCGGTTGTGTCCGCTAAGAATGACTTTGCGAATCAAGTAATATTGAACTTGGCTCAGGAGGTTGATAAGACAGGCAGCCGCACGATTGGCGTTATCACGAAACCCGACACTTTAGTACCTGGATCGGGCAGCGAGTCTCTCTATATCTCACTCGCTAAGAATGGCCAGGTTAACTTTGACCTCGGCTGGCACGTTCTTAAGAACCTTGACTCAGAAACGCAGAAGGGATCCTCTCTCCTCAGCCAGCGCAACGCAGAAGAGGCGCGATTCTTTTCTAAGGGCGTTTGGAAGGATCTCTCGCCGTCGATGTTAGGTATCAACGAGCTCAGGAAGAAGCTCAGCAACATTTTGTTGCGTCAAATTGCTCTCGAGCTTCCGAGTCTGGTCAAAGAGATTGATGTCAAGCTGAAGAGTTCCCGCGAGCAGCTTGAGGAACTTGGAGAACCACGACGTACTCTCGACCAACAGCGACTACGACTTTTGCAGATTAGCCAGGATTTCCAGTCGATCGTTGAACGTTCCATTAGCGGAACGTACAATGACAAATTCCTCGACAACGCTGATACAGTTCGAGGATATCGTCAACGCATCCGCGCGGTAGTGCAGAACCTGAACCGTGAATTTGCAAAAGAGCTCACTATACGTGGTCATAAGCGCGAGATTGTGACAGGAACATCTCAAGATCGCCATGGTCTAGAGCTTATCACCAAGGATAAGTTCCTTACACACATCCAGACAGTTATGGAAAGAACTCGGGGACGGGAACTTCCTGGAATCTTCAGTCCCATGGTTGTCTCTGACCTATTCCACCAACAATCCTCTCTATGGGAAAAAATCGCACAGGATCACGTTGCGAAATCTTGGGGCGCGGTAAAGTCATTCATCCAGGAAGTCGTCATTTATGTCGCGGACGCGAAAATCGGAAAGTCTCTCCTCGACAAAGTGTGCGAGTCCGCCCTTGACGGCCTTCTTGCGCAAGCTAAAATAAAGACTTCCGAGCTGCTGAATTCGCACCGCCAAATCCATCCGATTACTTACAACCAGGAGTATGCCGAGACTATCTAGAAGACCGGTCAGGCCCAAAGGGATGACTTCAGCCGAATCTTGATGGAATTCTTTTCCGTGTCATCTCTAGAAGAGTCGACGTATCTGCAATCACGACATTACAAGCTCAACACACTCTTAGATAGACTAATCAAGAAAGAGCCCGATGTTGAACGCCTTGCTGCAGCCGAGGCTCTTGATCGCATGATTGCTTATTACAATGTTCGTGCTGCCTTTTTAACCCTTAGAACGTATCATCAGGTAGTCAGTCGCTAACTAGGATTCTCTAATCTAGATTGCGTTGAAGCGATTCACCGACAGCATCGCCACCGAAGTTATCGAGCAGAAACTGCTCGCAGCTCTTGAAAACATCCTCTCTCCGGTAGCTGTCTTCAGCATGTCTCCAGATCTGGTAGAGCGCATCGCTGGCGAGTCCCGAGAGAGTCGGGTGATGCGAGAGGAGCTTAACAAGAAGATCGATGTCCTTCAGAAAGGATCGGATACATGCAAGCGCTTTATCGATTCAAAGCTAAGCGGTAAGACTACATTCCACTTCTAAGCTATAAGGCATATAAATATAGCTGGTTCTAATTTTTGATACTTAGATGGTTCGACTTCCCACTCGGAGAATACCGAAACTTCAGAGGATCTTCAGTCGGTACAAACCTAAGCGTTGAGGAACATTCGATGAAGATTAAGTCGACAAGACGCAGGAAACGATTGGCTGGAAGTATATGAGATGCTCCTTCGACTGAATCCATCCCGATGCTCTTTGTAAGGAACACCTAAACATAGGTAGTCCCTCATGAAATACGCAGATACACAGGAACGTGGAATGGCCCATGACACCTTGATGTATCTGTCAAATGTAATTATTAACAAGTAGGTTAGCTAGCCGCTAATTCATTACATGTCCTAGATCAAGATATCTCGCTCCGTTTCGCTGAGTCCTCTTAATGCAAACATCCAAAAGCTACCTCCTTATGCAGGGCCCTTCACTCTAGTGGTATTGCCGGTATGTATAATGGTCAACTCATATGGTCCCGTCTGTATATCAATCTCGGTATGAATTGACTCAGCCATGTTCTTTCTCTCATGATGCTTGCTTTTTTAGATGCCGCCAATATTCAACCGAATGCAAAATGATAATGCGTCGAAAAGGAGAAACAAAAAAAGACTCCAAAGACGTCTTGAATATTAAAAACCAATAAAACGGAGAAAAATCAAAGTGGGTATACAACGCCTCAACCATGCGGATGCAATAACGTGGATCCTCAAACTCGTTGTGTCGTCGCATGAGTTTTCATTCGTCGTCGTGAAAAAGAAAAAAAGAAGAAAACCCCCCCCCCCCCCCCCTTTTCTTTTTCGTCTTATCGGCCTAGGAGCCAGCCCATTTTCTTGCCGCCGCTTCCCTTCTCTTCCCCCGTCTCGTCGCAGTCGAGCTCGAGCCGGTACCGTCGGACGCTTCCCGTGTCGTCGTCGAACCCGACCCGTCGGTTCGCTTTGGGCACGAAGCAGTCCGGGACGATGTGCTTCATGAACCAGCCCTTGATCCCTCGGCTCGCAGCGTCGATGGCGGCGTATTCGAGACGCCTGGTATGATCGCTCGTCCAGTAGTGGGTCGTCTGCGGGGGAGGAGGATACGACAGCTCGGCGTTGCGCGCATCCTCTTCTTCCTCGTCCTGGTTTCCAGACAGCGACTCCGGGGGCGGAAAGTAGTAATACGTAGTCTGCTGCTGCGGTAATTGGACCGAGTGCGAAGGCTGTGTGCTTAAGTGTTTTAAGTGAGTTGCTGAAGTGGACTTTACAGCACGGCGCACCGAAGGCCGTGTTCGCGGTTGAGCTTGGGAACCCGCAGACATGGTAGAGTTCCGCCGCTGAGGAGACCGGGACTCAATTGACCTAGACCGAGGGGGGGATATTGATTCATAACCAGAGTCGTGGCGAATTATTGGTTTAATTTCAGGTCTTTCCTCTCGGCGTGAAGACATCTTATTTTCAGTGGTAGTTGTGGTGGAGGTCTCGTAAAGTTCGATATTATGAAAGCTGTGGTATGAGGTAGTGTCGTCAGATGCGGCGACACTGGTAGTTGATTGAGATCTGTAAAGATCTGCTGGCGATGGTGTAAGCCGTGACATCTTGGCTGGGATGACTATCCTCTTGATACATCGAGAAAAAAAAGTTGACGTACTATTATAGCTAATATAGCCACCAGGGTTTGTAGAATATGGAATATTAAGTAAGGAATGCGAGTGATCAATCACGGGAGTCCGTCGATGGGCTCCTCTTTAAAGAAGAGAAGCTTTAGTCTTCTTCTTCTTTTTCTTCTTCTAATATGTGTTACCACGGTAAGACGAACAAAGTTGCGGTCTGAATTTTAAATCACACCAAATGGAGCTGACGGGTAAGAACTCAATCTGCACGAAAACGTGAAAACGGGGTTGGTTTAGTTGGTGGACATAGGACGAAATCTTTCCGCGGTCACAGACCCATAAGCGCTTTGGTTCCAAAGCTGGTTGTGGTTCTGCTAACCAGCCCTGCAACTCAGGAGTAGTCTTTCCAGAAACAAATAATAGGTATTCGAAAATGGTAACTAGAAATAAGAAACGGGGACAATCTGTTCCAGAAACATACACGGTATAAAGTAGATCGACTATGGTGATGAATTTAGACGACAGGCAACCTTGTATTCGCCCCTCCTAGCCATGCAGAGCTAAGAGTGGTTTATTGAATACCCTTCGTCTAAATTTGTTGGGTCAAGAAGCGGTCTGGAGTCGCTTGACTTTTTTAGGGAACCAAAGACAATTATCGTGACCGGCACGACCCTGCCGGTGCGCCAAACACCCCACGTCTTTCAACTACTATCGTTAGTTTACGTCCGTGACTGGAATATGGAAAGATTTCCAGGGGCTTGGCGGCGTGTAACCCTTGAACAGGTCAAATAAAGCCAGGAGCCCGGAAACCTTGCGGAACGGTTACTCATGCGAATGGATATAACGGGCAGGGCGTCTACCCTTTTTTTTATATAGAAAAAATAAGGTTTTGAAAGGATGCGAAGGACTGGATGGATACCTTTTGACGCCAGAGTGGGCGGTTCCGGTTCTGTACTATGGACCTCGTGGATATAGGTATCCAAGTATGACGGCCGTAGCCCTTGCATCAACGTGCATGCAGGGAACGTCAAAACGGGATGGCCCTAGCCCCGCAAGATTGGCGATGGTGGTTCGTCGATAGGTTGAGAATCCGATGTCGCTGACGATGCTAATAAAATAACCCCAAACCCCGACTGCATTAGTGAGCGACGGGGCTCCGCTTGGTAGTGGGGAGAGTAACAAAATCCCCTGGTCCTATGATGAGTACATCTATGTGCGAGAGAGAAGGGGGGGAAGTATGTAAAATGAAATGGAGTTGTCAAAAGAACTGCCCTCGCTTGGGCATCTATTGATATTATGTAGCTTTTGAGTCTTGAGGCCCTTCGCCATTTTCTAGAAGCTTGTGAATATCCGGACTTTCACATGCTTTGCTTTGCTTCAAAACTTCCTGTTACACCAATCTGTATAGCTGAGAAAGACCGGGGTAGCGTGGCTCTACGATCCCGCGCGTCACAAGGGTGGCTTGGGTACATTTAGGTATGTAAATCTACTATGACCTGTATATATGGCAACATCACCTGGCGCGATCTCTACCAATTGTCTCTTATGTATGTCACTCAGCTATGTTAAAACAACCAATAATGGCGCGTCGCGTACCTATTGATGAAACCTCGTCAGAAGGCTATTAATCCTTCTTATGGGTTATTATGCAGCCCCCCGAGCCCACTTAGGCACGCTTGCTTGCTTGCTTCTAGACCCTCTCGAGGGGTTCTGCCAATGATATCTTGTCTAAATCGTACTATGGTAGATGTTGAACCTCGGGCATTAAGTCCTGCATGAGATGTACATTGTAAGAAGATGATGATATCCAATGAGGGCTCATGTCCAACGACACCGGAGAAGGACGGCCGCCTTATGATTTTTTTTTTCTGTGATATAATGGGAACCTATCCGGTGAGTTAAACTTGATACCCCCGCTGTGTTAAATTCTCTGCTGCCTACCAGGTACCTGACCACGAGGAAAATAGTAAAAAATGAGAAACCTCCGGTACAACATAGATCATTAAGTTATGCCATCTGTTATCAACGCCACTGTGCGTGACATGTCTTAATAGAACATGTGTAGTGAAAAAAGCTTTATGGAACTTTAGATTTGAACCGGAATATACGTCTTAATCAAAACATCGATTTGTCTTGGAAATAGGGCAATAAAATAACGGGGGAAACGCCAACACCCCGCTCTCTTTGAAGATTTTATGTCTTATTTAACAGTTCAACTACATTGGCTAAACCTCGGTTCGTTCCAAAAGAATACTCAAGTCCCATTTGTTCGCTCACAGTATTTAATGTCTTCAATTCTCCGATCCCATGGCTAAAGCGCTTTGAATTCTTGCTAACCAGAAGTGCAAGTACTAAGTGGTATTATGACCCCTATACCGCCTCGTATCTCGGTTGACTTACCCCAAAGGCGTTTAAGATGCTTGGGTTTTGACATGTTGTTAATTCTACCTAACTAAGCCAGTCAACGTGCTTACGATTTTCATATTCATCCACGAGTTTTAAGAAATTTCCCCTTTCCAATAATACGTAACTACCTCCTAAGGTAGTTTATTTTCTCTATAAAATCGCATACCATTTTAAGATCTATAACCGACCTGCATGAGCCTCGAAGCAAGTCATACTTGAACGTTAATCTCACTCGGCAAACACCCGGCACCTCACTGGCGCTTTCTGCGTTTAAGACGGTTAATTTCTTTACAATGCATACCTCAACAGTCACATCATTTCTCTCATCATCATTCGCAATTCGCTAGGTCTGCCTGGCATGGCTGATGTCTTTTGGCGGTTTGCCTAAGCTATTAGCCTATTAATAGTTCTAGTACCCTGGGGAAAACATGAATATAGTATACCCTAAGGTCTCCAACTGAATGCGGCGGTAATTATCCCAGTGCGAGCAAAGTGCATGATCAGCTGGGAAATACTATTTAAATAGTGGTTGATGTACCTTAGGTCGGGTGAACCAATAGGTAACCTCGGCCCTGGTTTTCTAGGCTCTTTCAGTTTAATATGTACCATAACCTCAGTTATAATAATAAGGTAAAGAGACTGGGATATTCCACTTGGGAGCGCCTAGCACCATAGCCTAGCGCATCCAGCAGGAAGAGCGCCAGTAGTCCGAAGAGATAATGAAACAGAGACTGAAGCTGCCTCAGCTCCTAGTATAATGGAACAGGCCATCGCCAAGATCAAGATGCGTAGAGTTATATAGATACATCCTCGTAACGGATGCTTCGTACTAGCTACACGATGTAGAACAACTCAATCAATAGGTCAAACGTATAGAGCCCAATCGAGCCGGCGGAGTGGGCAACACAATACGGTTGACACCTCAGTGTCTTTAATTGCGTTCCAGTTTGCTAACTGTCAGTATGCCTTGAATGATTGTAGCGCTACCATACTACCTCTATCTCCTCCTATGAGGATGTGTTTCGAAAGCCAACGTGGATTACCGGAATGTCACATAGCGCCACTCTTTTCTGATAAACCAGTTTACGCGACAATACGGGCACTCTCAGTACACCTTAAGGCTGCTACGGATGGCTATATGGAACTTAAACCTACCCGTTCCACGGTATCTCTTCTCTCAAGTTACAAGGGGTCTCGTAAGGTAGGGCAAAAAGTAGGGAAACAACTTTGCTATTCCACAAGGAGCTCTAAGATAGCTCTGGTTCCCGGGCTTTGTTCTACCCTTCTCATGGAGCAAGCACCCTTGATACGAGGAATGAAGACCCGAAATACTTTCTTACGTGTCAAAACACATTCTCCACCAAAATAGTCACTACAAGGAAGTAAGTGAAATATGATTGATAATCTGTCCAAAATTCGCAGTGAGGCGACATAAGATGTATAAGGAATCATAGTTATATACAACAAGGCAGCTGTCTGATGACCAGTGACAGAAGCCATACTATATAGATAGTAAAATAAGATTCAATCATATCAGGGGAATATAATTGATATTTTAATTTTCTTTATTCTTGATGCATCTTACTTTTAGGCCTGGATGTTTGTAAAATCTAAACGTATTTGAAGAGTGAGGATTTATTTGCGACTTCCAGCCATGTATTACAGAGAAAAGAGCAACATATATCCGGGGGGCGTGACCGCTCTTAAAGATAATGTCGCCCCCTTTATCTTCACTTGACTTGCCCCAATTCCCAATACCAACTACCTTATTGATGTTACTCCAATTCACTGTGCTCCAGTATCCCGTCCATAAAACACAGCGAAACGCCTAGTTTTGTTTTCTGGATGAGGATTTTATTCCTTAGTTGACAGGACTGAGTCTTCGCCGACTCCCTATGCTTCTAGATCAGATCACTGAGTTAAAGCATAGTTTCAGCATGGTCGCCGACTTATACATTTACTCGAGTAGGTTGGGACCCTTCGCAGAGTAATGAAGTGGTTTCTATGCCTTTTGGCTGCACCTCGTAGTAGAGCTAGCTGCGTAGATTTGACTTTATAAATTAGGTCAAGTCTAACATATAAATATCTGGTAACACTAGGTGTACACTTCTGCTCTTTCAGTAAGACAGACTGCTCATTGGTCGATACCTGCGTCGATGAACTATCTTGACAGATGCATTGACGAGCAGGCATGACTATTATTATAAAGTCAAGTGTCTACCTAGGTACCTAGGTACCTAAGTCTAAGCGTAACTTGGTGATAGACTTCGTTAAGATGCCAAAGGAGAAGGTATATTTACTATTGTAAATCGGCCTCTCAGTGAAAATTTAGGCAACTTACTCATATAGCAGATCAAAATGGGTGTACACTATCAATATTATAAGCTTACGTTTCATGTAAAAAGATTTGAAAGAAAGCTGAAATATCAGGACGGGATTATTTTCTCGAAGGACCATGTCCGTGGCTTGATATTGCCTACATTCATACCCGTTTTACTCTTAGGACTCATATTAGCCTTCCTTAGACCCCGCGACTCTCGGGCAAATCTAGGAATGATATTACAAATCTCGTCGCTATACCAGTGGTCATATAAATTTCCTGTTTAGGAATAATGATCGTGGAGCTAGCTAGGCAGGTCTTCATCCCCAAGCTTACTTGAATGTACCCAAAGTACATGCCAATAAGAACCTCCAAATGCAGTAATTATCATATGTTGGAGCTGATTAATAGATGACTGAGTGGATTAGATATATCGGACGTGGCTGAGGGACTTGGCGAGGATTATCATGAAGAATATACCTGATTCAGTAAGAGAGCTGCCGCCTCAGCCGTAGTTTAGACCTACATGATGTAGATTCTGCGCGTCGTCCTCGTAGTGGGCCATACGAAAACGGCGCGAGAGAAAAGACGCAGGTAGTCAGCCAAGGTTGGGGTAATATACGAATACCTATACAAATACCTCTACGAAAAGCTACAGTGAATTTCAAAGCCTCATCTGTGATATTAAGCAAGGACCTTTCCGTGCTGTTAATTTAATCGTGCATAATGGCGGGTGTCAATTCGACCGGGGAAAAAAAAAGAAGATCAAGAAGATCATGAGGATCATATCTTATGCAGGGCTTAGCGATGCATCTGGGGGGCGTATATTAAAAAAAAGAGTAAGTATAACAAAAGGTCAAGATGTCATGTGTAAGTTGCTTATAAGTTGCTTGTGAAGTGTGTACCTAATGGCTATATGGAAATGGTGCGGCTTAATAATCTACGGTTTAGATCGCAAGAGAGTTTAAGGAACGGATCGTCACTCGATGTATATACCAAGGTATAAATATGTATAAAAATATACATGATACAGTAATCCATTTTAGATCGCGCCAATCACCTCAGGTAACACAAAGTGCTTTTGGCCCGTAATATGTCAAGCCAAACTTGTCAAGTACATGCGCAAATGTGTGACGCGTAAGTCGGTCTTTCCTCCCGCATCTGCTATCGTCAGCTATCGTCAGCTATCGGAAGGTACGTTCAAACACTGGAATAGGTACGGGGATGCTTTCTAGGTAATTGTATTGTACATAGGTACCTAAGTACCTAGTTACATGCGTTACATTGGGTTGTTTGCTTCTGCAGCAAAGTTGCAGAAAAGTTGCGGAGATGAAAAGTTGCAGCAGTTCCAGCAGTTACAGTCGATGTTACCCAATTACCATTATTTGTAAAACCAGATCCACCATAGGTTCTTTCCCTGTCCTTTCCCTGTCCTTTCCCTGCTTTTCTTACTTTCCCTGCCGAAGGAGCCAAGATTGCAAGATTGCAAAGATTGCCGCCAAAGCTAGCTGGACCGCTAAAGGGTGCTGCAACCCTACCTCTTATTACCCTACCAGCCAACCCTGCCTGCTACTACTACCTGCTTTGCTGAGTGCTACCCTCAGTTACCATCTAGCTTTGACTTCACGTGATTGAACTTAGATAAACCAAGATGTCCATGTTGATTCCACATTTTGAAGCTATGGGGTTGGGATGATAAAAGATACAAGTGGGTAAAGTACCACATTGCGGGTATCTACATTTAATTACCTACCTATGTCATAGGTATTATACTATACCTATGGGATAGGTACTTGACATGCATGTCTACATGTGTAGGGTATAATTGCCCAATGCTCTTTTCGTAATAGCTGCAAAGTATCAAATGAGGACCAACCAAAAATCAAGTCTCGGGGAAAAAAAAGAGAAAAAAAAGAAAGTACCTAAACCTACTAAACACCCATAAGAACATCATAAGAAAAAAAAAAGTACGGATGAAACAAGATACAAAATATGTAATAATAACAAACGTAATAAATAAAATTACCAAAATAACCATAATCACCGCTACATAGTACTACTTACTGCCACTGCCACTGCCACTACCACTACCACCGCCAACGACACATACGCAACGCACGTACACACTTCATCAGGCTTCTCACTCTTACGCTTTCTTTGCGACTCTCTCACAACACGCAACATGTCACCAACACGTTGACAGCCGACACACACCGCAGGTGACCCCATCCCAAGGCGACACAAGCCGGGACAACACACATTTGCATTACATATGTAGACGACAGGAATGCCATCTTGGGTTTCCGGTCAAGTTCGCCGCATCTCGCGCATGGTAAATTGTTGACCAAAAAAAAAAAAAAAGATTACTGATATCGACGATGCTCGATATTGATGCTGATATCGATGCCGAAGTCCCATGGTTAATACCTCGATACCATTTTGATACATCTTGGATACCGACGCTGATGCTTGTCGCCAATACGTACCGCCGGATCGTTAGATACATCTTCTAGATACATCCGATTTCTGCTGTCTCTGCTCTGATGTAGATGCCGACTTATTCCCACCCCATTTTCTTCTAAGTCGCGCCTCACCCGTCGTCATCGTCATCACTATCACCATCTATCAACTACCGCATAAACTATTTACTTTGGATCGCTGTCCTTGTCTCCTTGTGTTCTGGGTTTTCCTGGTTTTCTTGGTTATCTTTTCGTGGTGTCCTGGTCCTGGTCCTGATATTGGTCTTATTACTACTTCCTTGTCTTGTCATCTGATATCGTCTATTTCTCTACTTTAACCTTTCCCTTCATTTATTTATTTTTAGTTGCCTTACTCTTATTACCTTTAAGGTACTCTCGGATCACTCTTACTACTTTTACGTCTATTGTTACTTCTAACTATTTTCATTTCCAACTAATAGAGAAGGGACAGGGTACCGGTTAGCCCGGACGTCCGTCTGGTCATCGCAAAAAAAAGTCCTTTTTTTTTCTACCTTTATTCTCAAGCCCTTTCCCTTCTTGAACATATCCATTCCTTAAATTAATTTTAATATCTTATTATTTTATATTTTATTTTATTATTGCTATTATTATTTATTTTTCTTACTATTGCTTCTTCATTTTTGTTTTAGTTCGTCGGTTCGTTTATGATCTTTTTCTTTTATCCTTTTTCTTTTCACACCCCCCTCCATTTCTTAACCCCCCACCATATAACTCGAAGGTCTATTCTTGTTTTAATTCTCCCCCCCTCCCCCCCTACCTGGAAATCTCGGACGAGTTTACTGGTTAAAGGCGGCCCGTCATGCTGCCTTTGCCCTCGGCCGGCCTTAGCAACGTACCGCCCCCATCTACGGCCGCGTCCACGGGCCCAACCAGCACCACTAGCACCACTACCTCAGCTCCTCTCGTACCTGGTCCAGGCCCTGCAGCGACAGGGGCGTCACTGAAGCGACCTGCTGCAGCCGACCTGCAGCACACTGCCGGCGCAAGCGTCATTCCTTCAAAAAGGCAGGCTACATCCATTACCAGAACGAACCCCATCCCGAATCCGAGTCTCTTGGCTGCTGCTCCCATCATCGCTCCTTCATATTCAGCTTCGGCTCCTCCGACTACGACAGCAACCCTATTCTATCGTCAACCTCAAGCTGCCATGTCCGTACCTACTATGGTTACAGAGGAACAGCTACTGGGTAGGACCCCCGAGCAATTAATCGCCACCATTCTCCAGATCCAGATGCAACACCAGCAATACGTCGCTCATATCTCGGCGCAATTCGATGTCATTAGCCAACAGCTGAATGACCTTCGTGGAAGCTTAGTGGCCTCCCATCAAGCTGCAGCCTCGGTATGTGTTATGGCCCCCCCCAAAAGGAACCATGTCATTCCCCATATCCAAAATTTATTTATATTATCCACTAACCCATTACACCATTTTTAGGCACTCAGCTCCCGTGATTCCTCCATACGACCCATCATACCCCCGCCTCCTCCCCAATTGTCGGGTTCTTCGTACCCTCGGGGACCGCCGATTGCTTTGCAAACGCCAAGCCGCCCTGCTAGACCCCCAACTTCCCCATCTACTTCTTCTCAGGCCGTTCAACACAGGCCGACTGCGCAAACACCGGGATCTGCAGGGCCTCCTCAGTATAAATATGGCACCGTCGGAACTGTGGAGGAAGTCTGGAAAGAGTATCGAGAGGGAATGGACGGGCAACCTGCCATTGAGGAATTAGACGCAGTATGGGGTTCGCGCTGGCGACCGGAGCCGCGGGGCCGCACATGGTACTCGAGACGAAAAGTTATTTGGGATAAGATTAAAGAGTATATGTCGGAGGGATTGGATGAGGAAGAGGCGGTGAAAGAGGTCGAAAAGCTACGCGATGGTAATACTATTAACAAACTGATACGTATGCTTCAAGATGAACGGAAAGACAAAGGAGTTGGAGACGACAGCATGGTCACCTAACTTGACGTTTATGACCTACTTGATTCGGGACCGGCGTTATATGGGGAGCGGCATTGATACCACGCATCATATATGAGGCTGCATTTACGAGGCTGCTAGCAGAGAGGACCGCAGCGGCGGAATCGGCGTACCATCGTTGCCCAAGAGGATATTTTTGGCGACGGCCTGCTATGGTATGATCATTGTTCACTGGCTGAACAAACGAATAGCCATGGCTTGTGTCTAGACGGATATCTGTGGTAACGAAAGAAACCACCGTAACGACGTTTCGACGGTGGATAGGAAACATGTCGTTACTTGGTCATAGGTACAGGTAGTTTACCAAGCAATTACACAAGGGTGTTTTCGAAGTGCCTACTACTACGATACCGGTTATAGCCCGTTGGCATTTCCCTAACACGACATTTTGGACATGTGCATAGAGTCCACCGGGCATATTCGGATGATAGATTTCAAAGTCCGGGACAAATAATCCCCAATGTATAGTCACGCGCCTTTCTCTCGAGCGTTTCCCCAACAAGTGCATTAGCAAACGGGGCTTCGATACTTGGGTATGACCACCCAATATGGGTCTGCGTCGCGGATCTCATACGCCTGATAGTTTTAAACCGAGAACGTACCTAATGGTTTATCGTGGCGACATGTATCGGTTACACGAAATTCACGATATACGGAGTTGTGCAGATGACATGATTGGCGGTACGTTGAGTCGTCACAGTAAGCTTCATGGGTAGAACGAACACCCTGGCGAACAACAAAAGGTCCCGGGAATCCGACCACGTCACTAGATATATTGCCGTCCGCGTTCTAATACTTGAAAATAACGGGCAGCTATGCAAGCTTAATTTACTTGCTCAATTTCGGCATCAATCAGACATGGGCTATGTAAGGTCATGCAAGGTCATATAAGGTCATATAGGTCATGTATAGGCCCCCTATTCCCGCTTTCTTTCTGCATCCGTGCTAATCATCGCGTAAGCCGCTCAGCCGCATATTGCGACGCTACCTAACCTACTTAAATTTCCGGGTTGTTGGCTTCAAGCCAACCGAGCTACCTTTCTTATCGTAGCTTCAGTTGAGAATGATTGAGCTCATTTATTTTCTGGACTGATTCTTGGCATGGGTCTGATACCCGAATGACCACCAAGCACAAACACCAGACTCCAACTTGAAATCCAACTACGACGTCTCGACTGCTCATCACATCCAGGGTTAGCGAAGGGGAGGGTCAAGTGCGAGATTCCGGCGTTGGTGAGTGGGAAGAAATAACGCTGGAGTAAAAGAGTGTGTGGGCGCACAATAGAAGAACAGGGTCTATGTTCTGGAGTTGAGACTTAGATACTGTTCACGGGCTAACCCACACAACGTCGTTGTCCAGCGATGACAACAGAGTGATGGAACACAAGACTTTGGTGTATATATACATACATCACAAGTACTCAAGTCCTCTAGTCCTCTTTAGTAATCTCATACGAGACGAAGCCGATTGACTCATAAAGATTTCAGAATCTTTGATACATATTCACCCCGACATTTTAGTAGGTATGTATCCCATCCTGGTTTCCCCATTCTATGTGGATTTCTGGGCACTTCACGTCGGGTTACTTACCCCAGGTAGATCACGTAAAGATGTGCTTCACAGTCTACATCCATCACACTACTAGTGAACATGACACACGGCACTTGAGTATCATTAACCCAGTCACGGGCCATACCGTATACAGCCCGTGGCAGAGGCCGTATTATACGAAATGTGAGCATCCTCATATTGTAGGACCAATCCATCCAGGGGAACATTGTAAATGGCACCCTGGATGCTGCCGTCTTGAGTGTCGCAAGTGGTGTTGGACGAAAGGTTGTAAAGTGTTGGCCGAGTACCACCACTTTGTCGACAAAGAGAAAGGTGAGGTAAATGACACCTCCTTTCTACAGCAGTATATGGGACGTAGCGTGGATCGTCTTTGGATCGCCGGGCACTTTTTTAAAAACGGCGTCGAACTTCACATGGCTAGGCATTTCATAAAGGAGTCACGGCGGATTATTAAGGAGTCTCCAAACCCTCTCGATGTGACAAGGTCCATCTGGTTAAAAGAGAGGACCAGCGCCGACGAGCAGTTAGCGATAGCCGGTCTGGGTCAGTTCGCTCTACTCTGGAATATGAATGTCGGGTTCGGCGGGCTTCCCCCCCGTCCTGGCTTCGAACCAGACCCAAGGCGTAACGGAGATATAGAGAGGCTCTTGGGTCTACGAGTTGTACCCGTCCCGGATAGTGAGGTGGTTGTAGACACCAACGACATTAAGTGGCCATACTACGTAAAACTGGAGCAACAGTATCAAGCTGGCATCGAACCGATACCAGACATTCCAGTTATCGTCCCGTCGATTGTAAAGGGGACGAGACTCGAATCTCTTGTGGACCCAATGCCCTCAGCCCAGTTTTCGGGATCTCATACGCTTAAGACAGGCAGCGTAGGCACACGCTCCAACCCTGGCAACCTCGCCAGGAAGGGGGGGAAGACAGTACATCGCGCTGAGGCCGTGGTAGGTCATTGGCCTCTCACGGAGGCTCGCAACGCCGTGAAATGGTATAAGGTACGCTGGGCGGAAGACTCTGGGGATAAAGAGACGTGGGAGAACAACCACCACATTTCGGCGGAGCTCATACATGTGTACTGGCAGAGGTTGGACGCGGATACGCCACCGCAGTAATTCTTGAAGTGTTGTACGGGAGCCATCGTATGTGTGTGTGTGTGTGGTGTGCTAAGGAGTATGCTGTGCCGGAATTACGTCTGGGACTTTTCTGGATTTTGGAATCAAAGCAGAATTTCGTCTCTCGCTCTAGTTGGAAAGCCCGACACATTTCTATTGCGAATCGTAATAGATAGGTACCTACCTAATAAGCACTTAGGTGTTTAATATGTACCTCTAGTAGTTACTAGTTGTGTCGTCAATAGGCAAATAAACTAGTTCTAAACTCCTATGCCAGTAAGCTGATGAAACCAGTGTCGACCATCTTTCTCTTTACTTCCACTCTCTTATTCTTTTTTTATTTAACTTCGTAATTTCATTCTTCGCTGTATGTGTGTGTATTGTTCCGTCTCGGGCGCTTTAAAAAGACACTTGTTCTAAAAGCTGTTCTTGATATGGCGATAATGAAGAAGACGAGTATAGCCGCCTGAATTCCGAATCCTCTTGCCTTAATAACCATATTCGGTTTCGTAAACCTCAAGCAAATAGTACCCTCGACATGTTTCAGGTCGGCCTCTGCTTTGTCCAGAAAGTCTGGCATTTTCGGAAACTTGTCTTTTGTGAACAATGACAAGGCAAAGAAGTTGTCGAATGTGGAAACGCACGAAACAAGTTCTATATTCTCAACAACGGCAAGTATAAGCAGTTGAAAAGTGCGCTTTCAAACAGTGAAAGGGTAAGAGAGGGGGTATATACCCTCGCAGTCTAGTATTATGGTAACGATATATGATCCGCTTGGAATATTCGTAGAGCTTTTTTTAGACATATTCCATCCGTGACATGAAGGGTGAAGTAGAACTCTTTACTGAGTCTTTAGCCGTACTCGAATACTCCTCAAACTGTCTTACATATAACTGTCTCTTAGGGATCAACTTCCACTTACTGGCCCGAAAAAACTCGTCCTGCCAATGGACTAGTTCACTCGAGTCTGTGCCAACGTACACTTCCTCTACTTCGTGTAGCATAATTACTGCTACGGGTTTGGTTTTGGTATATGTACCTAGAGTATAGACCGGAAATTTAACGGCGCGAGGTAATGCCTAGACCGCGCCCTGTTTTCACATTCCGAGCTAATATATTTCCATATGTCAATGGTCAAACAAAGTCATTCGTTGGTCGTTGCGTACTCAGCCCATTGCTCGTTTATATTGAACGGCTCGTAATGATCAGACTTGAGGAAACAAGCAGGATACGGAGCCATCATTCCGCAGGGAACATCGTGGAGCCATGTGGATTCTCCTATTCCTAAGAGATTTTTCACTGTTGAGTATTCTATCGAGACGACCTCCCCCCCATCAGCGTGCTGACTTACCTCGCCACGCAAAAAAATTGTCTCATCATTGGAGACTTTTGAAATCTCCTGTTATAGACGGATGAACGCCCTTTCCTCTGATCCGTAAATCAAAGGCATGTTTCAGACTCTGACCTCCCCGCCATCAAGCCCTAAACCAAAATCGTCGAGCAAGATTTCTCTTGGCGTTTAGCCCTATCTCTCGAGGACCCATACAGCTAAGTCTCGCTACCAGCTGTTTCTTCTCGGATACATCTCGGAAAGTGGCTTGACTGGCTACTTTATTGTTGCTTCTATGGTTAATCTTAAACACGAGCCATATCTAACGGAGGAGCCATTAAACACTGCCTTTTGATATGCAGTGACTACTTTGTCAGGTATGAAGCCCCAATTCTTAGTCTCTATTCAGGTCTTCGAGAGATACGTGTCATTGCATATGTGGAAATAAGTAGACTCTCTAGCCCCTTAACATTCTATGGTTGCTCTTTATACAAGAAAGGATTGGACTATAAGTGAGCTTAAGTAGGTATAAGACAAGCTAGTAAGTGATAGGTCATACGATTTGATTGCAATTTATTTTAGACTGCCCGCTTAATGTGAGTAAGGAATCGAACCATCTCGGAAAAGCCAAATCTCAACTCCGCTTTAAGAGTTCCTGGTTGGAGGTAGGTTTCTGGCCATAAAAGTCATGATCGCCTCTCCGAGGCTTTCCCAACTGGCTCAAGTCTTACTCGTGCATTGTATTACCGACAATCTCAAATATTTGAAGCCATGAGAGGACTTACCTTGAGCGCTATACCCTTGTGGTGGGCTGCCGGGGCGATTGCTGCTCCCACCCGGGTACAGGCTGTACCTCCGGCTGAATTCACACCGAACACGAGGGTTGGCCCTGGGGGAAACAAGTACAAGGACTCGCCTCATTTCCGCGTTTATGATGCCGCGAGCGATTCTGTCGCTAGCTCTGTTCTACAGACTCTGGAGTCGGCCTACGACTGTTTCGTGACCAGTCAGGGATGGAGGTCGACGGGCCTATCATTCAATCAGGACAATGATAACGGCCCCTGGTATAAAATGAATGTCTACGATGTAGTAGACTTAGGAGCCAACACTGCTGCCAATACCGGGACAGATAGCGCTACTGGCTTAAGTTTTCTAAACGTCGTTACGCAATGGATGAATACATCCTCAATTACAGTTCACGAGTTTGGACATGCCCTCACGTATGCTGAGAGGTACTGGATTAATCAGGGCCGAACAGGGGCGTGGTGGGAGACGGTCGCTAACTTCGTCGCCGATACGTTTATAACTTCATCGATCTGCGAGGAATCAAGGGCGCGTTACAATCAGCCAAGTGGCGACACGGTCATGAACCTCAACAAGGTTATAAGCGATTCCTTTCAGGTTATCGTGGACGGATCAAGGGACACCGGGAACTATTACGAGGCATGGCCTTTTCTAACTTACATCACCAACAATCCGGACAACTATGCTGGCCTTGGAATGAAGAATTTCCCGAACGTATGGCGAAAATACAGGAGGGACAGCAACGAAACCCCTCTGCACGTTTTGGATCAGCTCGCGTCGCCTACTAAAATCCAAACGATCGTTGGCCGTTACTGGGCGAGAATGGCGTATGTCGATCTTGGGCATGAAAAAGCTAGGGTCTTATTTGAGAAACAGAGGAAGGAGTTCAACTACGCAAACTTGGATTCCCAGGGTAGTGGCAGGTATCGGGTCAAGCCAGCTCGACAGCCGCGTTATATGGGTGCCAACATTATTCCCCTGAAAGCGACCAAATCATCGATCAGCATCGCCGTGACCGCTACGGCGCCATATACAGCTACACTTGCTGTAAAGGGTTCTAATGGAGCCATTCGATATATCGAAGTGGTAGATAACAAGGTCCAAGCAACTTTGGCTAGTGGGGAGGAAGCCACCCTTGTGGTTGTGAACACGCCGAATACTCTCTATCTGTATGATCCTTTCTCACTTACTAGCGACGTAAGTCGGGGACTGGACTACCAGCTGCAGATCACAGGCGCAAGTGTTTAATAGATTCAAGTCTATAGAGAGGTAGCCACTAATGAGGAAGCTTGGTCATGGACGAAAGGTTATTCGTTAGCTACATGTATCTAAGGTTATCATGTAAATTGGACTTAATATAGTCTTACGCAAACCTAGACGATGTTGATTGGCTGGCCAACACTACCCGCCCAACCGGCAATATGAAGATATATTAAGCCATGACTCCAGAACGGCACTTCAGGTCGACGGTTTTCCACTAATAATAGAATAATTCTCCCACACAACTGCTCCCAAGATGCGATCGAAGCTTATCTGATCTTTATACCCCTAAGATATTCAGCAACTTCGCCAGAACGGGTTGATATCTAACTTTACCTCTCCACCAAACAGAGTGTCTGGGTTCCTTTAGTAGTTCAAGATGCGACCGCAATGGATTCTGGCGCTTGCTAGCGCCGGTACTATCTTACCTGGTGCCTCTGCTCTACTTCGCTTTTCGTGTTCCCAACTCGTGGTTGAACGACTTGACCCCTTAGTTAACCCCGGCGTTGTCGGATCGCCCCATCTTCACCAAGTTATCGGCGGAGTGCGTACACATATCCAATACAGCTTAAAATTTTAGGAAGATTTTTCTGACAGATTGAAACTCGTAGAATGCCTTCAGACCGTTAATGGATCCAAAGGCTATGGATATCCCGAGCACAGCCACCTGCACGACCTGCACGTTTGCCGAGGACTTTTCCAATTATTGGACGGCAGTCATGTTCTTCCGCGCACGAAACGGAACGTACAAACGTGTCCAACAGAAGGGCAATGTTTACTTTGAGGACTCGAAGGGCGGTGGTATGACGATCTATTACATACCGAGTTATGGAAACACGAATGTCACCGCATTCAAGCCTGTGAGTCACGCCAATGTTGCTACAGATCTACATCTACACCATGGCTTACGTAGGTGTCTATAAGGGATTCAGGATGATAACCGGCAACCCTGCGATACGCACTGAGGAAGAAGCAATGAAGTACCGTCAGCTCACATAGTAAGTCGTTCACGCGTCGAACGCGTCTCTCTTAATTATAAAGTTTACCTACGGAAGTTTCTCCGCGTGCGTCTATTTGCACTGCGCATACAGTCCTCAAACCCACTCACTACGAGATCTTATGCACCATACGGCTAAGATCACTTTTGCAGTACCTGCCTTCAAGATCCCATGACGAGGACGAATGAGACTCACGACATGCCAAAAGAGCCGTGTCCTGCGGGCATCATGGCTAACCTACGGTTTCCGACGTAAGTGGACGAGCCGCAACTTTAATTAGCATAGAAATAGGTAGGTACCAAGGTAGCTAATGATGTTATTTATCAGTTGCTGGGATGGCGTCAACTTAGACTCTCCCGATCACGCCAGTCACGTCTCGTATCCCGAAAGTGGCACATTTGAAGAAGGGGGCCCCTGTCCGGCGAGTCACCCTGTGAAAATTCCTCAACTCTTCTACGAAATCGTCTGGGACACGACGCCTTTTAATGATAAGTCCCTATGGCCAGAAGATGGTTCGCAACCGTTCGTGTGGAGTTACGGCGATGCTACGGGCTTCGGCAACCACGGCGATTACATGTTTGGTTGGAAAGGTAATGCGCTGCAGATTGCGATGGACACCAACTGCAATGGGTTCAAATGCCCAGAGCTTCAATACCAAGAGATCAAAGAGGGGAATAAATGCTCGGTGAAGCCAATAGTGGATGAGGATATTGACGGATGTAAGTATTTCAACTGGTAACAAAAGTTCATCGCTGACAGAAACGCAGGGCTCACGGAGCTTCCTGGTGGCATGCCAGTCACTGACGCTAGCGGGAAGCCCATTTACTAGGTGCTATTATTAGACAGCAGTAGAAAAAACGAGAGACTATAATATGGCGAGAGAGGAATAGTAGTTCTCAAAGGAGGTAGTTTGTTGAACCCCCCTTTTGGCTCTAATACTGCTAGATAGACAAGTTTCCAGATAATTAAGCTGCACCTATTATATTGTATACGTATAACTACGATAGCTTCGGTAATATTATTCTGGATGATAGTAAATCATGATTAAAATTCGGTCAAGGATATGTAGGGATACAAGAATAGGTTAGCTAGAATGGCTAGAATAGGTAGACGGTTCCCTTGTAAGAGTATGGAAAGCCTGGCCTTACTACTTCAACCCAATATGCTGCATGTACGACCCTGACACTCACTCTGTAGACGAAATCTATCATCGGGCATACCTGACAGGTTTCACGAAATGGAAGTATGTTATGGATGGCCTTTGTTATAAGCTGAAACAAATCTTCAAAGATGCTTCCGGAACTACCATCCATTCTGTCTCATAATCCACTAGTGACAACAAAATCATATTATCTATTCTAAACGACGTATAACAAAGAGGCGCAAAACTAAAATATCGTTGACTTCTATTTATTCGAATACCTAGGAGATGGAACTTTCGAAAGCTTTACCACCGATCCGCGACCGAACTAATATTCCATAACCCAATTCGCAACTAGGCTGTCACTTGACTATAAAACTTTCAATACCAGAATAATATCTATAGCACAAATCGACATGAATTATATCGAAGTCTCCCGTAAACGTAAAATTAAAACTCTCGAACCAGACGTCGATGCAAGAGCAAGCTCACTTGCTAACAACTGGAATCGAGATCCGTCATGGCTTTGGCCCCCGCCTCTGAATCAAGCATATTGCAAACTCCACTTCTTAAAGGAATGTTCTCTGTATCATTTATTGGAGAACGAATGCTTTAAACTCAAGGTTGAAACGCAGGTACCAAAAGCCAAGAAGACAAGCAAGTGGCCTACGGCACCGACGCGAGTCCAGCCCGCAAGACGAGCGCGAGAGAAGAACTCGAAAGATCAAGCAGGAACATCGACAAGCAGGCAAAGTAGCCCTGCACGGAACAGCAAAACCAACGAGGCTTCTAACACTCTCGATATTAGCCGCGAGAAGCTCCTACTTCATCTTTCCTGGCCGATATACAAGACACAACTGGAAAGTCACATCAAGCAGGTATTCGATAGGCTTTACGGAAGCAAGCACGAGAGCGCTGGTACAACTAATCTTCATCATCACTCTGGCATCAACTTGCGTCCGCAATGCCGCTATTGTAGATTCGATCCCGTAGTCGTGGACTGCGAAGGTGCCGCACCGCGAAGATTAAACCCCCCCGCGCCGATGTACTGTATTGCGCTGGACGGCATAAAGGAGGAGCAAATTGGCGAATTTGGCGGGATCAAGTTCGCAGTCGGTCTATCCGCTGGTCACGAGGCGATCATCTTGCTAGGGATGGAGAAACTGGACGATTGAGTTGGATGAATCTGCAGTCAGCGATGAGCCCGACGTATAAGATTTCTCTACGAGCATATAACGCACGCCCTTGGGAAGTGATAAATTGGAAAGTTAGGTACGGTAGAAAACTCTTAGCTGACTTAGATAAGAATGGGAAGGGGAAGGAAAATGAGTGCGACCCCAAGCTCGCCGCTGGTTGGGGATATGATAGTATTCGGTATTCTCAGGCTTACTACATATGTCACAGGAGGGGTTTGCCACAGATAGGTATACCATATCTTAGGTACGTTTCTGCACCCCGTGGCGAATGGAACCTGGGATCATCGGGTTGTCCGCTTGTCAGCCTTGACTTGATTAAAGAGCTGTATGCATGACGAATAACGCAACTCGCCGACCTCCATCTTATATACCTCTAACAAGAGGACGAGCTGAGACGCTTGTTCGTATTCAAATCCAGGCATCTTGGTTCTTGTAACATCACTCCTCTAAGGTCCGGTCGAACAGGTCTACCGCTGCCTTGTTATTTGATACTATAGGCTGCTATGACACCGTAGCCAACCACGATTTGAGCAACCGTTTTTAAAAGAGGAAAGAGGATGTTGAGATTGAAGACAAGCTAGGCAAGGGACTTTCTTCTTTTTACGGCTAGGTATAGCTATCCTACTTAAAAGAATTCCTTATTAGACATCAAGTCCGGGACCCGCCAATCGGCCCGGTCTAGAAGAAGACCAGGAATAGCGCCGGGTAGCGGGTAGACTACAGCCTGCAGCATCAAATTCGCGTTGTGATCTTGCATGGCAAGGTGAGAGAGACGAGGCAGATGATGTATAACACTTTTTTTTCTACGGGTTCGTAGATGAATGATGACATCGGGCAGACCGAATTGCGTCAACAAGGATGTCTCGGTGTGCATTTATTTAACACTTGGAAAAGTAAACGACCTTCCGTGTTGATCTTGAAGTCTTGATTGTGTGATTTTCTAGTAGGTTTTCGAAATGTTGGTTTGCAAGTAGGTTAAGGTTGGGGTGCTAAGGTTGAGCTCAAGCAATGTTACATTGCCATGCAGCGAGGTGACAGGAAACTTAGCGTAATAATAATAAGAAAAAAAAATATTGCGTTCCTTACCTAGGTCCCATAAGATCACAAGGTTCTGTTTGCGTGCGATGGCGTGCGATCTGCCAAGCATCCACAAGAACCTCACGAACCTCACGAATTCCTTCAGCTTCCCCTGGCAACATTACTTATACGTAATTGCTCGTCTCCTGATCCTAGATCCTCCCGCTCCCAAGATGCTCTAGAACCTAACCTAATTATCTGTGCCACTTGCTTGAATTGTCGTGTTTTTTTCCTCTTGTCTTGTGCTTAACCTTTCTAACATGTGTAACATACGACCTGCTCCGAGTTAAAAAGGAGACCTTCTTCCCTCTTAGATCCCTGTGGATCGCGTGCCATTTTCTCAGTTCTCGCGCTTTCTTGCGACCGATATTACCAGAAAATCAAGAACAAGATGTCATCAGCGACAGAGGTCGGGAAGGATACCGACCCCGTCACCCGGGAACTGAACGCTCCTACGGACGAGGAATACGCATCGTCTACTAATGATGGAGTCCAGCAATTCGCTTATTCCGACGAGCGGAAGATCGGTGTTACCGGGGCTGTGTTTCTGATTTTGAATAAGATGATCGGAACCGGAAGTAAGTGAAGCTGAATGATTCCATCTAATTCCATCTAGTTACCAACTTCATGAACGTTTGCAAAGTAGACTGACCGGTTATACCCCAAAGTTTTCTCCACTCCTTCCGCCATCTTCGCAGCAACTGGATCTGTTGGTATATCAATAATATTATGGATCGTGGGTGGTATCTTGACCTTCTGTGGTCTGAGCGTGTTCCTTGAGTTTGGTCTGGCTATTCCGCTCTCCGGCGGTGAGAAGAACTATCTCGAACGAGTTTACCGCCGCCCGCGTTACCTAGCTTCGTGCGTTTTGGCAGCGCAGATGATCCTGCTGGGTTTCTCGTCAGGAAACTCCCTCGCATTCGGTCGGTATATCCTGGCCGCCGCCGGAAGCACACAAGGGGATGGTTGGACGGCCCGTGGTATCGCCATCGGCTGCATTACTTTCGTTGTCGCGCTGCACTCAATTTTTCCTAAATGGGGATTGAGGCTCGTGAACCTCCTCGGAATATTCAAGGTGGTCATAGTGATATTCATCGTATTTTCGGGATTCGCCGCCATCTCCGGTCGACTCCTCATCGAGCCGCCTGGTAACTTCAAGAACGCGTTTGCCATCGAGGTGTCGGAGAATTACGGTGGCCAGGGCGCATATGGATACGCGACGGCGTTGCTGCAAATCATCTACAGCTACAAGGGCTGGGAAAATGCCAACTACGTGCTTGGAGAACTGAAGAATCCCCGCAAGACCCTCGCGATCGCAGCACCCATCGCCATCGGCGGCGTCACCATCCTCTATGTCCTAGCCAACGTGGCATACTTCGCAGCGATAACGAAGGACGATCTCGCTACCTCTGAGGTGTTGGTGGCTGGCCTATTCTTCCGTAACGTTTTCGGGGACAGTGCTGCCGCACGGGCTCTGCCCGCTTTTGTTGCTCTGAGCAATTTGGGTAATGTCTTGGCTGTGAGTTTCGCTCACGCTCGACTAAACCAGGAATTTGGTAAGGAGGCTCTTCTGCCTTATGGAAAATTTTGGGCATCTATCAAGCCGTTTAATGCGCCGGCTGCTGCTGTGAGTATTTACGCCCCTTAGCTGCCGAGTTTAAATATGTAACTGACTTAACGTACCTGATAGCTGTTTCTTCACTGGCTTATTACAGTGATCATTCTCGTCGCCCCTCCCGCGGGTCCTGCCTACAACTTTGTCGTCAACTTATATACCTACCCCGGCGCCTGGATCAACGGTTTTGTTACCGCCGGCCTCATCTATCTTCATTACAACAAGTCAGAAAAATGGACGTCGCCTTGGCACACATATTTACCAATTAGTGTGATATATCTGTTGGCCAACATCTTCCTTGCTATCGTTCCCTTTGTCCCCCCGACTGGGGACTGGAATGCCGAGGGTTACCCCTACTTTGTGTTCCCCGTCGTCGGAGTTGGCGTTTTGCTTCTGGGTGTAGTGTACTGGGCATGTTGGTCCAAGCTCTGGCCGGCAATTGGGGGTTACAGGATCGAAGCTCATAGGATTGTCGAGGACGATGGTAAGGAGGTGGTGCGGTACCGGAAGATCAAGACGAGATAACCGCAAGCCATAAATATCTCAAACAGCACTTTGGTTATGTTTTTAACTTTTGCTCAAGTAGATATTTACTGCATATAGAGCCGATCTCAGTTATCCTATAGTACACTAAGATAATAGTACCTACCTAACAGAAAGAAAGTTAAGTAGCATTGTAAAATATAGCCAACTACCTGTCATTGGTCGGTTTCAATTCTAGTCATTCTTCGAGTCAGACTTCGACAAGTTAAATTCTCTTTTCGTGTAATTTAAAATCAGCAGAGTTCAATAATGTGCAACGACTTTACAATGAGGACGTAAATCTTTTTGGCTACGCTGGGCTTCTCTATTAGTTCCACAGTTTCTTGATGCTGATCTATATACGGTTGACTGGAAGTTAATATAACAACATCGTATGGTTTCAGATCCCAGATATTTTAAGAAAGGGCAGAGACCTCTTATCCGTAGCAGATCAATATAACTAACCTATCTCCACTATTGACGCCTTCAATTATCCGAGTCCGACATAAAAATAGCAGCCACGGATGTCTCCGGTCGGAAACAGAATTTACAATATGGCCACAATTTCAATTCCTTTCATTCCCATATAAGGGATGCGAAAGATCGACAAGATAATAGAAGACTAGGTGCAATGCGTGTGATAGCAAGCAGATGCTGTGCAACCGCATCTAACTACGAAGGGGGGACGTTTAACAGCCACATCGTTCGATACATGGAAATTTGTTAGGCATGGTTCTAACCGGTTAGCCGTGTAGCGCACGAGAAATTACAAAATCAACTTGATACTTTCCACAAACTCCGACTTTAGCACCTAATTTCCATATAGCCAGGCCTGCGCGTGACGGGGAATCTCCTACGCTTTTCATCCTAGAGCCCATCCATACCTCAACTTAGTAGATCGATGAGAAACTATCCTGCGAGATCAGTATGGATACACGGGAACACTATATAATAGACAGTTCGACCTATGAAGAGCTAGGTACTTGACAAAACCCAATAACGATGTGTTGGCTTCATGCTTAAGATACGTACCCGTAGTTTTAAATCTCTATTTAAATTCTTGTTTCCTCTTTCATTACATGCTAGCTTTCATGGGATTCGAACTGCTAGGACTGAAAGAGGGACCTAGTTACTACTTTCTACCCCAATTTGGTACCCCTATTACCCCTATTCACTTATTCAGCACATCCACTATATCGATCAAGTAACCGGCATGTCATCAGGTTCAGTTTCATCTTCGCCTCCCGACGTGGATTATGGACCCTTTATCATTCGTGTCTTGACCCCGATGACGATCCTTGTAACTGTTGTCGTTTGTCTCCGTATTGCCATAAGGATTCGCCGTGTTGCTAGTATTGGAATCGATGACTGGCTCATGATAATCTCACTTGTAAGTTGTTGAGTCTATTCGACCTAATAATTAGCTATTTCGTTTCGGCCGTGAAATCCCTTCTGAATTAACGCCCTGATAAGCTGAGTTTCCTGATGTTGTTCTAGGTCCTTTCGTGGGGATTTTACACTTCGATCATCTTACTCATTAACCTCGGCGGCGTGGGAAAACCAACAGCCGCAGGCAGTCCTCGCCGAATTCTTTACGACGCCAAGGTAAGCAATTTCATATTATTATACAGAATTTCCCGGTATATTTGATTATGCTGACACTTCCAAGTTCGTTTTCGCCGGCCAATTGATCTATGCAACAAGTATCCTATCTACCAAACTTAGCATCCTGGCAATGTATAGGCAGATTTTCCCAGTACGGCTGATGAAGCTAGGGCGTCTTGTCCTGAGCTATCTCACTGTAATATGGTGGGGAGTCTATGTCCTCTTTGAGACCTTTCAGTGCAAGCCGATCAAGAAAGTATTCAATCCTGCTATAGAAGGCCACTGTATTGGATCATACGAGTTCATATTAGGGCTTATGGTTCCTAATATCGTCACCGATGTCGCTATCTTGTGTCTGCCGATCTACGAGATCGTGAACTTGCACCTCACGCCTAGCCAGCGTATCACGCTCTCTGGTATTTTCTTATTTGGGTCGTGCGTAATCGTTGCAAGTGGGATCCGACTACGATATCATATCCAATTGTCCCAGGTCGCGGATATTGACACTACTTGTAATTACCAAACCTCAGCAGCTACAATTTTGAATCTAGCCCAGATAGCTAATAGATGCAGTGGCTTATGTCAATCCGATCTTATGGACTGCCCTGGAGCCCGACCTAGGGATAATTTGCGGCTGTCTGCCTGTGCTCGGACCGCTATTCAACGGCTTAGTTGGGATGCGCCCCTTCATCTGGATCCGCAAATTCACAAGATGTAGCCGCAACTATGATGGTAACGAAGCGCGTAGCATGCCAGTCTCTTTACGTGCGCTTCGGACCATAGGCGGCTCGACGATGCATAGAGATGATGTAGGAAAGGGTAGAAAATCCCAGGATCCAAGGCCGCCGATCAACTCTATGAGACGGTTTCAGAAGCTCGACGACGACGATTCGGACTGCGCTATTAAAGTAAGTTGCTACGGGAACGAAAGGGACGTCAGACGAGAACTACCCGATCTATGGCCGCGGGGTTATGCCGCCGGATATCGTACGGTAGTGAGAAAGACTAGCGATGTTGAAGGGAATAAAGTGCCACTCGGCGCTATTGCGGTCGAGACGGTGGTTGACTGGGAGGAAAGTGGTCCTGCTTCTGATACTACATAGTCTCTTGAATCGTGTATGATATAATAGTAATATACATACCATGCATATGCCCGAACCCGTGCCCGTGCCCGAACTTGTTCGAGATATTGTATCCATTATGAAGTTTGTCCAGGTTGATGCTCCATTTCTTGAGACAACACGCTCTAGCCCAGCTGTATCCTGGCGTGCCCTGGGGAGATCAAATGATCTACTGTGATTTCCCTGTTGCTGGCCTCAGGCCGTACATTGAGCACTTGATAACCCCTGATACCATGATTATGGGATAAGTTGCTACCTAAGTGGTCAATGCTTCAAAAGCCTATAAATAAATATCTATAAAGCTTACGATTATAACCAGTTTGATGCCTTGTCAGGAGCTTTGCAACTAGGTACCGCGGGCGATAGCTGCCTAGGTACCCTAAGGCTATCATCGACTATCATTGTGACTCTTGGTTACCCATCTTCCGCCAATACCATCGATTCCCAACGCGTCAACTTCCAACGCATCAAGTCGTTATTCTATTACATCAAAAATACTAGTATCAAGTTCATGTCAACAAGACGAGGCTTAGAGATCCTCCTCGTTACACTCGGCTTCTTAAATATTCGCGTAAAAAAACCACTTCAATCGTTGATTGAAATATACTGCTCTGGTTATACTCCACCGGCTCCACTGATCGTTCTTCGGGCTTTCGGCGATGGTCAACTCTTGTATGATGTGGTTTACATCGTTTGTTGAATAATCCTTGGCAACGTATGGGCAGACGACGAGGGCCTCGATCCTGTAAATCAAGTTGGGCTGTCTTTATCTTCTTCGCCCAAACCACAAGAAGCACGCTTTATACCTCAAGATTCTACGGTCCCGGCTGGGGTCTACTATCTCCACTATCCAGGTTATAAGAAAAGTCAGACTTCAGCAATGTCGATGTCGGCGACCTTGTTTACTCGGTCCAAACGGGACAAATGGAACCCTTTGATGATGGCGCCGAGTCTGGGGATTGTAGTCTTAGTTCACACCAGTCGAAGGTTACCGATGTTAGCAAGAAGCGCGATGCCAGCCACCTTGATGATAGGTGCATTGGAACTTTCCTTTGTTTGCAAATCAGTACTTCTCATTTGTACGGTTTAGATTAGTCAGTTTTTAACCTTGTAAAAATACGGTCGCATCTTTTTCAAGATTAGAGGTACCTCTTACCTAAACCTAACCTACAAGTGGCAGTTGGTGTAACATCCAAAAATTCAACTTTTACAGCGGACGTCTAATGTATTGTTTAGGTACCTGTAATAAGGTAATAGCGATCTATTTTCTCCCATCCTCTTTCCTTACCGTATGTTTAATGTCTAAGAAATTCCCTAAGGTTAGGTACCTCCTATATTTTTCAACTTTTAAATTCTTCTTTCTTTCTTTCTTTTTTTCCTCTTATTCTACCAACATTTTCACTTTTGTGTCTCATCTTTTATCTCCGAAATTCCTCGATCGTTCCGTTTCCTTTGGGGTTACGGTACCGAAATATTTGTGAGTAATCGCAACTCTTGATTGGCTACAAATTTCCGTCACACTGCGGCATCAAAAGAGCCCAGATTTATTCGGGCTACGGCCCGGTGCGTATCTCTGGAGATCCTACGTGTTCGGCGGGCTATTCTGCGGCGTTCTACGCTACGGTACAGGCGCTTCGTGCGGAGAACAAGCTGGATGCTGCATGGTGTCGCTTATGCTTCTTATGCTTCTTATGCCTTAGGCCAAACGGGGCCCAGATCAATTTTTGATTCTTCCGTTTAATCGTTTAATGCTCAATTCGTGCGATCCTCCTTCTGTCTGCCGTTCGATTTTTATTTTTATTTTCTTTTTTTTTTATCTATTCTTTTCAAATTCAATTTAACGCAGGGACTTTTCTTTTACCCCCTCCCCCCTCCCCCCCTCTTCCCCTCCTGGAATTTGAGCCCATGCCCTAGTATCGCATAGCATAGCATAGCAGAGCATAGCATAGCATCACATCAGCACCTCAAAGATATCAAATCGTTATTCGCTAGCCGGGCAATAGGTTGGTAGTTGAGTCAAGCACCATCCATGTCAAATTATACATCGACAACGATTCCATGAACTTTCGATTCTCGGGCTGAGATGGCTGATAAGACGCCCCCGGGGGATCATGGTAGTCCTGTCGGCAAGCTCAACAATGCTATTTCTGATTTCGCCGCTTCTTATGTCAAGAAGGAATTGCAGCAATTGACTCGAGAGCGAGATGATGAGCTGGCGCGGAGCCACGTGCCTAAGCTAAGGGCTCTTTTAAGAGAGGTCGATAAAGAGCGACAGGCATATGAGCAAGACAAGGAGAAGCTAATCCTTGGTCTGCGCAAGAAGTTGCAGCTACTCGAAGTCGACCCCGATACTATCGAGAGTACCGTCTCGGAACTTATCCCCGTTACCCCCAAATATCTGAGTGTCATTCCCAGTGCTTCGACGCTGACTATTCGACCCCCAACACCTTTTATGTCCCCGTTTCGCGATAATTATTTTAGTACCGTCCTTAGCGCAGATGTCTTGTCCAGCATCCCCCCTTTGACGTCGCAAGTCCAAGACGAAGGAACTTCCAATTCGATCAAAGATAATTCTTCAAGTCCTACTAATATTAACGTATCCCCGAACATAGGCCCTAATATCGACCACCAAATCCAAAATCCAACCCAATCTGAAAACCCCATGCCGAACAGAGCGCCTAAGCGGGCGAATGGAGATGGCGATAGCACCACCGCAAATGGGAAACGACGCAGGGTAGATGGCGGAAAGGTAAGGACGGACCAGGGCGATCACTTCCATATATAGCTTCTTGACTAGCTGACATATTGCCAGGCCCTTAGCAGATCTCAATCGGATATATTCCGCAAGATAGCATTCCCAAATTTAGAGACAGGGGAACGTATATTTCGTCATTCGGATCGTCAAGGCTTCTTCGTCATACGATGCAACAGGCCTAACTGCCAAACCGGATTCTTCACGGATCCGCCTCTAGCATATAACAGAGCTCTGAAGCATTTCCAGAGTCATGGGGAAACCGGGTTAGATGGCGAAGAACTGACTAACGAGTATATTTTCGAAAACTTCGCATGTGAAAGTGAGTAGTTTCACCCTTGTATATGCAGGGGAAGGGCTTTGGATACTAATTTTTGCCGATAGTTGAAGGTTCCAGCCTGGTTAGCAAGTACTGGATTAAGGAGCACCTTGGCCCAACACCACATACCTGTGAGTAAAGACATTCTGGTCACCCCAGCCCCCCAGCCCCCTGGGGAGGACTGGTCCAATTTCGAAAGCTTCTTCAAGTTAACTCTTGGCATTTATAGTCGTCCCCGGAAGGTCGAAATCCAAGAATTCTCAAGCAGGAGAGACTCCTATTGTACGAAGAAGCAAAGAGGACGACAAGAATTACACGCCATCTGGTAAAGTCCGAAACTCTTCAAATACAAATGAATCAGACGATGAAGAATTAGAGGCGGAGAAACCACGTCGTACGCCCAGGAGTGTTCCTCGTCCAGACTACGCAGAATTGGTGGCCAATAAGGATCCCTGGAATCTCTCAGACGGCGACAGCGATGTACGTTGGCCCATGAAGCTATATTATCTATACCACAACTAACACATATCCATAGAAAGTTGTCCCTCGTTCTATGAAAGAACCGCAGACACCCGGAAACGGTACTGTTAAGTCTACGAAGTCAGGGAATAGTATATCACCCAGCACGTCAAAAAGATCAACACCAGGACCAGCAATGCTAAGAGCGAAGACATCGGAGCCGAGTAAGTATGTCGACACTTCTTCCCTTGCATAAAAACGCCGTCTGACACGACCCAGGCCCTTTGGTTATACATCGGAGCAGTGGCCACGACGGTCCGCACCGAGTTAGGAATCGACAGTATCAGCCTAGAGGATCGCACGTCGCGCTCATCGATGGCCACCTCTTAAAAATCAAGTTCGAGACATTAGCGCCGGAACATAGGAGGAAATAATTGTAATCTATGATCCGAATACTTACGTCCTTATGATACTGCTATTTGCGAAATGAGTTACACCCATGCCGACACGATCTAACGATAGAATGGCTAGTTACCCATGATTTATTTTTCAAGTGCTCTAGATACGGTTGTAAAAAACTCTATATATACCTAGGAGGTAGGTATTTACTGGCTACCTCCTATCTTACTTACCTAGGCAGGTAAGTACACTGTATTTATTTTAAGCCATTTATTTTCCCTTTCTAGTTTAAAACTTTTTTTAATTTAGCAAATTTGGCAAACTTGTCTAAACGGTCAGAGTTAACCTTCAAGCATATGAAGTGAAATTCTAATTTGAAAACTTCATCTTCTCACAGAATGCCTTCATAAAATGCCTCTCCCAACGAAAACAATTCGACTTATTGAACAATTCGAGCTCCATAATATCCTGCTTGTTGAGTGGGAGAATGCTCTCTTCAGTAGATTGGGCTATCCAATGATTATCCTCGGCGTAAGTTGTCCAGCATCTGATGTCCAGCATCTGAATCTGCCCAACGCTAAGTCATAAGTAGGATCTTATCTTCCTCATTCCTGATGAGTAGTTACATATAGTTCAGAATCTTGCTGCTGATATTGGCTATCACGCCGCCGATCGCGAGATATTACCCCCAAAATATCCATGCGAAGAGTCTGACCAAAGCCTTCGATATATCATTGAAACCCCCGATATTTTTTGTTCTAGGATTGTACTTCTGCCTTTGTCCTGGGCAGGCGTTTCCCCCGAAGACCTCATTCGCCTTAGTGGCGCTGAAAATAACTTGCCTTGCTCGGTTTATACTATGCCTGTATCGATTGCCTGTACTGCTCTCGTGCGTATAGCATCTCGTGAGAAACGGGACAGTCACCTGCGGATGGAAGTAATTGGTACGCTAACTTCCATTATTGGGTACCATTTCTTTGATATGAGCTATGAAGGGGATTACCATGAGATATCGCCGGATGATCAGGAGCTGTCCGAAAAGGAAGTTTTGGAAATGAGCAATGCGGTTAACAGTATTAAGGAATGGGAGATGAAGGAAGGTGAAGAATGGATCAGGGACGAGATAATAAAGGCTATGACAGGAGCGGCATCTTATGATGACTTGCCTTGCAAGAACGATTGAGTTTAGCTAGGCCATGATGGTAAACCTTTTTTTTTTTTTTTAAAAAAAAAAAAAAAAAGAAAATACCAGTTCAGCATTTCTCCTGAACTATTTATCACTTACCTGGTATTGTTGCTAATTTGAAATATATGAACAGGCTTGTACCGCTGTGCATATTCTCAACAATGGCCGATCAACTCAAAGCCGCAGAGGCTCTATATCAGGGGTATAAGGACTACTATACACTGCATACTTTACATTCTACGTGCTACTGCTTCTAGTATTCACTCTATGTACGGCATACATCACGGGATCTCTCTGACACTCTATCCTTCATATTAAGGAGCAATGATATCACCCACGCCGTCATTGGCGGATTTGCTGCCGTTTTACTCGGCCACAATCGTAGCACTCAAGATGTTGATGTTGAAATCAACTTTGCAGCCAACATGAGAGACGAGCTTGTGCAGCTCTTGATAGAGCAAGACAACAGATTCGCAGTCCAGCACCGTAAACTGTTATTCGCGCCGACGGACTCCGCCGATAAAGTTTTGATTGAAACCCTCCCTTTGGGAGAGCTTGGACTTCCACGCGAGCTTCGTATCTTCAAGCTTGAAAGCTGTTAGCACCTAGTTATTATTTCAATCCCATGAGACAGTTTCGGAATATAGCCTTCCTGCAGCCGAAATTCCTATCCTCCATCCCGCCGTTCTTATCTTGACCAAGATGAAGCGCGCAGCGCAACTTATCGCCAGTACGCGCCCTTTGCCACGCGCCAAGTTCCACGCCGACTGTTCGGACATCACGTACCTTTTGAACTGGCTTGCGCAGCGAGACGCGACGATTGATTTCGTCGGATACAAATCTGCAACGGTGGATCGCTTGTACAAGGCAGTCATCGATCTCGTCCACCATTGGCGAACAACCGACCGGGATATGGTTGATCTGCTGGCTTCAGTTCTTGAGCCGGGTGATCGCGAGAAAGTTATGGATGGTTGAATGGATGGGTTTAGGGATCCTTGGAGGACACTTGAGACTCCTTTGGAACAAAAAGGTTGTTTGGTATATAGCTTTGATTTCGAAGCTACTATAGTTAGAGTTCCTTGCGGAACGAAGTTGTTTCCCTACCTCATGCTCTGCGACGTGACAGCCCACCCTAAGGGAGATTTTTACAAACCTCAACCCTTGATTTTTTATGCGTTAAGAAAGCTGGAATATAGGTACGTAGTTTGTTCAGCTTTTTGCATGGGGCATAGGGGATGCCATTTTCAGATCCCGGAATCTCCAGTACTGGAGGTTCCTACGCCATGTGGGCTTCATTTGTAAGCAACATAGAGAGTTCGTTAAATACCAAGACTAGTAGAGGCAAGTAAATATGTTTACGCGAGATCTTATTATCTTAAGCTAACGTCGCGACTACCTCCAACACTAACCAGGAGGGCGTAACGACTATTATTCGGTGTTTTGTATATATATATATATATATCAGCAAGTACTTTGACTTATGCATCTCTTTACTATCTTCTAGTTACTACCTATCTATTGTTCTTTCAGAGCTCAGGCTATATATCTTCATCTTACTATGTAAAGCAATGCCGTTAGTTTTTATTATATATACCTCATATGTACATACCTACCTAAGCTGACTTGGTTCACGGCGTGTCTTGTCTCACACGAGTGATATTTATCTGAGACATAAGACGTTCGATTCGTATTCGGCTAATGCACCTCCACGCAACCGTATCCATCACCCTAGGCAGAAAGCCCAAAACTCTACGCGCGCCCCTTTTCCTCCCGATTTCCCTGTATTTTTTTTGTCACAGCTCTCAGCTTGCAGCTCACAGCTTAGCACGGCCGCCCTCCAGCGCATCCCAGTCCTGTTGCGTAAAGGGTACGTAAGCGCTGCCGCCTTTGGCGTGGTCGGGAACCCAGAAGACAGGGTCGGGCGCCGTCTGGGCCGGATCAACGCCGGCGCGCTTGAGCGGGAGCTTATCTTGTTTGTTGTTGTGGGTGGCGGAACGCGCGGAGATGCGACGTATAAAGATGGGAACGGCGTATTTGGGGAGGTGGGCACGGGCGTGTCTGTTTCCCGGTGAGGGTTGTGGTTAGCAAAGATGGTGAGTTTTCTCCCAGGACCTCTTAAGGTGATATTAGAGGGTGCGTGCATGTGACGATTACTCTATCGGTTTATTTATATTAAATGTGTGATAGGTATAACGGGAGGATTGGTGGCATTGCGTTGGGACGCGGAAGCGGGGGGCAGGGGGGGAGGAAGAGTTTCGACACGTTGCGTTGGCAGACGGACGTGACACAGGGAAGATTCTCAGGAAAAGAAAGGGGGAGGGGGGAAATAGTAAACTTACTTCAGCAATCCGTTATAATCAAAAGTCTTGATGGTAGGGTCAATGTAGATAGCCGCCATACCGGCCTTTCCATCGTGATTCGGCAGAGATACGCCGTACACGGTCGCCTCACTCACTCCCGGATATCGACCCAACACCTCGGACACTTCGGCTGTGGATACGTTCTCTCCTTTCCAGCGGAACGTATCCCCCAGCCTATCTAGGAAGAACCACCGCCCATCGTCGTCTCGTCGCAAGGCATCCCCTGTCCGGTAGTATAAGTCGCCTTTCCGGAAAACATCGCGCACGTATTTCTTCGCTGTCGCTTCTTCGTTGCGGTAGTACCCTGGGAAAGCGGGCGTGATCGTGGGCGGTTGTGCTACAAGTATCTCGCCACCAATCGAGTAGGGCACTCGCCGCGCGAAGCCCGTCTTAGGATCGCGCGCGATTTCCCCCGTATCGACGTCAATCTCCACCGGTACGAAGACGTTATGAAAACGCCACCGCTGCAAGAAGCCGTGGTGGCCAACGGCATGCGCGCGGAAGTCGCCTCGGGCCGGGTTGTCGAGCGGCATGATGCCCTCGGTCGAGTTGAAGAACTCGAAGATGGTGTCGATGCCGAAGCGGTCGCGGAACGCTTTCCAGACATCCGGGCGCAAGCCATTGCCATAGATGGAATGCACGTTGTGCTCCTTATCACGTGGCGACGGTGGCGCTGCCAGTAGGTATCGCAATGTCTCGCCGACGTAAACGAACCACGTGGCGCCGCTGTCTCTGATGTCGTCCCAGAAGCCGGAAACGCTAAACTTGGGCGCGATGCAGAGCGTCTGACCCGTCAGAAGCTGCGTCATGCCGCTAATACCTCCCGTGCCGTGATATAGCGGCATGCAGTCGTAGTAGCGCTGGTTAGTACCTTTAACATACGAGAAGCCGCAATCTATGCTGACTCCATACCCGAAGGCGGCCGCCGCGGGCAGCGCGCAGGCTTTAGGCAAACCAGTCGTGCCGCTAGTATAAAACAGACCAAATGGCGAGTCCGGCCGGACATTCTCACGCAACTCGTCGGGCGGCCGCTCGCCTTTCGTGGCGTTGATTTCGGGTTTGATATCGGCTAGTTTCACGATAGTCACCCCCTCTGCAGCCAGTTCGTCCTTGACGGCGTCGATGCGCTCCATAAGTTGAGGCGTGCCGTCGGCTAGCACGAGCTTGGCTTCCGAAATGCCCAGACAGTGCAGCAGAGCCTGCTTGGTCAGGTTGTGGTTGACGAGCGCCGGGGCGGCGCCGATAGCTAATAGTCCCATCCACGCGAAGACGAAATCGGGGCTGTTGGCCATGAAGAGGGCGACGAGGTCACCGGGCTTGACGCCGCCGTGTTTTAAGAACCACTGGGCATACTGGTTGGCGCGGTAGTAAGTCTCGGCATACGTAAAGCATCCCTGACGCGACCAGATGCACTCCTTGCCGGGCTGGGTCTGCGCGTGCTTCTCGAAGAAGTAGTAGGACGAGACTCGCTTTTCTTGGACTACGTAGGCGTGTAAGATGAGCTGCGTCCACGTCCAGGGAAAAGAGGAGTCTTCGGAGGGTAAGGCTCACTCACCGGCTTTCTGGAGGAGCTTCGCGCCCTGCTTCTTTGCGCGGATGTGCTGCCAATCCTGCCGCAAGTGGAATTTGCCGTCGAGATACGCGAGGCCAGCCGCGGTGGCAGCCACCGACGCCGCAGCTGCGTTTTGTTAGTTGGGGGAGAGCTGTCTCCGGGGGTACGAAAGCGCTGAGGAATAATATTATGAGGCCTTACCAATTGCCGCCATCCCTTCACTTTATATGAGGATATTACTCGGACAGTGTCTTACTAATGAAAGCAGAGGTGGTGGTGGAAGCTATATCGCGTAATGAACATAGAAACTACTAACTATTTCTGAAAAAGGAACACGATAAGTTGGCTTTGCATTTCAAATCTAAGCCTTACCACCGGTTCGTCAAGACGGTCGATATTCTAACAGAAAGCATCTTAAGAAAAGAAGAAGAAGAACAAAGTAACACGACGCGCCAGCAGTATAGTACAGCCGACGGGTGACCTCGGGATTTTAGGTTGAGTAGTCCATTGGACCAGGGGGTCATTGTTAGGACGGCAGTTTGTGGGGGAGGTCTGACCCTCTTCATAATCCGTATTTTAACGCCGAACCAGAAAACAATACACAGGGAGGGTATCAAAGAGTCGAGCTTGGATTAGCCGCTGGAGAGTCGCCCCGCATTTCCCGGGTTTATTGTTCGGCACCTGTGTGGCGTAAACAGGGAAAACTTGAACTGACACCTGTTGTAAGGTAGCTAGTTGATTTTAGGAGTAAAAGTTATTGTGTTGTATACTTGTTATTGAAGAGCTTTGCTGGTTGGATAATAGACTTGCCAATTTGTGTAACTACTTAAACTAACTAATAGAGATATATAATTAGTTAGTTACCTAGGTACCTAAGTTAAGCTGTTTATGATTCATTAACTTATAAGCTTCCAAAATTGGGATCTCAGAAAGACAATATTACCATCTAAGATAGACTGCCAACGGTTATGATCGAGACCCATACGGCACCGGTTTGGGTGGCTATACTCCGACTGATAAAGGTACCTAGTGACTAAAAATGAATATAGGAGAATGGGGTGGAAATATTATCTCCGTTAGTAGAGAGAAATGACGGCGATACTAATTGTGATAATGTGCTCGGGAGCAAGTAGAGAATAGTTACCTAATGTCAAATGTTGACAACGATGAAGAATTGATTGAGAAATGGAATGTGTAAGTCGGACCCCTATTTTTTTTTCCATATTTGTCTTTATCTTTATCTGGTACTTTGATACCTGGCCAAGGTACTTCAGGTACATAACTTACCCCAGGAAGCTGGGACACTAACATGTGACTACCTCCCCCACGTAGCGCTAAGTACCTCTTTCGGTACACTTGAGGTAGCAAGGAACCCTAAAGCAAGATTGCCAAGCTTTGCCAGCTGTACTACTTAGGTAGCTGTGTACGTAGTGGGGACCAGAATTGCTGGAGATGTATTCGTGTTAACTTTTTGTATTAACTATCAACTTTTTATATTAAACATTAAACTTTCCTCTATAAGCTTCGGATATCCACCATTCATGAACAAATAATTCCTCCCCCTTTTCACTTTTTCACTCTTGTGAAGATGCGCCAATCTCAGGCCTTGGTGCTTCTCGGCGTCGCAGCCCGGAATGGGTTTGCTATAGCTGGTTCTCTACCTCGTGGAGTTGGTCCAGAGTGTTAGTGCTCCTCTTCCCCCTTGTGTTGTGTGTTATTTGTTATTTCTTCGCCTCCCTGGTTTTGACTACTATAAACTAAACTACTAGCCTGGGTCAAAATTCCAATCCCGATATTATACTACCTTATATTCTAAATTGTTCGAGCTTTGTCGATACTAACCAGCTGATTTCCGTAGTTGTTAAATTCTACGAAGCCAAAGATACCTTCACTTGCATAGGCCATCCCTCGATAGCCATCCCTGCCTCCCGAGTTAATGACAACTCGTGTGACTGTCCAGATGGTACAGACGAGCCTGGTACGGCCGCCTGTGCACTCTTGGATCGACTCTCCCCGGAGCAACCTTTGCCTGCTTCTCTCTCCGGTACCACCAACACCACAAATGCTCTACCGGGTTTTTGGTGTGAGAACAAGGGCCATGTTGGCTCATACGTCCCTTTCATGTACGTAAACGACGGTGTTTGCGATTACGATCTCTGCTGCGATGGCAGTGAGGAATACGGAAATGTGGGCGGAGTTAAATGCGAGAATAAATGTGCGGAAATCGGCAAAGAATGGAGAAGAATAGAAAAGGAGCGGAAAGACAACTTGGAGCGAGCAAATAAGCGCCGAAGGACCATGGTGAAAGAATCTAAGGAATTACGCCGCCGGGTCGAGGCCAAGATTGCGAGTCTCACGGAAGAGATTAAAGAGCTTGAAGCTAAGCGAGACGAATTGAAAGTTAAGCTAGACGAGGTTGAGCGTCAGGAACGCTTCAAAGTCGTCAAGAACGAAGGGCCTGGGAAGCTTGGTGTGCTGGCCGGACTGGCTAAAACGAGAGTCAATGAGCTGCGAGACACGTTGAGCAAAGTCATGGGTGACCGCAATAAGCTCACAGCCAAGGTCCAGGAGTTGGAAAGCATCCTAGCAACTTTCAAGGAAGAATACAATCCTAACTTCAACGACGAGGGCGTCAAGAAGGCTGTCAGAGCCTGGGAAGATTATGCCGCTAAGAAGGCCGGAGAGGCCCAAGAACAGCTCAACGAGAATGACATCACAGAAGTCCTGAAGGAGGACAGCGAGGAGTCTGGTATCAACTGGAAGGAGTTTGAAGAAGACGAAGCAACGGACACCGATATTCGTACGTCCCCCAAAATTCCTGGGTTATCTCATATTCGTGCCAAAGCTGACTTGATGTAGTATACAGTTTGGAGGCCTATCTTCCTGGCCCGCTTCGCGAATTCCTTCACGACAAGATCAACTATCTGCGGATATGGCTGATCGAAAACGGTATTCTGGCTGATACGAGCTCTGGGCAGAGCGAATCACGTCTCGTCAGAGCTGCTCGAGAGGCCCACGACTCTGTTGCCAACGACGTCAACGCCAAGAGGCGGACGCTGGAAGAGCATCAGCAGGATTTACAGAAGGACTATGGCCAAGACGATATCTTCCGGTATCTGAAGGGCAAGTGCATCACGACCGAGGCCGGTGAGTACGAGTACGAGCTGTGCTGGTTGGACAAAACTAGCCAGAAGAGCAAGAAGGGCGGGGGAAAGACGACCATGGGTAACTTCGATCGGGTCGACTTCGACGAGTCAGATGAAGAAGAGCGTCATGATGGCAAGGGACTCGGCCGAGGCAAGCGCATGGTTCTAAAATACGAAAACGGTCAAGGCTGCTGGAATGGCCCCAACCGTAGGACGGACGTTTGGCTTGCCTGTGCCGAGACGGAGGAGTTATGGCGGGTCAGCGAATTGGAGAAGTGTGTTTATAAGATGGAAGTTGGCACACCTGCTGTTTGCGAAGAGGTAGTAGAGCCTGGCCATGCTAAGGACGAATTGTGATGTGTTTAGATACCTGGTTAACACTTTAGAATTCAATTTCGTCTACTACGAATTAGATAAGAATTTACGATATATGATCACGAAAAAAGGGGTAGAATCACTGATATACAAGTTAGCAATAATCTTCTTTATAAGTAGTCGTTTTATTGAAACCGTACGCCAATTCCCTGGGGTATCTTATTGTATCTGGGTATGTCATCTCACAGCTTCGCTCCTCTTGTATCCGTCCGCTATCTTTCTCCGCTTGGCCCTTTCTTCCTGCTCGGCTAACACCTTGGCCGTCAAAGATGCGGTCATCGGGTTGTTTATCCGACTCGCGATGCCATTCTTATCCTTCTCTTTTTGCTCGTCGTTCCCCTTGTTCTCCTTCGCATCCTCTGCCTTGCGCTTCTTCTTGCTGGCGCTCTTGTCCTTCTTTAAGTTATGCGCCAAGCCCAACGTCTTTAACTCTTCTATTCTCTTCGCTAGCTTCTCTACTTCGGCTTCGTCTGTTGGTAATATAGCTATGACGTCTCGGTCCTCGAAAGACGAACTGCATTCGGGACATTGTTTTTCGGTGTCGGAGATCTCCTTCATGGTCACCTCCGCGAAAACGTGACCGCACGGCACGATATACACGCTCTTGGCGGCGGCGCCCAGCTCCTTCAAGCTGACGGGGCAGGCTGCGAACTCACGGCCCTTCTCGTCCCTCTTCGTCGTGATCTTGAGCTTCACGACGTCCTTCAAGCTCTTAATGCCCGTGCGCGAAAACTCGGCTTCTTGGGTTTCTGGTATGGGGGTCTCGGACGAGGAAGGCATTAAGCATTGCAATACGGATTCGTAATTGTACAGGCGCCCTCGCCAATCGGACACCGTGTTGGAGAAGTCGAGCGGCGCGTCGGATAGCGGGCACGTCGTCCAGGCGTGCGTTAGGGATTCCAAGGCCGTGGCCTTCAGTTCGGAGGCGGTGGGTAGCCGGGCGGCTTCTCTGACGAGCTCGCGCCGCTTGGGGATGGAGCCGCCATCATTTCCCATGATGAAGGGGTTGTGATATATACCTAAGATAAGATGAGAGGATCGTATGTTCTGTTTAGTCTAGGAGAGGTAGAAAGAGGGAATTTATGCGAAGATAGAGTGACTGAGTAATCGAAACAATGGATTGCAAAATTGGGTTGGAAGAAAATGAACGATCTTAAAGACTGTTGGATATGCGATGAAGGGATGAAGGCGATAAGAATGGGTAGTGGCGTTCTCAATCACAGGTATCTGTAATTACTAATAATCTAGGTACCTAGGTACCTACTTATAAGTCGGGACTTCAAGTTCGGGTTCCAACTTCCAAGTAGGTCCACAGGTACCTCCTGCTTAAGTACCTGTGTTATATAACTTTAAGCACTATCGATAAAAAACCGAGGGCCCCCCGTGTAGGGGACCACAAGAGCCCGACTTTAGGAGCATGTCATAGTCATTACATAAGGTAAGTCCTAATATATATTTCCATTTTCATCTTCCTTAGGAGGTACCTAATTGGTTAAGTTATTTTCCATCCAAAATTAAGTACTAATGTACTTACCTACTTCTACTCCACTTTTAGTCTTCCCAATTCGTTAAGCAAGAATTTCCTATGTTAGTAATCCTTCTTACCACACTCCGACACAACATCCCTCCTAAAGTCGGGCATATCGATAAGATAAGGCTTAGTGTATGTACATATTACCTTGTACGCTCAGCTGGGCATGGCCCCTTAGATACCTTTATTAGCCTAGCAGCCTACCTGTAGTGGGCTAATAAGAATGTTTAATAGACAAAACGGGTTAACTACTGCTATCTAGGTACATATGCTTCATAGTGAGTGAGTGCACTTAACCGATAAGAAAGTTTAGTTGGGTTAGTTTGCGCTAAGAGGTCACCTGTAGTTTGGTGCATACGTTGACCCTTGTCCGTCTCTCAATGCTCTCAATGCTCTCTCTCTCTACCTACTATTTTCCTCCTGTTAACTTCTCGTTCACCCAGCTTGAATACGTCTATCAAGCAACTACAAAAAAAGTGTGTAGACGCCCTCCCGAATAAACGAAAATAGCGTTTACATATAATTCTCTTATTCCATCATCCTTACTTGATGCATTACGCGGTCCACTGTTGAAGCTGTTCTCGACGCGGCTGAAGGGTGACGAGGCTGGCATTCCCTCCAGCCGCTGCCTATCATGGCGCAACAACAGCAGCTGGCCCTGGAGGCCCTTGACAATCTAACCAGAGATCTAAAGTCAAGGTGCGACTCTTCCCTCTACTAAACCCCGCCCGTCCCAACCTAACCATCGTCATTCTGAATATCTGAATAGGGCCGGAGACGAAGTACGAAAGCGGGCGGCTCTTCAACTAAAAGAGCTAGTCGCTGCTTGTTTTAGAGGTATGCTATCCATTCATCTCTCTCATCTATGCTATCGAACATATCGAACAACACGTTGCCGCGACCCTTTGCCCATTAATATTTACGGACTTATTTACGGACGTGAGCTAACGACGGTTCGACAGACTTATCGTCAGAACAATTCCATGTCTTCTATAATTCCGTTAATAATAAGATCACCACCTTGATGCTCCATGGTAACGACTCTTCCGAACGTCTGGGTGGTGTCTACGCCCTTGACGCGCTGGTCGACTTTGAAGGCGTCGATGTCACTGCTAAGTACACCCGATTCACCGCGAACCTTAAGACCATCCTAAGAGGCAAGGATATCGTGCCTATGCAGCCCGCAGCCGTTGCCCTAGGAAAGCTATGTCGACCTGGTGGATCGTTGATATCTGAGTTGGTTGAATCCGAAGTCAAGACTGCTCTTGAATGGCTCCAGTCGGACAGAGTAGAGGAGAAGAGATATAGTGCTGTCCTCGTCCTCCGCGAACTGGCCTGGAATGCGCCTACTTTGATGTACACTTACGTCGGCATGGTCTTCGACTTGATATGGGTTGGTCTTCGCGATCAGCGCCAACTAATCCGCGCGACATCCGCAGAGACTGTTAGTGCCTGTTTCCGTATAATTCGAGAGCGAGACCAGGATATGAAGCAGGCATGGATGACCAAGATGTACAATGAATCCATCGTTGGCCTCAAGACCAGCACTGTCGAATACGTCCATGCGTCCCTCCTAGTTCTGAAGGAGCTTCTTGAGCAGGGAGGCATGTTTATGCAGGAGCATTATCAGGAGGCCTGCGAGATCGTCTTTCGTAACAAAGATCACCGCGACGTGACTATTCGTAAGACGGTAGTCTTGCTCATTCCCGATCTGGCCAATTACTCGCCAGCTGATTTCGCCCATACCTATCTTCACAAGTTCATGCTCTATCTATCCGGCATGCTCAAGAAGGATAAGGAGCGAAATGACGCATTCCTAGCTATCGGAAGTATTGCCAACGCGGTTAAAAGTGCCATCGCTCCGTATCTCGACAGCGTCCTAATTTACGTTCGGGATGGCCTCAGCGTCCAATCTCGAAAACGGGGTTCTGTTGATCCCGTTTTCGATTGCATTAGCAGACTCGCCGTCGCAGTGGGCCAGACTCTTAGCAAATATATGGAAGCGCTTCTGGATCCGATATTTGCGTGCGAGCTGACCCCAAAACTCACACAGGCCTTAGTCGACATGGCCTTTTATATACCACCTGTGAAAGCCACCATTCAGGAGCGGCTTCTTGATATGTTGAGCAAAGTCCTGTGCGGAGAACCTTTTAAACCCCTTGGAGCTCCTACCCCAAATACTCTCTCATCCGTCCCTATCATACCCAAAGATGCGAAAGATCCTCAAGCCTACGAGCACCGGAAGGCTGAGGTGAAATTAGCTTTGAATACGTTAGGAAGCTTTGACTTCTCAGGTAACGAACTTGCCCGTTTTAATAACTACCAGTCCCTACCAGTTAGCCCCCAAGCTCAGCCGTTTGTTGCTGAGATACCCCTTTCTTCAACCCCCACCGTGAGCAAGATTTCATCTTCTGGACACTGGATACTAACGATTACACAGGCCATATTCTAAATGAGTTCGTTCGCGACGTTGCTATCAAATACGTTGAAGACGACGACCCAGATATCCGAGAAGCAGCCGCGCTTACTTGTTGTCAGCTCTACGTCAGAGACCCGATCGTGAATCAGACAAGTTACCACGCGCTGCAGGTTGTTGGGGATGTTATCGAGAAGCTACTAACTGTAGGTGTATCCGACCCGGAACCCCATATACGACGGACCGTGCTTGCGGCTCTCGACGAGCGGTTCGACCCGCACCTCGCAAAAGCCGAAAATATTCGGACGTTGTTCTTCGCGCTTAACGACGAAGTATTCGAAATTAGGGAAGTAGCGATCTCGATCATAGGACGGCTGGCAAGATATAACCCGGCTTATGTGATACCTTCTCTACGGAAAACATTGATACAGATGCTTACCGAGCTCGAGTTTTCGGATGCCCCGCGCAATAAGGAGGAGAGCGCGAAACTCCTCAGCCACTTGGTTCAAAACGCTCAAGGATTGATCAAGCCATACGTGGAGCCCATGATTTCGGTACTCCTCCCGAAGGCTAACGATTCAAACCCCGGCGTCGCAGCCACTATTCTTAAGGCAATCGGCGAGCTTGCGACAGTAGGGGGAGAAGACATGCTTCCCTACAAGGATAAGCTTATGCCGATCATTATCGCAGCGTTGAAGGACCACGCCTCTAATGTCAAGCGGGAAGCCGCCTTGCACACTCTCGGCCAACTTGCCAGTAACTCAGGTTATGTTATTGACCCTTACCTCGAGTATCCTGAGCTCCTTGATTTACTTCAGTACATCATTCGAAGCGAGCCGCAGCGAGGGCCTTTGCGACAGGCGACGATCAAATTGATGGGTATTCTAGGCGCGCTGGATCCTTACAGACACCAGGTACAAAACCCCCAAGATGACTATAACTGGCGGCGTGTCCATGGATTAAGAAGACACGCGGGTGAGACAGGAAGTCCTCTCACCCTAGACCATGGCCCCATTCTTGAAGTGAAGCCCCAGGAAATTCCCATCAAGCTCCTTAAGAGACTCCTCAACAGAACCCCCAAAAGTCCCCGGGAAAAATCACATTATTACAGACAGAAAGCTAACCAATACACCGAACAGCAAGTAGAAGAGCGTGCTCCCGATGCCAAACGACGCGTTGAGACGAATAGGATGACCGATATTTCGCTCATGATGACAGGATTAACACCCTCTAATAAGGAGTATTATCCTACTGTCGTGATAAATGCGCTCCTAAACATACTAAAAGACAGTTCGCTCGCCCAGCACCATGCAGCGGTTATCGAAGCGATCATGAATATCTTTCGTACGCTCGGGTTAGAGTGCGTCCAATTCCTGGACCGTATCATTCCAGCATTCTTGGAAGTTATCAGAGACTGCCCACAAAGTCGTCTCGAGTCGTATTTCAACCAGCTGGCTACACTAGTTAGTATCGTACGACAACATATAAGAAATTACTTACCACAGATTATCGACACACTTCATAATTACTGGGATACGTCGCCCTCGCTCCAGGCTACAATACTATCGCTTGTTGAAGCCATCTCGAGATCATTAGAAGGAGAGTTCAAGATCTATCTCGCGGGCTTGCTTCCCGCGATGCTTGGCGTATTGGAGAAGGATGCGACTACCAAGCGGATTCCTTCTGAGAAGGTCTTGCATGCCTTCCTGGTATTTGGCTCCAGCAGCGAGGAATATATGCATCTTATCATCCCCGTAGTTGTGCGAACGTTCGAAAAGCAAGGCCAGCCGACATTCCTACGGAAATCGGCTATCGAGACCATTGGCAAGATATCTCGCCAGGTTAACCTGAACGACTATGCCGCCAAAATCATCCACCCGCTAACTAGAATCCTCGCCAGCGGGGAGTCATCCCTACGTGTAGCAGCGCTGGATACTCTATGTGCCTTAATTCAACAGCTCGGGCGGGATTATCTACACTTTATGGGTACCGTCAACAAAGTCCTCCAGGCCAACCAGATCCAGCATCAAAACTACGAGCTTCTGATCAGCAAGTTGCAGAAAGGGGAAGCTCTACCTCAAGATCTGACTTCGGAGACGCGGTTCATTGACCAGTTAGACGAGCCGTCTTTCGCAGACCTTGGCAACAAGAAACTCGAGATGAACGCGATTCACTTGAAGGCCGCCTGGGATACTAAAGGCAAGTCTACTAAGGAAGACTGGCAAGAATGGCTTCGACGCTTTAGTACTACTCTCTTGACGGAGTCCCCAAATCATGCCCTGCGCGCCTGCGCTATTTTAGGTAGCGTGCATCTCCCCCTTGCTCGGGAGTTATTTAATTCGGCTTTCGTCTCGTGCTGGAGCGAGCTTTACGAGCAGTTCCAGGACGAGCTCATCCAGAATATTGAGAATGCCATACGATCCCAGAATGTGCCTCCAGACCTACTCGGGCTCTTGCTGAACCTGGCCGAATTCATGGAGCATGACGACAAAGCCTTGCCTATTGATATTAGGGTGCTTGGTAGGGAGGCCGGTCGCTGTCACGCATATGCCAAAGCCCTTCATTACAAAGAATTGGAGTTTTTGCAGGATCAAAGCGGACCGGCTGTAGAAGCTTTAATCGTCATAAACAACCAGCTTCAGCAGTACGATGCCGCTATCGGCATTCTTCGCAAGGCGCAGCTTTACAAAGACGGCATCCAGCTCAGAGAAACCTGGTTCGAAAAGTTGGAACGATGGGAAGAAGCCTTGCAATTTTATAACAAGAGGGAGGCGGAGATGCCAAAAGATCAAGTGGTCCCGCTCGAAATCGTGATGGGCAAAATGCGCTGCTTACACGCTCTTGGGGAATGGGACGCCTTGGCTAGTTTGACAAGTAATACTTGGGCAAACTCGGCACCCGAGGTCCAAAGGCGTATTGCACCGCTCGCAACCGCGGCCGCTTGGGGCCTAGGCAAGTGGGATTCGATGGACAATTATCTACAGTCCATGAAGCGAAGTTCGCCGGACCGATCCTTCTTTGGCGCGCTACTAGCCTTGCATCGTAACCAGTTCCGAGAAGCCGCTTCCTGTATTCAGCAGACGCGTGAGGGTCTCGATACCGAGCTAAGCGCGCTTGTGAGCGAGTCCTACAACCGTGCGTACCAGGTCATAGTGAGGGTACAAATGCTTGCAGAACTCGAAGAGATTATCGTTTATAAGCAGGCTGACGAGAGGAAGAAGGCTACGATGCGACGCACGTGGGAGAGCCGTCTCAAAGGGTGCCAGAGGAATGTTGAGGTTTGGCAACGCATGCTTAGACTTCGCTGCTTGGTTATTAGCCCGGCGGAGAATATGCACATGTGGATTAAATTTGCAAATCTATGTCGAAAATCCGGAAGGATGGGCCTGGCGGAGAAGTCGCTGAAGCAAGTCATCGGCACCGACCACCCTCTCGAGCATATAATACCCTACTGGAGTCAGGACGGCCCACCCCCGCAAGGCACACCCACGAGGATCCCCCCGCAGATAATCTACGCAGTCTTGAAGTTCTATTGGGAGTACGGTCAACAGGCGAAGCTGCGCCAGTCAGGTCATCCGGAGAAAACGCTATTCTGCCTTAGGAAGTTCACGGCGGATTCTGCCCAGAACCTTGAGATGGCTAGAGCAATGCAAGCTACGCCAAACGTAGTGGACCCGATGAACGACTACAGCTATCCTAACGGGGTAGACGCAGGTTTGCCCAGTTCTAGAACGCAGAAGATAATCCAGGACCAGACGGTGCTTCTCGCAAAATGCTTCCTAAAGCAGGGAGAGTGGCAAGTCGCCTTGAATAAACACGACTGGCAGCACCACAACGTCCAAGAAATATTAGCTTCCTACTCAAAAGCTACACAATACAACCCGAAATGGTACAAGGCATGGCACGCGTGGGCTTTAGCCAATTTTGAAATCGTCCAGGCCCTCACGCCTCCGGCCGATAGAAACGTCCCGAGGCCAGATTCAACTATCGTCATTAACCACGTTGTCCCCGCCGTTCAAGGTTTCTTTAAATCTATCGCACTATCGTCAGGAAGTGCTCTCCAGGATACCCTGCGTCTCCTTACTTTGTGGTTCGCACATGGCGGCAACAGCGAAGTCAACGCAGCCGTTACCCAAGGCTTTGGGACCGTCAGCGTCGATACGTGGTTGGAGGTGATCCCGCAACTCATCGCCCGGATCAATCAGCCCAACACGCGAGTACGTCAATCTATCCATAATCTACTCGCCGACGTTGGGCGAAATCATCCTCAAGCCCTAGTATATCCCCTAACCGTGGCGATGAAATCGGCTCAGAGCTCCAGAAGATCTAAGTCGGCGGCGCTTATTATGGATAGCATGCGTGCACACAGTGCCAAGCTTGTAGAGCAGGCCGACACGGTCAGTCATGAACTTATCCGTGTCGCGGTGCTATGGCATGAGCTTTGGCACGAAGGACTCGAAGAGGCTTCTCGGTTGTACTTTGGAGATCATAACATCGAAGGCATGTTTGCTACTTTGGGACCATTGCATGAGCTACTAGAACGAGGACCCGAGACGCTGCGCGAGATAAGCTTCGCGCAAACATTTGGTCGAGATCTCACAGAGGCACGAGAATGGTGCCGTCAGTACGAATCCAGTCACGATGTGAACGATCTAAACCAAGCGTGGGACCTATACTACCAGGTGTTCCGTCGGATTGGAAGACAACTACCGCAAATGTCTACCCTAGAGCTTGCGTACTGTTCTCCAAAATTATTAGCGGCCAAAAACCTCGACTTGGCCGTTCCTGGCCAATACCGAAGTGGCGCTCCCGTCGTTCGCATCCTCTCGTTCGATTCAACCTTCAGTGTGATTAACTCAAAGCAACGGCCAAGGAAATTAAACATTAACGGAAGTGACGGAAACCAATATTCCTTCCTACTGAAGGGACACGAGGATATTCGACAAGATGAACGTGTTATGCAGCTGTTTGGTCTGTGTAATACTCTGCTCGCTAACGACTCCGAGTGCTACAAACGCCATCTAAGCATTCAGCAATATCCGGCAATACCTCTCAGCCAAAATTCGGGACTTCTCGGCTGGGTGCCAAATAGTGATACGTTGCATGTGCTGATTCGCGAGTATCGTGAGAGCCGCAAGATTCTCCTCAACATAGAGCACCGTATCATGCTACAGATGGCCCCAGACTACGACAACCTTACTTTGATGCAAAAGGTCGAAGTCTTCGGCTACGCCCTAGACAATACGACGGGCCAGGATCTATACCGTGTATTGTGGCTAAAGAGCAAGAGCTCCGAGGCTTGGCTAGAAAGGCGTACGAATTACACGCGCAGTCTAGGTGTCATGAGCATGGTTGGCTACATTCTCGGTCTTGGCGACAGGCACCCGAGCAATCTAATGCTTGACCGTATTACCGGGAAGATTATCCATATCGATTTCGGTGACTGTTTCGAAGTTGCCATGAAGCGGGACAAATATCCCGAACGAGTCCCGTTCCGCCTCACTCGAATGCTCACGTACGCAATGGAAGTTAGTAACATCGAAGGTAGCTTCCGGATTACGTGCGAGCACGTCATGCGCGTCCTTCGGGAGAATAAAGAAAGCGTGATGGCTGTTCTAGAAGCCGTAAGTATTCATTTTTCGTATTAGAAGTTCTGCGTATTCTTGCTAACAGGAAAGCGTTGTAGTTTATCCATGACCCGTTGCTGACCTGGCGTCTCACAAATGCCGCCTCTCCTGTTGGTCCTAACTTCCGTTCCGAACGCGAAACCGCCTTGGGCGCCGGTGCTCAGCGAGCCCGTAGACAGAGCATTCTAGATTCGGAGCGTCCGCCCTCCGAATTTCTGGCTGCGCAGCAAGCTGCTGATGCCGTTGACTCGGCTCATCCTGGTGGACCACCAGGTTCTCGAGCCAGAGCGCGCACAAACTCGAGCCTGGTCAATGGCACAAGCCAGATGCTTGACGGCGAGATGGCCGAGATACAAAATGCACGCGCGGTCGAAGTGCTGGACCGCGTGAACCAGAAGCTGACTGGTCGCGATTTCAAACCAACCGAAGAGTTGGATATCTTGACGCAGGTCAACAAGTTAATCAATGAAGCGACTAAACTCGAGAACCTCTGCCAGCATTATATTGGTTGGTGTTCGTTCTGGTGAACGAACCACGTATACCCATAGTGACGATATCTTTGCTTAAAGGGGGTTTTGTAAATTAGCAACCGGATAGGGTTGGTACGGAGTTGGGATGGGATGACAATGGGCGTCAATTGTAAGGCAGGGCAAGGCAAGACGAGGTAAGGTAAGGTCGCTTACTAGGGCGCATGTGTGCCTCGTTCATGTTCGCGGCTTTGCCTCAACGACAGAGTCTAAATATTATGTATGTTGCATTGGTCTCGCAAGTCTTTCTCGCACTTGGATTGACTTCCATGGGGTTTATAGGAATGATAAGCCAGAATTATAATGCTTTAATGAATTGACAGGTACCTTGGACAGAAGTATCTGACGGAATTGTTCCCCCAGGGCTTTTCGTCATGAGTGCATGTCCCTTGCAGAAATGAGAATCATTCCTGACATGATAATGCTGTTGCGTAACGGTTAAGCTCCTTTAAATATCATAAACCTATACGCTTACCCGTTTACAACAGCTTCTCCCTTCGCTCCCGGATTCAGGCGTATTCTCATAACGATATCGTTTGGGTAGTGACTTGATTTATTACGTAGATGCTTGAACACCCTCAATTTGGTCATTGAGCAAACTAATGTATAGGTACCTACCTAATATATAAGTTACCAAGTACTAAGCTAGGTTAGCCCTAAGATTATCTCGTCGTGCGATGGACTGTTTGCGTTATATTAGGTACTACACATAAACCGTACTTCGGATTTGATTGAAGGGCTTCTTCGAGAATCGTAAATGTTGCCTGCAAAGCCAACGCATCATAGTTGTAGAAGAGATAGTTAGTTGCATATAATGGGTTGCATGGCGAGAGATGACAGGTTTTGGAGCCGCTATTCAACTTATGATGGCATATCTATAGGAGGTATTATTGTTACATGTAGCTGTATCTAATGTGTTTATTTTAATGCAGCATAAATGTGTTGTACCCGTTACTAGCTAATACCTGTATCGCGTTTGAAAAGCTGATGGGGGGGAAACAAGAGGTCGGGTAACAGCTTGAGATGTTTCTCCTTTTATATTAATATAGGTATGTTTGATGCATAAATGCGAAAGCGAACTTGTCTGATAACAGTGACTTTTAGCGCTATTGGTTTAATAAGGCTTTTATGTATGTAAATCCCTGTATATTTGGTGCAACTGATAGAGGTACGTACTCTTATGTAATGATTTCTCTCTTCGTTTATGAAATGTTTATACTTTGAAAAAATCGGTATACTATTGCCCACAAATGCTAAGATATTATTAAGGTATTTGCACGTTATTTATTCGGCATTTCGCACATTAATAAATATCTGCAAATCCCCCGCTGTTCCTTTTTTTTTTTTTTTTTTTTTTTTTTTTCATCGCGCTTGTTTTCGAATGTCGCGGTTGACATGACCTAACCTAGGTACATAGTATTACTCCTACATGTACCCAGGTAACCCGCAACTTCTAGACTTGTTATTAGGCAGCTTTTAAAGCAGCCACCTCATTTAATCTATTGCGATCGCTTTTATAGTACCTAAGGTATTAGGTAGCTACGACATGCAAGTAGCTACACGTTCGATGCGCCTCCTACTTTTCTTTGAGAGTTTAGGGATTGAATTGTAAGGTAATAGCCAACCAGCCTTTTTATTTCTCTTCTCTTCCCTTCTCTTTTTTTATCATTATTTTCTTATTTGCCCTATCGAGAGAGACACTTCCATAGGTCACTAAGAGAGAAGAGAGAAAGGTACCTAAGTAAGTTACATCATCTATCTAAAATCCAATTGCACTTTTACCCCAGCTCCCTCATTTCAACTCACAATCAAACCAACTCGTAACAACTCATGTCAATCAAGAAGAAGAGAGAGAGCTCTTTGCCTCCTTCGTCGGCTCCGATATCATTGGCCGGTGACTCTGTTGGCCTTCTACAATAACTTGGCTTCCCATATCAAAGTCTCAGCGCGTCTTCTCAACTACAAACTCGGCCTTGAATACCAGCACAAGAGGCAACTTGCCTTCCACCTTTCCGTTAGCCTTTACTTCTCCATATCGATCGCATTACTTTTTTTTTTTTTGTCTTTTTCTCTAGTTCTCCTTTTTTATATCGCGATACTGACTTAGGATGTCTTAATTTAGCATACCCCCTTTGGCGTTATGAGAACTACGTCCTAGTCATATCCCATGTGCACCTTGGAGTTCCACTTCTCATACTTCATCAGGCATCTTATTCGCCTGACCTGGTATACTCTTATCGGCCAACCAGAAGTCCTTGGGGATAATTACTAGCACGGTAAAACGTGCAGTCTCTGACTAAATGGATCTCCCAGTCCCTTTGGACTACGATGAAAAATGGACCAAAGAGAAGGAATCTATGATAGCCAAGCATGAAGAAGACCTTGCTTTTCACGAGAATTTACTCGAAAAAGAGAAGCAGGAGCTTCGAGAAAGCAGCGAGCGGGATCTGCTGAAACTAAAGGCCGCTGTACCCCTGAAGTTGTACAGGGAGATCATCTTACCTATGGCTGAAAAGAGCCTTAGGAATGATATGCAACAAATTGAGGCCAGCCATCAGACAAGAACAGCAATAATCGAGAAGGAACAAAAAGCAAAACTTGCTCGTCATGAAATCGCCTATCACGAAGAACAGAAAGTCAAGCTGGCTATGGATGGAGAACGAAGTGCATACGCCAGTATTAATTGCAGTTTCACCTCACAACTTCAAGATGTAAGTACTCAGCCTGCCCGCATGGAGAGGGATTATCAAAATGTGCCATGGAGCTTTTCCGAGCCTCAGGATCGAAGCAAGGCCGGTGATTCCTTGACTTGCACCACCCAGCGCGAAACCATATGTGGAGTGACACGTCTGATGATGCGAGTCCAGTCCAAGAAACGCAAGGCCTCCCTATCAAAAGAGGAGGCCCCTAAACGTCAGCGTATCGAGAAATTAATGAGTTGTCCCCAAACACCGGCCGCCGCTCCCTTAGACGCAAGTACTCATTCGCCAGCTCGAACAATCACGTTCGACGAGGTCTATCAGAATGGCAAAGCAAAACACAAAGATACAATCGTCGAGTGGCCGAACGGTAGCAACAAGTGGTACATCCTTAAGTGCGAGAAACATAAGGCCCGTTTCACCAAAAATGCCGTCCAAGGAGCTGCCAGGCATCTTAACGGGTTAAGCCACGGATTCACCGATAGAAACAGGGACGTGGCTGTTAAGACGCTAGGTTACCTGGTTGTTGACTGCAATGAGAAACTGGCGAAGGTCAACAACGAGGCTGCTGATGAAGCTTACGCAAATGGATATAAGCCACCTCTCGCTAAGACAAAGCGTCAACCGGAAAAAAGAGATGGGGCGCAGAAAAGAAAGTATAAGAAAAGGATGCCAAAATTAGGCGCTGATTCTACCACGAAGAAGCCAGGAGTCAAGGGTCGCCAGATTTCAGACACTCCGGCGAGTTGTCGGACCAGCTCACAAAAGCTAATCACTAACCCTAAAACGTTCATGATATATTATGGCCGCTGGAAGTCAACCAACGACACGAAAGACCACAATGAAATCTACCCTGTTATGATACTCGGGTGGGATAGCCAGGACGGAAGTGGCCTAAAGAATACTAACCTCGAAGCTACTGGCCTCCTTAATAAGAGTGCCTTTCCGCCAAACTGCTACCTCTACGAATCGAACAAGATAGTAGGCTGGGCACCGGGATATGAAGACGGCGGAGCAAAAGTGGATTCAAGGAAGTTTCCCGTGATGTTCTTCGACGAGTTTCAGACTGTAGCCTGGATTTCAGCTCGATATCTGACGAGATTCCCTCTATATGATTGCACACCACCCTCGAAACCGGATCATCCTTTTAACGCTGCCCGTCGGTGGATTGCTGAGAGGGAAGGCTTCAGTACGTGGGAACAAAGGGAAAAAGCTCGTCTTTACCGTAAGAGACCTATCCGAATAACACTAACAGCCTTTTCTACGCATATATTTTCCCCTCTAATTACTCCTTGTAACTGTTCTAACCAATCTACCAGCTCTCATGTCACGACCTCCGTCAATCTCGCCGATCACTCCGATTGGAAATGAGTTTACCAACGCCATCATCCAACCAGGAGGACACGGAAACCGTGAAAGCCATCCTACTAGTACCACTGCAGATTCGACAGTGGATAAAGACGATTTAGAGAGCATCGGCTCTAACTCGGAAATGATGTCGATCTCCACGGCAGACACAGAGATGATAGTAGAAGAATGGCGCGAGAAAGGAGGGGAGATTCCCGGTGATGATGATTATTCCGGCTCCGGATCTGATACTGAAAATAATGTCGAACACACTATAGATGAATGGGACAGGCTGTTATCAGATGCTCCAGAGCCAAATGGCTCTTCAGATCGCCCCTGGGCGTTCTACGGCCTACGGAGCATAGAAAACAACGAAGAAAAGAATACAGCAGATAGACCTCGAGAACCAGGGGAGAGCCAATCCTCTATACCCGTCGCCGCCGGAGTGAAGTCGGCACGAGGGCCCGCGAGACAGACGAGTTCATGTACTGTAAACCCACCAGAATTCTCCGAGAGCCGCTCATTGGAAACGCCAGAAGCTTCTCATGAAATACAGCTCCCTGTCCACTTGGATAATACGCCTTTAGGATATAGAGCTGCCAGCGCTCCCCAACCTGAAACGGGTAGTAGCACGCTGCCGGAACTAAACGGAGACAAGGGTATCCGGTCTCTTAGCCGTGAAATTTCCAGTGAGGTCACTTGGAAAGCCGGCGATAAGGTTCAATGTGACCCCCATGGAAATATCAAGGCCTCAGTCCGGACAAGAGAGGCGGTTATCGATAGCAAGCATGATAATACAAGATGGGCTAATGAAATAAAGATGGCAGGAGAAGGATGCGTCGAAAGCGAACAAACCACGATCGAGGAGAGCATTCACGTAGCACATCAAAAAGAAGACGAGAACAAGGCAAGAGAGCATAGGGAAACACAATTACCTAGCACTGAGACAGCTAATTCGTCTATCAACCCCGCGATAACCACAACGGCTCCCACAGCTACCCGGTCTGTCAGAAACCCCTTTGCCGATACTACAACGCCCCCAGGTAGTCCAGAATTCGAACTATCACAGTGCAGCAATGGAGAAACATCGTGGAAGAGGTCAAACGAAGAAGAAGATTGCGTCAAACTCTACCATGATAGAGATCGAAATATATTTGCGACCTGGCGGGGTCCAGTAGATGTTACGATTGAACTAATGGAGGTTACCAGCTTCTCGCGAGAGAGCATCCCAGTATCCGAAGGAAATAGCATTCTAATGTTGAACACCAAGGGTGGTTCATCATGGAAACTTATTTTTGATCAGAGTAAGGGGAGTGACCTCTTAGCTGGCAAGATTCAAAGCCGCAGGTTTATAAGACAGCTCCGAAGCGCAAACCCAGATATTGTATGCTTGGACACGGTCTGACTTGTACCCGCGTAGGCATGGATGAACGGCGAGATGAGTTGCTATCATGAAGCCGGAGGTACGAAGATGGAGGACAGCTCCCGCTCATTTTTTTTTTCCCCGTCAAATCATTGCTTACGCTGGCCGTATGTGATATATGCCGGATGTTTTATATCAGAGCAATCCTGGATTCAGAATAAAAAAGCGCAAAAAGCGGAACTTGATTAATGTGATAGAGATGCCTAAACTAAATGCAAGCGGATTCATTCTTCTTTGCATACTAACTAAACCTGAGGTAGGTATGATAGTGGATATATTAGGTACCTAACCTACCTCCTAGCAGCCTACCTAGACTCCAAGCAGCCTAAGGTGGGGGGGTCTTTACCTATCTAAGATGTATCTAGATTCTAGCCTATCTGCATATGAATTTCTGAGCATTGCTATTATACTATGTACCTCTACCGACGACCTGGGTCGCTCCGGGTCCATCCTAGCTGCAACTGTCCTAGCTGGCTAGATGTAAGCGACTTCCATCACATGTGAAAATACCGAGGGCTACGAAAGGACGTGGAGTTTAGCGTTATTGCCCCCGCGTTGTGACCCGGGTAGATTCGCTGGGGTGATGGGGGAGTTTAAACTACATTAAGGAACTGATGCTCTCATAAGTAACACGCAATGCATTGGAAGTTACACTATAGGTTAGGTATTTTAGGTAAGTTTTCACATGTATCGTGTTGGCATTTATTGGCGTTGTAATGTTCTTGTCTTATAATTTTATAATATAATAAGCATTCACCGGCTCTTCCGGTACAAACCTATCCACGAGTTGGATTTGAATGAAATTCCATGAATTCTTTCTTATAACATTGTATTGTACATTACATGTTATACAGCTTAGCGTTATGTCCGAGAGTGAGGTACCTTAGGCTAGGTACCTCTCATGCACTAGGTTACCGATTACATGAGGACGTCACACACCATCGCCAAATGACGTCGATTTCATAAGGAAAACGGCAACAACAGCAACAACAGCAGCAGCAGCGTCCATAATGAATAGTAGTAAGGATTAGAAGGAGCTTCTTGATTGTCAGATTTACTAATAAGGTACCTAACCTAATAATCTACGTAGGATTAATTTTAAATCATTAGTCTTTCTTCATACCAATCAGTAACTACCAAGAAATCACTTACAAATACCTTCCCTGCCGCATCGCATCACATTATATTACGCACAGCTAGTGACCAACTTCAACTTCAGCCCTTGATGGCTGCCCTGGTAAGTTGACATTTTTCTGCTTCTGCCTGATGATTTTAGTTTGTCCTTTTTGGCACCCTTTTTTTCTTCTTTCTTTTATTTCATCAAGTTATCAAAACATATATCGTTTTCTCTCTTCTTCTATCTTACATTTATTCGCGGATTATTGAAGGCGTCATCAGATCACTTGATGAACCAAGTTTTGTAAGCCTCGGCAATTTACGCCTAGCCCAGTCCTTCTACAGCCTCTCCCCAGCTCTCTCCAGCTCTCCCACCTCTTCTAGCTTTTTTCTTTCCAGTCCACCCACGCACGTACACACGCGCGTACCAGCATTATCGTGGATTTCCAGCATGATTGTACACTAAAACTAACCCCCGTCTTCTTGCTATCCGCACTTTTAGGACACGCCTTGGTTGTCACACATGTCGACCCCGAAGCATACTCCCCGCGGCGACGTCGACGGCCCATCTACCCCTTCCGATCCTCCCCCTACCTACGCCCCTCCTACCTATGCATCTTTTTCTACGGCGAACCTATCCGCTGCAGCCTCCGCTGCGAAGCGGAGATCAACTATCCTAGTCCACCAGAAATCGCCCCTGTTACTCGCTACGCCGCCTCAGATTACCCGCGCTCTCGCATACAGTCACCCATTCCTTTTACCACTGAATAAGCTCATGGGGCTATTAACTTGGACTACTGGCGATCCGTGGGAGAGCTTTATACTGCTTGCTATTTTCTGGGCCGCTGTTCAATATGGCGACGTCATTGTGCGATTCGCCGGTCCCATCGTTGTGGTCATGGGTCTTGTAGCGGGTATGTACGGGCGAAGGTATAGCCCGTTATCAAGTAGCGGCTGGGCCGAATATCCAAGTATAGCGAATAAGAAGGACAAAAAGACGTCTGGCGCATCTGCCGGAGGTGCAGGAGGTTCCCACCAACGAAATTCGAGCGAGCTTACTAGCACGAGGCATCAGAAGACATTGGATGAGATCGTCGACACCGTCAAGGTCTTTACCACCAGGTGTAATATTCTACTCGAACCCCTCCTCGAAATGACCGATTTCCTCTCTACCCAGCGAACCGCAACCAGTGCCACCACGAAACCGGCACTCACTACGTTATTTGTTCGAATACTGGCTGTTACACCTGCTTGGATAATCCTAACACTCCCGCCTCTAAGAATAATAACAACGAAGAGAGTAGTCTTAGTATTCGGGACTTTAGTACTTACGTGGCACTCGAGGGTTTGTCGGGTATCCAGGACACTACTTTGGCGAAGTGCGACTGTGCGAAAACTTGCAAGGCTGGTGACGGGATTACAATTTGAAGAACCTGCTAGAACGAAGCCCAAAGGCGCTGATGGCAACGATCTCCTCGCGACCACGACTACTAAGACGAAACTGCGACGCGATACCACAAAGGCATCACCGTCTGCTCTGACGGAAGCTTTGAAACGAGGCGGTCGCTCTGGGGCTAAAGACCCGGGCGTACGTTTTAGTTTCATCATCTACGAAAACCAGAGGCGTTGGCTGGGATTAGGCTGGACCAATAGCCTATTCGCTTACGAACGTGCCGCGTGGACGGATGAGCACAATAACCAGGTCCCGCCCAAGGATGAGTTTGAATTACCAGAGGTAGAGGATGGGCGTGCAAAGTGGAGATGGGTCGAGGGAAGCAAATGGAGAGTTGATGGTGTACCTGATATGGATGAGGCAGACTACGACACGGATGCTGGAAAGAACGGGTGGATTTTCTACGACAACAAGGTAGGGTTAACTTATACTGGCCCCATTTTGACGTGTTAATCTTGCTTACCATAAAATAGTGGCAGAACGGCCGTAGAGGCAATGATGGTTGGGGCCGTTGGACACGACGGCGAAAATGGTATCGCGACGCCGAGCTTGTTGAAATTTCAGATGATGCAGGTTCTCCCCCACCACCTGAACTGCCGGCTCGTCCGGTTCCTGCTTCGGTACATAATTCAGAGAGAATCGACACGGCATCTGTCCTCTCAGCTTCTGTTCCAGATACGTCTTCAAGTCCAGGATCGATTCGAGATCGGTCAAAGGAAGAAGACGACGCGGTTTCGCTGCTCAGTACTTCGTCAAAATCTGCCAGGTTTCGATCGACCGCTCCTCAGTTGCGTCGAAGAACTACAGGCGGCACGCATAGATCTAGGCGCACAAGCGAAGCCGCTAGTTTACGTTCGAATGAAGATGAAGGCAGCTTAACTCCAGCTCTCGAGCTAGAGATTCAAGGGCACCAAAGAGACCAGGGCCAATGGGGTATCGGGGATGAGGCTCAAATGGGATTAGAATGAGACGCTTCAACGATGATTTAAACACTCTTTGTATTATGGTCAGGAACGGTTATTAGTGAGTAGCATTGGGAGGGCGTTCTTGGTAGATACCAGTGGCACGGGGACTTTGTATATATACCTCCTAGGTATTTGTTTCAGTTATTGGTTCCTTGGTCCCTGGAAAAGCGCGGGTTTAAAGAGCGAAGATCCAATTGAAGGGACGATGCTTGGTTCAAATGTCGATGAATTCAGAAGTTTAAACATTTTTGAGTCGGTAACTTTCTTTAGGCCAAATTGCAGCTACATAACTAGAATCAATGTACGCCATGCGGTCATAATGCCGGTTTCTCTAGATATTTAGTTTCCACGGAGCCAGCCAGACAGTGGCCATTCATTATACCGTCACGAACAGATTGACCTCTACCCTCGGAATTGTCAACTTTGTGATGGGCGACTAACATTCTTGGGTAAAACGGGTTCGGACTGTTCGTCTACCTCTTCGGCCTCCTCGCTAATTCCTCGAATAGCTTTATTAAACAACAAGTCCATGTCCTCTAATGGGCGACCCTTTGTCTCAGGGTAGAAGAGAATGATGATCTATCATGGATATTAGGACATGATGCCAGAGAAATGCATTTATGGGAATAAATAAAACCATACCGGAATGCAGACGACATTAACTGCCATAAAGAAGAAATAAATCTTGGAGCCAATTGTGTCAATGCCGACGGGCCAAACTTGAGCCACGACAATAGAGCCGATAGCTCCGCCCGACGCCGAGAAGTTCAGCCCACGAGCGCGAACGGAGGTAGGGAATATCTAAACTCTACTTCAGCATTTCGAAATTCAACCTTTGGTATGAATAGTCTTTACCTCGGAGCCGTATACCCAAGCTGCTGGACCAAACCCCATGCTATAGCCCAAGGCATAGATGAAGATGAAGACTATACACACTACATCGGCCGCTTTGTTAGTGTTATCCGGGTATACCTGGCCCAGCGCTCCGTTGATCTTGGATCGATAATTGTTAGTTTTCAGCTTAGTTATATCATAGGAAGATAAAAGAGGTATTGTAATAGATTAACCAAACCTACCAACATGGCAATACCCATTGCGACGCATCCCGCCGTCAATGTCACCCTCCGGCCTAGACGATCTATGAGCAGCATCTCGATAACCGTCATACCGATCTTAAGAGTCGACTCAATACCCCCGGCCAGCAGCGTAACGCGCGTAGGAAGGCCGAGCTTGGCGAACAGGGTCGGAAGGTAATATTTCATGGCGGTAGCGCCGCACATCTGGGCCATGAACTGGAGCAACGACGCGCGCCATAGCCGTTCGAACAGGTTGCGGTCTCGAAATAAAGAGAGCCAGGTCGCTTCTCCCGAGGCCCGGTGTGCTTCCACGTCCTCCCGGATGCGCGTCAACTCGGAGTCTATCTCGACTTCCGTGAAGCTGCCTTCGCGGAGCCAGTGCAGCGACCTTTGAGCCCTATTGTAGTGCCCATGCTCAATAAGCCACCGTGGGCTGTGTCATCGTTGTCAATATCATTGCTATCTGAGGTAAGGACTAGAAGAGAATTGCTTACGTCTCAGGGAGGAACGGGAGCCCAACTGCGAAAATGACACATGGGAGCTGTATAACAGCGAGAGAAACACGCCATGATACATATATACCGTACTCGGTTTTATTCCAGAAAGTCACTCCATATCCAACCCTATCAGTTGTTGTTTTAGTGAGGTTGTCTCGTTATGAGTGAAAGAGATTCTAGGCGCCTACCAGAAACCAGAAGCTAACCCGGCAACGAAGCCAACATGATTCAGCACAACGTATTTTCCACGTTTTCCGGCCGGTGCAACCTCGCTATAAAGGAAAAGTTAATATTCATTTGGTACTTATCTACGATCTCGAAATGAGAAAATGAGAAGATGAGAGGGAGATGAACCTTTGATACAAGGGCACTGAAGTTGATAACATGCCCACCCCTATACCGGATATAATTCGGCCAGCAATCATCATAACGTACGCGCCCGGGCCGGTCGCACCAGATTCGAAAGCGTTGCCGACGGCGACTGTTAATATTCCTGCCATAGCTGCGTACCGCCTCCCGAAGAGGTCGCTGACTGGGTGCGAGATGAAAATGTAGCTTAGCCCTGTTTCCCGAGTTAGTTTTGCTCGGGGGCTAAATCTACAGCCTGTCAAAACTCATAATTTCATATCCATGAACGGCAAACGCCTGAAACTGAGAATTCTATTCATTTGAAGTCCATGGGAAAGACAAACGACTCACTATAATTCAGTAAGCATATCTAATACAAAGAATAAAGGGGGATAGGATAGGTGATAAGGGATATAGTCGTACCATGTTCCTAAGTAATAGATAGCTGTGATTACTCCCTTTCGTGACGGCGTAAGGTAACCCATAGCCTTGAGAAACCCTGGATGAACCAGAACGGACGAGAGGATACCGACATTATAGCTGTATAGGGGTGGAATAAGTTAGTGAAGGTTTCTTGTTATTAAGAAATATACAAAATCAAGTACAGCGACAACTCACCCCCAGACAAATGAGCCGATCGCAAAGAATATGCATAGCAAGTGAAGCCGAACATCAGCTTTAGTTACCAGCGCCATCGCTCCTCCGCCAAGGTCCTATATAAACAGACCTTGGAGAACTTAATATAATGAACTTGACAATGAAGTTTCAAGAGGTACAAGAAGACGATACAACGGCGGTTAGAGCCAAGGAGGGCGATGCCGTTAATCTAACTCAAGATCTAAAAGCAGAAGGGCCACCAACTTATTCAGATTCAAAAACAGTAAAATGGTCTGCTTCACGCGCTCAAGAAAGTCCCAGCACGACCTATAATACGATATCACCCCCCCAGGGAGTAATTAAGTAAAGCTGATCTTGTCAAGCTACCTATTCTATGCCTAGTGTCTTCGCGGAGAGCATACAATTATCTCACCTACCCATCGCGCTGGGAATTATCTCCCGCGTTGGAGGGAGAGGAAAATAACTTGCGTGTTATCCCCGCATTAGCCTACCATCCAGATTTTTCGAGCTTCGTTCCCATTGCGGTACCCATGATGGTATGATATAGGTATACGGCTAACGCGGGGAGGTCCTCCCCGAAATCTCACTGGAGTCTGGAGATGCAAGCCAAGACTCGAGCGTAGTATGACACCGAATATAGATAGCGTTGGGGTTATGTAGGTTAGGTACCTACCTAGGTAGGTAGATGTGGTAACTCGGCACCTGGATGTTGTGCGAGCAAGGGGTAGAGAGTGTTATTGGATGGCGGGTAAATTGACTTTTCGGTAACACTTCCGACCACTGGGATATATATATTTGCCTGTGACAAAAGAGATACCGTCGATTCGGAGTTGGACGAGCCTGATGTCTAAATTCGGATTGCTAGATTCGGTCTGGATAATTAGAGAACGTGATTGCGAACTATTACCTGAGTTGAAAAAAAATGGAGATGACGAGATTATGGGCATTATTTACCCCATGTGAAGCTCAGACGGAGAGAACTTCCGTAGGCGATACATATAAGAAGAATGGTAGTGTGCTGTGTTGTGCTGTCTAGAACATTTATGCGCATCTTAGAGATGAGAGTTGGATAGCACAACACAAGTCCGATTCTTGGTGTTTCCTTTCACAGCTCTAGGATAAGAGTATATATAACAGAAGAACGTGTTTTTATAGCCGAAAGTAGCGATGTTAAACAAACCAGACAAACATAGTGGCATCAGACGTTGAATGGTTCCGTATCATTGAAGCTTATCAAGATGGGCCGAGAAATGCAAGCAGCCGAGGCCTTATTTTCCACGGGAAACGGTAAGCTGGAAGAAATAAATACCATATTTCACATTTTACCATGATAGCGCTTCAACAAGAGACAGCTAACCGTAACACCAATCCCAAAGACCTCCTCGACTCCGAGATCCGAATCGCCGCACACGCGGCCCGCGAGAACCTCAGGGGCCAGCAACCGAACGTAGAAGAAGAAGAAGAACCCGCACCGCAACCGCCAACATCGACCCAAGTCCGATGGCGAGACCTGCCGAATAAAGACCAGCTCTTCATCCTGTCGCTCTGCCGTCTATCCGAGCCTCTCTCCAACGTCTGCTTGCTACCCTACATCTTCTTCCTCGTGCGCTCCGTCCTCCCGCCCGCAACAACCCCACCTCCTCCTTCCAGCGACGACAGCGCCGCCGGTTCCCAGCCCCCGGAACCCGCCGAAGCAGCCCGAATATCCCAGTTCTCGGGCCTCCTCGTAGCCGCCTTCCCCCTGGCGCAGTTCCTCGTCAGCCTGGCGTGGGGCCGGCTATCGGACCGCCGCGGCCGCCGGCTGCCGATCGTGTGCGGGCTCGCGGCGTCGGCGGTGGCCAACGCCGGGTTCGCGGTGTCGCGGTCGCTCGGCGCGCTGCTGTGCTGGCGCGCGCTCGCGGGCCTGGCCAACGGCAACGTGGGGGTGATGCGCGCGGCGACGGCCGAGGCCGTGCGCGAGCGCAAGTACCAGACCCGCGCGTTCCTGCTGCTGCCGCTCGTGTTCAACGCCGGGACCGTCGCGAGCCTGGCGCTGGGCGGGGCGCTGGCGGAGCCGGTGGTTAATTTGCCGTGGCTGTTCGGGCCGCAGGGGGTTTTGAATGCGGGGCGGGATCCCGAGGGCGTGCGCTGGGCGCGGGAGTACCCGTACGCGCTGCCGGCGCTGTTGAACGCCGCGGTGCTGGCGGCGGCGCTGGGGCTGGCTGTCGGCGGGTTGAAGGAGACGCTTCCTGGTAAGGAGGAGTACAGCGACGTCGGGCTTAGGGTCGGGGCGAGCTTTATGCGCTGGGCGAGGCGGCTGAGGGGGAAAGGGGGGGGAGGGCGGGAATATGTGAGGGTAGAGAGTGGTGAGGAGGAGGAAGAAGGAGATACTTTCCTAGGGCAGGCTCGGCAGGAACTCGAGAAACCCATGTCGACGACCACGTCGATTGGTCGTGAGGATATCCCCTTCCGAAATATCTGGACGCGCAGGGTGGCATGCGCGCTGGTATCCTTCGGACTGCTCCCACTGCACAACTCGGCCTTCATGCACATTTTCCCCGTCTTCCTAAGCAGCCCTCCATCCGACAACAGCGAAGCCACGCTCTTCGCCTTTGCGGGCGGTCTGGGATTGCGCTCGTCCACCATCGGCCTATGGCTGTCGGTCTTCGGCGTCGGCGGCATCCTCCTGCAGCTCTTTATCTACCCGCGCCTGCAGGCCCGCATCGGCACCCGGGGCGTCTTCCGGATCGCGCTGTGCCTGTTCCCGGCCACGTACGCGGCGGCGCCGTACCTCTCGCTGCTGGCGGGGAGCGGAGAGGACGGGGCGCGCTGGGTTTTCCTGGGGTTCGTCGTGTGCGCGCAGATCATGGCGCGGACGATGGCTATCCCCAGCACGGTTATTCTCCTGACGGAGTCCGCGCCTTCGAAGACGGTCTTGGGGACTATTCACGGCGCTGGGAATATGTTGGCTAGTTTGGCACGCGCTGTCGGCCCTGCTGTAGGTGGTTATGTGTTTGCGCTTGGCGTGGGAGAGGGTGTTGTCGGGCTCGTGTGGTGGTTGTACTTGGTGGTTATAGCGTTATCTGCTTTGGCATGGTCTTATATTATGGAAAGGGATGAATGAGAGCTGGATGTCGTATAGTGATTAGATACCTACCTAGGAGGTAGGTAGGCCAAGAATGAATTTATCTCTAACAAACATGTCATTAAATGGACTCGGCTTGTTCACGAAAGATATATATCCAAGTCATTAAATTGAATTCTGAATCACTGCGGTAAATTCCACATCGAGGTTATGGTTGGAATCAGCAATATATTTATGTACTAACAGTATCAGTTTCTATCTCCGCTGACCGGCTCTATGTAAAGAGCTCGACAGCGTCAAAAATCTATGGATATCGTTAGTTTGGACGAGAAAATAGAATCTGGTAGGTGGTTAGGTTAGGTTAGGTACTTACGAAGTTGGGGTTCAAGAAGGTAGTGCCGCTGCTGCCCGAGATGGAGGTGATGGTGATGGTATTTTCACCCGCAACGAGAGTTCCGGCAGGGATGCTGACATCGTAGACCTCGCCATTGCCGCGGTACGCGCCACGGGTCACGCCTCGGCTGTCGATTTTCACCGGTGCTGCCGGGGCCTGAGCGGTGAATGAGTTAATCTTGGCTTGCGGGCGAGCTCCGTTGTACGACAAGGTCGTCGCGATTCGGAGAGTGGCAGCGCCGGGGGCGGAGTTCAAGTTGAACTTGATAGTCACGGGGTTATTGACAGTCTGGAAGAGGGCCATGGGGAACTCGTTCAGAGCCGAGGAACCGACGGTGAAAGTAGCCGGCTTCCAAGGGGTCATGCGCGTGTCGGAGGGGTGCATTCGGAGGAACTTGTCCGCGTTCATGAATCCAGTGGGCTGGCCATCGTACTCTCCAATCTTCCAGAGCGAGTTACGCGACCTCTCGGTGCTGGCGATGTCCTTCGACGTGGTCTTGCCGGCGCTGACGGACACGCCAGTTGCGGTGGCGACCTTGAACTCGCCCTGGTATAACACCATCGTGTATGTACCAGGCTTCATCGCGGGAGACTTGAAAGCGCCCTTAGAGGAGGCGATGGCCCAGTACTGAGCAGCGGAGTTGTACCAGTGCACGACCGTCTGGAAGCTGCTCGGGACGCCGGAAGCGGTACCGGAGATGTAACCACGACCGGACTCGGGGACGTAGCCCGTGATGCTCAGTCCCGAGAAGAAAGAGGTGTCGATACTGCTAAGCTTGGGGATGCCAGATCGCGAGAAGGTCATGACGTAAGGTCCGTGCAGGACGTTGGTTCGGTAAGCTTCGGTCTGGACGTGGTTGCTATTCATGTACCAGTACAGGTTAGTAGCTTCACCGGCGTTGTTCGATTCGATATCTCGGAAGAAGGGGCCGCCGGAAGACGATTCGGGGTGCGGCGCCAACACGCAGACGTGGGTAAGATCGGAACCGCCGTATACGCATTGCGCGTCCTTGTCGATGAAGCGAGTGCTAGAGTAGAACTTTGATCGCGTCTCTCCGTTTACAACGAAGACGTCGGAACCCTCAACGGTAGAAGAGCTTCCCGCCGTAGTAGAGACTTTACCATAGGGGTACTCCTCGGACAAGATAGACGACTTTAGACGGGCGATAAAGCGCAATTCACCCACAGAGGGTTCTTGCTTGATATAAGTGCCCAAATAGACGTTGCTCTCTCCCTCCTTAACTACCATGTAATGCGTCAGGGTCGAAGTGGTGCAGGTCACCTTTACGTAGTTGACGGAGTCTATATAGAAAGTAAGAACAGAGTCGAAGAACGCATTAATCCTTTGGGTCTAGTAACATACTTGCCGTGACGGACTCAACTTGGACGGTTGCAGAACCCAGACCAGATGACAGCTGCGTACCGCCCTGAGAAAGCTCAGTGCCACGATACTTGATCGAAGTAATATCGCAACTACCGCCGTTCACCGTGAAGACCAAGGGGTTGCTCGAACCAGCATCAATAACATAGTTGCTGCCGGATTTGGTGAAGCCGAAGGCGGCAAACACCGAAGAGGCGAAAACACACACGGATAAAAGAAAGAGGTGAAGCATCATGTTGAATCACCGTCGCCACGTGAGATTAAAGAAAGACTAGTAGCTACAGCCAACATATAGCAACAAAAAAAAAGGCATCTGTTGTGAACCCGGACATCGACCCAACTTATAGCCAAACTTGATGAATTACTATATTACCTACGGACGGTATCACTTAAGATAACCTCTCTCCTTAAAACGGCTCAAGTTGAAAAAAAGGCCCGCGTCATCTGTCTCGGTTCAGTACAAGACCGAGGCGAGACCGTTGAATGCTACGCTGTTACGCGGCAAGAATTAAAACTACAGACGAATTGACGGAATTACCCACCTATGCGCGGGGAGAAGAAGAGGGAACAGGGTATCATTAAGGCGGAGGGTATCAACGGTTCCTGGTGGGTGAGGTGAAATGCCGGCGGTTTGGACAAATCGAGCATACGGAGCAACGCTGCGGTTACGTAAAGCTCGATTTGACCCATAGCAGCGCACTGATTTAATGCTAGAAAACCAGCCAGCGCGTCCGAGGGACAGCATGATTGACGGGATTTTTTTCTTCTTTTCTTTTAAACACAAATTGCGTAAAAACCTAAAATGTTAGCGAATATTTGTAGGGCTTCTATGTAGATTTTCCAAAGTCTAATTTGGAGGTTCGAAGACTCTTAAGAGTATCATCATTCCGGCGGGAGGATATATTGATTATAAATTGAGGAAAAAAAGAACAGAAAAAGACGAACGACTGCACTTCGGATCCGTAGAATCGACGATATGGTTAGATCAAACAGTCGAACGACTACGTATGTGAGCAACGCATCAACGCATCAACGCATTAAAGCAATTGAGAATCAAGGAGGTAAGGCCCTATTATTTATTATGGAGAGTTAGCATCTGAGTGCTATGGTGCATGGATTTCCGATACCTACCATACTATGTACATAGTAGTTGTTCTCGTATCTCTTCTAAAGGATTTGCTTGGCGTCGTGATGACGGAGATGAAGGGGTTTGAAAGTGGAGAAGAAAGAAGCAAGTGACTTCAGGGGAGTTTAAGTGAAAGTTAAGAGATGAGTACCGACTAGGTAGGAGGTAGGTAAGCAAAAAAGGGGTAAGGGAGTAAAGCATAAGTCATAATAAAAGAGGATGAGCCCATCCAGCCACAAAAAGATCCCAAAACAGCCACAACGTGAGACTTAAATAGGGAGCTGCATCTCGACTCTTTTTTAGTCATCACGATCCCAAACCTTTATTCCTCCTACCCCCGAAACCATCGCTACCAAAAGAGCATACCGCATTTCCCACCTACCTCTTAATAATACTATGCAAGGGGCGAACCAGTTTCACCCCATCAAAATCTGAAGATCAATCGATTGCAATTGGCTGATTGGTGTCTTTGGATGGGATAAACCTACCTATAAATAACTCTCTTCGTTTTCGCTACCGACCGTCCCAAATCGGTTGACGCGGACCGAAAGGCTTCATAGAGATACCTAAATGGTAAGTGCCAAATCCAAACCGGCCAATTCAAACCTCAATATGAGATCATCAAGATTCAAAAGTTTAAAAAAGAGTCAAATATTTGTTCAGTGCATACCTAGGTAGAAACGGTTTGAGATGCGGCTGGTCGAATGAATGGATAACTGTGCCCAAAACGTACATACATAGATGCGGAAAGGAATGTCGACGTGGTAAAGTGGTATGGGTATGAAGTTTCTTGACCTCTCTCCTTTTTATTCGTCAACCTCGCTATTTATTGCTCAACAAGGACCTCGGCTAAGAAATATCATGATTCTAATAAACAGCATTCGTTCGCATGGTACCTATGCGAATAGCTTTGCAACTCTTAAGGACTTAACCTCGATTAGGAACTTAGATCAGGAACTGGTGTTTTGTTTTGCTAGGAATATCTATTTTCAGTGTAAACAAAAGTACGTTCTAGCCTACTGTGACACCCCCATTATCCTACTACGTAGATGATAGTACAGCTATCCTATAGCTCCATGCGTAAGAGCCCCAGCAAGCTAGTAGCTATTAGGACGATCGCTACCGAGCTGAACTCTGGAATCCTTCCATCTGCTTGGACGTACCATAGTAGTCTAATTCTTACCTTGCCCTATTCGTTTCTAGCACGAACTATTCCTAGAGACTCGAACAACCTAAAACATCAATAGGGCTAAGCGATAAAATGGAGGTGAATAGTTAGTAGAGAAGGTAGAGAAGAGGTAAACTATCTCTTTTGCGAAACCGGTTCTTCTCACTTAACCCTTCCCTTCTAGGCTTTCTCGTACTCATGTTATTAATATGCTCGAGTTAGTCTATGATACATTAACTATCGTCTTTTCACGAAACCTTGTACGAATCTGGGGCAGAGATTCTACAGGTAAAAAGGCAAAACCTCGTGACAAAGAGGGTATAGTGAAGGATGGCATCAGCAAAATTGCTTAATTCGTTAGTTCGCTGACGGCCCATGCCGGTTGCATTCCCGCTACCCACCGCCGATAACGTAGCACTGTAGTGTGTAAACACATAGCCTATTAGTAACGTCACCTTGGGCTGAAGAAGGAGCTGAACCCAAATATAGCAATCACATATAAAGACTGCCTGTGTTCCTAGGTAAAATATATGCATTAGGTATACTTACCTATATATACCTATATATCTTCACGATTCCCAAGGTTGACGGTGGTTGATCATTTCCTTACTGCAACAATCGTCTCTTTTATTTCCACTTTTTTAATTGTTTATTTTTTTTGTTAAGCAAAGCCTAGTGCTTAATTCGTCGAGAAAAAATGCGTTTAGGTTTTGCGGCAGCCTTTGCGCTGTTCGCCAACACGGCTGTAACATGTGCGGTTCTACCGAGGCAGAATAGCGGCCGCCAGGTCTTCGCCCACTACATGGTGGGCTTGACGAACCAGCAGTCCCGGGACCAATGGCAGAAGGACATCACGGAGGCCAAGTCGGCAGGCATCGACGGTTTTGCCTTGAACATCGGCTCGCAAGACACGTGGAACGCCGAACAGCTCCAGCTGGCTTACGATACCGCCGCCGCCAACGGCTTCAGCGTGTTCCTGTCTTTCGACATGGCTGCTAGCTCCTGGAGCCCCGACCAGGTGATTGGGCTCGTCAACCAGTACAAGGATGCGGGAAGCCAGCTCAAGGTCAACGGCAAACCGTTCGTCTCGACCTTCGAAGGTCCCGGCTGGGCTGATAACTGGGCTTCAGTGCGTTCTGCTACCGGAGACATCTTCTGTAAGTGAACTCTAAAAGACAAATCTCTAATTCCTAAAATCTATTCGTGTAACTCCTTTTCTACCGCGCTTTGCATTGCTAATATATGGGATGGTATAGTGGTTCCGGACTGGTCTTCGCTCGGTGCTCAGGGTGTCGGAAGCAAGCTCGGCCAGATCGATGGTGCTTGTAAGTGAATATTCTCTGTCAGGAGTAAGTAAGTCATTACTTCGGTAGCTTACACGATACAGTCAACTGGGGCGCGTGGCCTAACGCGAACGAATACTCAATCAACACCGGCAACGACCAAGCCTACAAGTCCTCTCTTCAGGGCAAGGCGTACATGATGGGTGTCAGCCCATACTTCTACACTGGTATGGCGATATTCTTATTCTAAACACGGAAATCAACTCGGAAAACTAATCAAGACGTAGACCTTCCTCAGTACAACAAGAACTGGTACTCATCCAGCGACTCCCTTTGGTACGACCGCTGGGCGCAGGTTCTGGAGATCCAGCCCGAATACATTGAGATTATCACTTGTGAGCATATCGCATCTTCCCGCAAAACAAACCCCTGAGGCTAACGTGAGATAGGGAACGACTACGGCGAGTCCAGCTACATCAACGCCCCTGTTCCGGCTCAGATTGTTAGCGGTTCCGAGGCCTACATCAACGGTTTCGACCACTCTGCTTTCCGCTTCGTATTGCCCTACTTCATCAGCGCCTACAAGGCCGGTAACCCCGATGTTGCCGTCCCTGCTGAAGGAGCCGTCGCTTGGTACCGAACCACTCCCGCAACCGTCTGCGCTGATGGCGGTAAGTAAATAATCATATCCGCCTTTGTTCGACCAACATTGAGCTAACATTTTTTGTTTTCTTAGGCACTGTCTGGGGCCAGGGCGGAAGCGCTTCGGCTGCGGGCGGAACTCAGGACCTTGTTTCGGTCATTGCGCTATCCAACTCCCCCAAGGACATCACCGTTTCCATCGGCGGCGCAAGCCAAACCGTAAGCCCATCGCGTTCGGTCGGCAAGGCTTACTTTTACCAAGTCCCCTTCGACGGAAAGACCGGCGCCGTCAGCGTCACCATCGACGGCAAGTCGACCACTGGTCCCGAGATCACCAACAACTGCCCTGCTACAGGTCATGTAAGTCCCTTCTGCCTATACCAAGTCTTCCCCGAACAAGCTTAACTAACAAGCCGTCAGGTCAACTTCAACTCCGTCGCAATCCAGGTATAAACATTTGGTTTATAAGAAGGCGTGGGGAGGCGAGTTTGCTATATTTATCCTGCATGGCATTGCGTGATATTTTCTCGTCTTAGGTCTTTTTTGTTTTTTTTTGGAAAGATTCCTTGTCGAGCCCGTCTCGACAAGCAATATGTATATATATTCTATTCAACCATGTATATCAAGGTTTATGATGCAGGTCCTTGGTCCGGTTTCTTAATGCCGACTTGGAATTTTTCCGCCCATTCCGTAAATTCGTCTCTCTGGCCGTCCCACGGCTTCATCAACATTTCCGATGCGGCGAACGCGTCGAAAAAGCAATTGTCCATTGCGCTATCTATAGTGTCGCGATCTAACTCGTAGAATGCGCAAGCGACCTCCTCAAAGCGGTGCGGTAATCTTTTCAATATCGGGAATACTTCACCCAGACGTTGAATGAATGATTCTTGCTTCGTGACGGGTAATGGCGGAAGTGTTTTCAGCCGTCTCTTTACGATTGCTGTATAGAGCAGAGTGGTTAAGCGTAATCGTTTCATACAAGACTCGAGCCGCTCTCGGATTTTGTTTGGGTCGCCTCTTGGAATGTGACTGGGATTCATGAGATGGTCGAGCATCTCCTGAGCCGAGATGTGCGGATTTTGCATTTGGTCTGTGACGCCATCAACTTCACCCTCTTCCGCGTCGTCGGCGTCGCTATCGTCTTCCGCTTCTTCGTCAACCTCTTCACTATATTCCTTGAGTTCCTCGAGAATGTCCTTCAGCGTATCCCTATACTCTTCCACCTTTTTGATAAGTAACCCTGCAATTCCTAACTTCTTCAGTAATATTACGTCGTCGCAAGCGGCCCAGACAACACCGGTGGCGGCCAAACTGCCCCTGTCTCCGCTTGTTCCGTTTTTCTGACCGTTGGCCAGAACTGTCCCGTCCAAAGGTATAATCTGTATGAAATTATTCAATTCCTTCAATAGGCGATAGCATCGCCAAGCGAAATCTTTGCGAGCAACCGAAGTATATTTGTCGGCGTCGCAAATTTGAACAGCGGAAGCTAGGGCTGGGATAGGACTGGCGACAAGCTCGTGCAGAACTTTAGAGATGGCGGAGGGCGTAAACGGCTCATTTATGATGAGGAGAGATAGCTTAGTTGTATGTGCCTTTATCAGGGTCGCAGAGTCGTGGGCTATAGATAAAGGATCAACGGACTCGAAATTCGGCGGCGGCGATGATGATACGAAGGGGTCTTCGTCTTTGTCGTCGGCTATCGAATGAACGAGAGTTTGAAGTTGGAATATAAGACTTGTTGCTGATTTAACTTGGGATCTGAGAGCCTCGAGAGCCTCGCCGGCTGAGCTGTTTGTCGCCATTCTTGTTTTGTCTTTTCCTTTTTCTTTTTCTTTTTTTTTGAAAAAAAAAAAAGAAATATAATAAAAACTAAAAAATATTTTGTTGTTTGCCAACTTGTAATTGATATTGAGTGAGTTCTAAATTCTTATTTTTTTTATGTTGAGCGCCAACTGCGGGACAAAATCAGATGGCGGGGTTTTATTCCCCTAACTTTGACACCTGCAGCAGCTGATATCTGACATTGGACAGCTGACAGCTGGCACTAGTACTTGCAGCTGGCAATATTAGGTACAATCCCCCTAAATTAACAAGTCTTATAAATTGGACTTCTCTTCTTGGACTTCTCTTCAAGCACCATAATACCGATCAAGTTAGTTTTTTTCATCTATCATTACAGGTAGATATAAACTTATAATAGGTACCCATACCTGTCTAATTATTGCGATCTAGATGAACTCGATCATCAGACCCCGTACTCTCGTAAACTTGTCTAAATACTTCGAAGTTTTGCAGAGCTTGCTAGATGCGATGCGACATAACATTGGTAAACGGCGCTTCGAATATGTATGACGGATGCTTGACGTCTTTATTTCCGAGTGTTAGAGCCGTCATCGGTGCTCAGTCAGCGCCTGATTGAGTGGGATTAACGTAGGTATATAGGTAGAGAGGCATATTAACGACAACTATGCTGCTTTAAATGTCTTTTTCTCGTTTTCAATCTCCAATGATTAGGGTATCTGCCTATACATCTTGGTTCATTTTCCCCAAGTTGCGATAGTTGATATTTGCAACATGCAGCCGGACATTCTAATACGTGAGGCTGTTAACAATTTCCTGGTCAGTGAACACATTATCGGTCTTGATTAATATTAATCTACTAATATACCCCAGCCCAGCGATGAGTGGAAACTTGAACAGGGCTTCGGGACAACAGAATTGCATCTGCTTGACCAAACGAAATATAACGAAGGGGTAGACGCCGTTGCACCGGGCTGGGAACGAGAGGTTCAGCCACTTCCGAAAAAGTTTGACGGTAAACTAGCCGCTGATGAATTGGCAGGCTGGGATGGGCAAGTTGCACCCTGATCGGAGAGAGAAAATCTATTCTAACTCACATAAGTTATGTTGAATGGGAAGACTATCCAGAGAAGAAGCGCAAGGCGCACGAGATTCTCGCCTCCCAAGATTTCCCTCCTCCGCCCGAATTCCAGTTGGCACCTATTCCTGGTACCAATCCGGTTCTAGAAGGCAAGTTCAGTTTTAACAATAGGTGTCTACTAGGTTAGGTAGGTAGGTATTTATACTATGCTAATACGATGATTCTTGTCGTGTGAGCAGGAATCCGCTGGAAGTTATGGCATCGAGCTATTGGTGGCCGCCTGGCAGTAGTTCCAGAGGAATCTTGGGCCATCGTGCTAAAAGAAAAATCGCAAGATATGCTACATCTCTTGCAATTCCCATATAATGGCGAACCGCCTAAAAGGCTCGTCACAGCTGAGCCGGTTACACCAAATCCCCTGCACTTCGTACGCAACCACGGTGGTATCCCGTCCATCGACCCATCTGCATGGTTTCTCCGGCTAGATGGCCTGGTCAAAACACCCCAAAAGTTGACACTTTCGGACCTCCAGGATGAAAGCCGGTTCCCGCGCATGGAGAGGCTAGTAACTATACAATGCAGCGGTACAAGGCGTATTGAGCAGATAAGTCTATACGCTGGCGAGGGAGACGAAATGATTAACGCGCCTTGGGCTGAAGGTGCGATTGGGACGGCCAAATACGTGGGAGTGTCGCTCAAGAAGGTGATAAAATATTGCGGCGGGCTTGAAGAAGGTGCCAAACATCTAGAGCTCGTCGGTGCTGATACGTACTTCAAACAGAAAGAGGTAATGAACTACGCCATCAGCGTGCCTTACTCCAAGGTTAAATCTCACGAGGTTATGCTCGTGTGGGAGATGAACGGGGAACCACTACCAAAGATCCACGGCGCACCAGTTAGAGCGGTAGTGATGGGCTACATAGGCGCCAGGAGCGTGAAGTGGTTATATCGCATAACCGCGATACCGGAGCCGACGAAAGCTCCAGTGCAGAGCAAAGAATACTTGTACTTCAACCAGCAAGTTGGCAAACATAACCAGCGTTGGACTGATGGAATTCAAATACAAGAAATGCCCGTGAGCAGCGCCATCATGTCACCTTGGAATAAGCAGGTCGTATTACACGAGGGCAAGATCGAGGTCAAAGGATGGGCGTACTCTGGAGGCGGCCGCTGGCCCGAGCGCGTCGAAGTAAGCGCTGACGGCGGATTCTCGTGGTACGCGGCGCCGACGGAGAATTTGAGCACGAAGCACAAATTCGCCTGGCGCACTTGGCATATGTGGTTACCTTGCGACGTCGAGGGATGGATAGAGGTAGTGGTACGGTGCTGGGATAACGCCATCAACACTCAGCCCATTGGGGTTAGGGACGCATGGAATTGGGGTTTGCATGTAACGAGCAGCGCCCATCGGATCAGAATATACAGCGTGAACAAGAACAGAGAAAGGACGAGAGAGAGGCTCGAAGAGTTTGAAAGGCGAGGAATCTCTTTTGTGCCTATCACGCGGCCGACTGACTTCCCTCTCATGAGTTGGGAAGAGTACGACGAGTATTTCAAGAAGAACGGACCAAGAGATGTGGACGAGTAACGTAATGATAGCCAGTTGTCCTAGGGACATGTACAAGAAAGTAGTGAAGTCGTATATTTGTGCTTAGAGATGGTCTCGAGCCCTTAGTGGGCAGATGACGTTGGAACGAAAGCTTGTGATTTGTTGTCGATAAGAGAGGCTCATCAGGCGGGATGAATTAACATATGAATCTGAGACATAAATATGATATACTCCGATAACATGTGAGTTCTTCACTATTGTTATTAGATGGTGTTTCCCAAAAAATACGCAATGCTAAGTCGTGTGAGTTGTGCGTTACATTAAGTGGTACGTATTCAAGAGCTTGGCACCGGCAATTCTTGGAATACCGATAACTCGTATAGTAGGTACCTATCTTATGAGTGAGACGGTATACAAATATTTCCTCAGAATCCCTGATATAATAAACTTGATAACTTTGAGAATTTTGAAAAGGGAAGGGGGCAAGGCTTATGCATGCATGCATGGACCCTGAAGCTAGGTAGGAGAAGTTTGATCCGACTAGCCACTTGAATAAACTTTTAATAAATTTGATAGACAAACTTCATTGGGCTCTATTACATCTACCTAACGTAACTTTTTAAGCGGGGATTCCTAGCCGTGGGTCAGTACTATGTAAAGACATGGCCATTAGCGTTTACAACTGATTGCGCTAACCTTAAGTATTGTATTGTACCTTAGGTACTTGCATTGTATGTGTATTTTTGTGAAATAGGGTAGGGAAATAAAGTTTGCACATGGAAATGCTAAGTACCTCATATGGTATATGTACCTAAAGTACCGAGGAAAGTGCAGCACGAACAGCATTGAACGTGGTGTAACTCCCACCCCCCACCTCCAAAAAACATTACTTCATCATTAATTCCCATTTCCAAGTTCGCCTTTTCCATCCAGTTACCTACCTCTCTCTTCCGATTCGGATCATTTATTCCCTTTACCTTTTTAGTTGGCTAGGATGGCGTAAGTGGGAAAGCAGGTCTAGCGTAACTATTTTCGATGCTCAGTTCAAGATATAATATTTTTTTTCTTCTCTTACCTTTGATCACTCATTTTTCTTTTCTTAAGAGGGAATAAAGAGGCGGGCGGAAACGTAGGCCGCCATTCGCTCACCTAAACCCCAAAACTCAGACAATCTCACAAATCTTCCGGACTCCAAAAACTTGATAGTCTCAAGAGTTTCCAGCTCTTATCCAGCGCGTTACACTACACGGTACAGTCATTTCCGGGAATTTCGAACCCGGCGATACCGACCTGACGACAAGATAGCGAACTACAGGTGACAAGTCCACCTCTTAATATTTACAATACTTTGTCCGAGTTTTGGTCGACATCTTCAATCTTCAACCCAAACTAGAAGGTAAAACCAGTTCAACTCAGCCCTAGCCAACACTACTACTACTACTACTATGCACACATTCCTACTTTTTGTCTAATACCGATACCCATCTACCATTTGTTCGATATTCGGCCATTGTTTGCTACACCAACACATAGAGATTGGATTGGGATTGGTTCTTTGGACCCTTGCTCAGTGGCGCATCAAGTCTTTGATATCCTGCCTCGAACGGTTTCCTTAGTTAATATTACTTTGACTGGACAACTCTCGAAAATATAAGTTGCTAGTGCTACCACTGATTACAACTACAACATCAACTACAGCATCCAACTTTCACCTTGAAAACAGGCTGATTGTTGTCCTAGCATGCATGTGTGCGAAGGTTATCAGCCTACAGATCAGCTACCCACGCGTCGTCTCTTTTTGCTTACCGTATTTTTATCTCTTAAGCCAACATCCTGACAATTCTATAGGATAGTATACAATAAAACCGTATCCCGTTTATTCGCAATTATCAATCGCGATATTAATATCCCCAACGAAATTCCTTAAATTTTCCAAACCTCGTTGTCGGTCTAATTCCCACCATACTGTATGCCGATGATCTAAATCCCCGTTGGTCATTTGTGGCCGCAATACCCGCGCCCCTCTGCCGATCCCTATCGTGCGAAGATCATCGACTCATCTATTTCTACACCTTGCGTCGTTTCCTGAGAAACTCGGGCGCGTTTAAGGAAGATGGGTAACACACATACAAAAGATGCCAGGGGCGGCACTCGCATAGGAGCCCAGGGGGTTCGTGGGGATCCTGGTGGAAGTTCATCTGGTGCCGGCTACCATGGGGAACTCCCTGATCGATCGAGACGTTCTAGTCGACCGGACTTGAGTAGTTTAGGTCTATCATTGGGTGGCCAGTCAAGCTCACGCCATCAGGATGCCCCCTTCGAGCATCGAGAGACAAAGCAAGAGAAGGAGGCTAGGAGGTTGGAGAAAGAACGAGCAGCCCGGATCAAGGAGCGCGAGCGTAGTATGAAAGAGGAACATGTGGACGGTGGCTATCTTGTGACGATGGGCGTCTATAACGCCTCTGAGGACTTTAGTAAACCAGTAGTACGCCAGTTACAGGTGAGTGATATGTTGTTTCTGTCTAACCGCCTCGGATTAAATAACTACCTAACCTAAGGTATCAGTCGTTAGCTAACCCGATACACACATAATAGATCGAGAGAAAACTCGCACCGTTCTGGCGTGGGCTGGACGATTTCAACGAGAATTGGGCAGAGCACCAGATAATAGCTGCGGCCCGCGGTCTCGAGATCCCTCCCGCCGATGAAGTCCCCGAGCATCTCGTTCCGCAACCTAGGTCAACCGGCTCCCCAAGCGCTTCGACTCAGAACCTTACCGTTCCGATGAGTCCTCGGACTCTTTCGATCCCCTCCGACACCCCTGGTTCAAATCCGGGCTCAGCTTTACCATCCCCTACCTCTCCTGGTATCCCGAGGACCAACTCACCTTTTAAGCCTCACAAGAAATCTCTAGCCGCAGCCCTCAATATATCTCGAAATAGTTCACATACGGATATCATTACACCACGCGAGGTGAACTTGCCCCACGACCCATTCGTCAACGGCCAGCCTCTCGAAGTTTTTCTATACAAGGACGGAATTGAATGTCCCCTCTGTCTTATGTACTATCCCCCGTACCTGAATCGTACTCGCTGCTGCTGTCAGATTATTTGCAGCGAATGTTTCGTTCAGATCAAACGCCCTGACCCACATCTTCCGGAGCACCATCCCGACGAAGAAGGCGGCCAGGCAACACAAAATCCCGAGGAGCGAGAAGGCGAACTTATCATGGAGCCGGCCAAATGTCCATATTGTACCCAGACAGACTTCGGCGTGACGTACGAGCCTCCCCCTTTCCGCCGCGGGTTGACGTATGCGTTCAACAACGCCACGATGGGTACCATAAGCACGGCGATGTCATCTTCAAGCTCCCTCAATTCAACCCTTTCGCCGTCGTTGACCACGTCCCCTGCTAATGCCAACCGACGGCGGACGCAGAGTGTTTCTGCCAGCGCGCCGGGAGTTATCACCACCGATCGCATCCGGCCCGACTGGTCTACGAAGCTAGCTGCCGCTCGTGCGCAGCAGCGCCGCAGAGCGGCAGCTGCAGATGCTCTACATCATGCCGCTTTTGTGATGGGAAACCAAGAGTCCCGCACGATCTTCGGTCGATCGTCCCGTTTTAGCCGTAGGCATGCAGGAAGCCACCGGGGAAATGAGAGTCCGAGCGGTAGCTCAAATATTCAAGCAAACGATGGTGGTGGTGGCGACGGCCCCGCGGGTCCAGAGCCAGGGCCTCGTACTCTTTCAAATCGGAGCGGTCCAAACCGGGAACGGATAGATGCTGCACACCTCGAAAACCTTATGATGGCGGAGGCGATTAGGTTGAGCCTGGCAGATGAGGAAGAGCGAAGAAAGAAAGAAGAAAAAGAAGCCCGTAAGGAGGCAAAGAAACGAGAGAAAGAAGAACGAAAGTCTGCAAAAAAGAAGGGCGATGTGTACGGAGGCGGCGGTAGTAGTGCTAGCGCAAGCTCCCTTAGTCTGGGATTCGGGCGAAGGCGAGGTAATAGTGCTACCAGCAACTTACGTACCGAAGTTAGTTCAGCTACCCAGGCCAGTAGCGGACCTACAAATCCAGTCTCTAGTTCCAGTTCGGCCTCCCCAAACGACAAAGGAAAGGCAGTTGACCGCAACGAAAATGAAGAGGGTCAAGCAAGCGGTTCCGGCGTTGCGTCTCTGCCGATTCCCGCTTCCTCGCAGCCTCCTCGGGGATCATCGCATCTTCGTCAGATGAGCAACGCCAGTTCAGTTAGCTCTAGCGGGGTTGAGAGTACGCCGGCAAGCTATACTGGTATGCATAGTAATGCAGATAGCGAGGATCCCCGGTCCAGCGGTCTAAGCTTAGCTGCACGCAGTGAGGAGGGTGATAGTGCGAATTCGGAACCCATGTTTAACTTCAGAAGCTTGGCGGAGATGGTTGGTGTCCCTCTAGACGGCGAGGCCCCATCACCCGGAAGTGAAGATGCCAGCCCCGGAAGCAAGCTAGGGGAGGACGAAAAAGCTCACGGCGAACATATAGAAAATGTTACGGACTCCCTCGCTAAAGAGGAGGGAGATAAGAAGGAAAGTCTACCTAAACTCGATACCAGTCAGACTGGCCAAAGCACGGAAGGAAAGAAGGACGAAACCGCCACTCCGCCGCAATTGATGGTTACCCCCGAAACTCCAGCGCCTACAAACGATGACGACGGAGATTCTAAGCGGATCGGGCATATCAACATGGAAGAGAAGCCGCAAGAAGTCACACAATAAATAAGCCTTTCTTCGCCGTCGCTTAATTATCGACAAGAAAGTGGTTACCGGTCAGGGTGATAAATGGGTCCGAAGGTCATGGATATCTGCATCAAGAGGGGAGGCGGGCGCTGTCGACATCCTCTAGTTCGGAGTTAAGGGTTGTATACATAGATGGTTGGCATTCACAGGCGATATAAGTTAATTCCCCTAAACCAGATCGACGAAGTATAAGGAGGGGGCTCAATCCCTCTATTGAAGTAACATTCTATCCGCGAACTTCAGTTTCCTTGTATGTTCCTCGTCGCAAACGATAGAGGTAGGTATCATCGCATAGCGTTTAGTAGCATCCCTAGCTATGTTGACCTATAGCGGCTCACTTTGATATAAGCAGATAGAATCACTTTGTAGCTAGGGAGGCCTTTGCCTCACTCAATGTATAGTTGCGTAGCGGCAGTCAGTCAATATTCGTGTCGTAGCTTGTGCCTTGTAAGATGGTTACTGGGAAAATTATCTCTAACTTGCAGGGCTATGGTAAGGTTAGGACACTATATGTAGCAGCCCATTACCGTTCTACATTTACTTCATTACCATCTGGCTACGGCTCATGTGCTAACTAAATTCCACGGAAGAACCTATACGATAAACCCCTAGGGTTTACACCAAGGATTGCAAAGACCAGACGCCTCAATAGGTGTAGAGTCATAAACCCCATGGATATGATATGGATGTTATAGCTTCGTTGATACCTCCTGGTATATCATAATAGCCCGCACGAATTTCCGCACCGAAATATTTTCGTACGTTATAATAGGTTCAGTCGGGTAGTTTTTTTATCATAGTTAAACAGCCGATAACGGCAATTCCTCCACGTTCACACTCACCTTATTTTTGACGGCGTACTTGAGGAGGATCCCGTCATCGGGTGTGACGCCGACCTCGGCAGGCTTTCTCGCATTGACGAATCCGGGATCCGGACTGCTCCAGCTGTAGTCCTTCCACCGGCCCAGGACCGCCCACATCTTCTCTACCACGTCCTGGATCTTTTGGCGGCGGTCCAGACTCCATCGCCTTCGCTCCGTCTGCTCCGGATCCGACGTCTCGGGCTCGAGCCCCTCTATTACGCTCTGGAATACCCGGCACGTTTCTTCCAGCTCGGGCACGCTCGAGATGCCCATGACGCTTACGCCCACGCGAGTTCCGGCCGGTAGTTTTGGCGTGCGGCCGCCTCTGGACGCGCCGACTCGCGACCAGTTGTCCAGAGCCCACCGGATAGCGACGACCTCCAACTTCTCGCCCGCCTCCGTCGCAAGCGGCACCAGCTCCTGACACGTCTTCCGCAACCCCTCCGGGCTCGGATGCCACGCGGCCAAGGGACCGGCATCCGCGCCCCGCGTCGTCAGCAAGCCCATATTGAGCATGCTGGCGTTCAGCACGACGTCGACGCCGGCGCTCGCGAACCGGGCCATCGCGGAGGCGCCCAGGGTCGTGTTCTGGATGGTGTAGTGGCCGTAGCTCAGCACGGCGTCGAGCGGCTCGCCCGTCTCCGCGAGCACCGCCTCCGCGAGCGCGCACAGCTGGTCGACCGGGTACCCGCTGATGCCGACGTACCGCACGAGGCCCTGGTCGCGCAGGCGGCGCAGCTCGCGCACGGCGGCGAGGACCTCGGCGGGGGCCACGAACTCGACGTCGTGCGCGTAGACCAGGTCGAGGTAGTCCGCGCGCAGGCGCTCGAGGCTGCGCAGCACCGAGTACCGGATCCAGGCGGGGCTGTAATCGAACACGTCGGGGGCGATGCGGCCGGCCTTGGTGACGAGGAAGTACGAGGGGCGAGGGTTGGCGGCGGACACGGACGGGTGCGAGAGGGCGTCGCCGAGGATGAGCTCCGAGGGGCCGTAGTACGGCGACGTGTCGAAGGCGCGGACGCCGAGGTCCAGGGCGCGCGAGACGATGGATACGGCGGGGAGGTCGTACGGGTTCGCGACGTATTGGGTGTTGAAGGTGGCGGTGCCGAGGATGAGAGGGGGGATGGAGTCGTGGAGGGGTGGGCGGGGAGGGTTCGTGGTGTTGTTGTTGTTGGAAGTTGGGTTTGGGGGGAGGGAACCCATTGTTGGAGATTTGAGGGTTTGTTTCTATGTAGGTAAATTTCTATTTTTGTCTAGAAGGAAAGTACCATTAGAAGATGGACCAGAAGTTGGAAATAGATAAATACGAGTTTAGGTAGGTAGGTACCTAAGGTATGAAAGAAGATGGGATATCAGATAGTTGTTCGAGAAAATAGTTTTAGACTCTATTATATCAGCTAGTGGCAGTCGCAGTAGCAGTAACACGAAGATTAGAAATATAATCGAGGGATTTTCAGGGTCTCGGCAGGTGAAAGTGGGGGACGAGCTAGACTTTGGACTATAATTATATTGTTGCTATACCATATTGTGAACTAGTGTACGAGGTTTAAGATCGATCTAGATGAAAATAAGCAAAATATATATGAGGTAGTCTATAGCTATCATTAAGACTACTTCTATCCTCTTTCCACTAACGAGTCGAGAAAAAAAATAGTATACATATCAGTCATAATCGTCATGATTCCAACTGAGGGATAAGAGAAGTACCTGAAAGCTATTGTATGTGAGGAATGGCTTGGAAATGAGACCGGCGGAGAGCCGAGATGGAATTTTGCTTTTTCTGCAAACGGTACAAGGTGTGGTGCGTCACTTTATACGATGTCTCATGTGAAAAATCGATATTATGTTCGTCTTTCCGATCAAAGCCGATCTGATAGGAGAATAGTAGAAGCATGCAAGATAAGAGAGAATCACGTCATCCAGTAGATCCCCGCCATCCCCTCCCCCCTTGCCTTTAACCATGTGGCGCCCGCTACTGCGGTACTTGCCGAGACGGGAACAAGTTCGAGGGAGCGAAAGCGCAAGCCACTTCTTGGAGCCGGGGATAACCAATGTTGATTGCACATTTCTTAGGAGATAGGAGATAAAACAAACCATCTCTTACTATGTAAAAGATAAAAGATTGAAGCATATTTCGGTCCGTATTGCTTATACAATCTTGAGAATATCCATGGTATGAACTCCTATTTGTTTTTATCGTGTAAGGTTCAAATAAGATGGTTACTCCTCGGTGATAACCGTTCTTCATTAAAAGATGTATGAGTTTATAAGTGTATAACTAGCAGACACTCTTGATGTGTATCATATGAGTTTATATTTAATGCGCAGAGACTACTGGACTTATAAGAATATCACTTATACACCATCTCTTATCGCAAGTTGAGATGGGCCAAGAGTTAACCTCAGCCCTCCGCGATCCTCCGGAATGATCGTCTCTGCTTTATACGTTCGAAACCATTGCGATGCCGGGATTAGCCCGCTAGCATTTCCTCGGATTAATAGGCGGCGACATGGCGGATCAGCAACATAGTCCAAGCCTTTTCAAGCAGATCGCTCAGTATCAGAAAAACTCATCTCCGCAAATTGACGCGATGCATATGCGCCGTGGCACATTTAACCGCTTGAACCTAGTGCTCGGCGGTATCCAGCCTACGTCTTACCAGGTTTTGCTATGATCGAAGACCTGCTTGTGGAAGTGAACCGCTCAACCCTGGACGAACACTTATAGGTAAAATCAAAACTGGCCTTTTGATCGTTCGATCAGGTACTCCTTTCAGCCCTTTCTATATTGGACATAAGCTAAGCTTGGTAGCAGGTCAACCCTTAATACCAGGTACCTAACATAGAGTTAGTAGCACCGGTAGCATTTCCCGATCTCCGATGGGCTTAGATGCTAAGAAAATTGTCACAGTAGTCCATGGCGACTCGCCATCGATATTTTACTTCAATCGATGAGTATAACTACAGCCGTGGCAACTTGGTGGTGGGGTAACTCATCAGGTTGTTGATGATATCATGACACTACTAAGCTAGAACGAGGTTTAGTATTATAAATCTTAATAATTTAAATATATCTGCTATGGAGTATACTCTTATACTTTGGTGCTTTATTACTTCAAGCTCTAACTCGATACTTAGTTCGATTTCGCATCAAACAACCTGGGATCTTACTATATACCTTAAATACCTATCAGGAATATCTACCTAGACTCCCTGTCTGCTTTAGGAGGTGGCACTAGGACCATACCAGGTACCTAAAGCAACTTAGAAGTATCTGCTGTAATAGTCACATACCTTTTAATATACCATCCCCTAAACCACGTCTATTATGCCCTTTGCGCCCTTCTCCCCCTTTCTTCTAGGAGATGACTCAGCAACCCATCTATGATTATTCTTGATGTCATGCTTCGCCAATATGAGGTGAAGGAGATCAGTCATTTTTTATATCCTTCCTGTTTATGTGTCCCCCATACACATCGCCGATGCCTCTGCTATGGCATTCCAGGCTAAATTGCTGACTTGGAGTAACCCAGGTCGAGAAGTTGATGTCCATGAGGGGACCCAGGGTGTATAGGATATAGACATATCCACTTTGATTCGACAATTGGAGAAGATCGCCTGAATTGTTTTGCGCATAATTTATTAGCAGAAATTCTGATCGGAAGGTAGCCGTACAGCAAAGCCATTTGATATATTCAGGCTAATGTCAACTTCGGGAATCCTTGCTAAGCGTCCGAAAGACCCAATCAGGCCGAGGGTAAAACTAATTCGTTCTACTTATGACATAGATATGCAGGGACAAACGCCCCTTGATCTTCTCTCGCTCCTACGTTGGCACATGTTATTACAAGATCATGGCTGGGTCTTTTTTCCCAACTCGGGCCATTGTTAACAGGCAGGCAACCCCACGGCGGAGTGACGAATTCCATTCCCGAAGTTTGATAGCAGAGTGATGAAGCCTGCGGTATACAATCTACCGCGTTTAGAAAACTCGCCCTTGGCTTGTCAAGGTTACTCCGGTTCTGGCCAACCTGCCATTTATGCCACGTTGGCTTCAGCCGCGCTAAGAAGCGTTGAAGCCCTTCAAGCGAATGTAGCAAGGGGCAAAGATAGAAACCACCCCATGGATCTTACATCATGAAGAGCATCCGGCGTGGTATCTTAGATGATACCTTGATGTTTGGAAGTACTATATTGGCCTTGCCGTATTGGCCGTTCCGGAGACAGCTCTCCAAATTAATTTCCCTCGGTTGAAGCAATCTCCTGTGAGGTGACGATGCTGTTGACGTTTATTGATATAAAAGCAGAGGGCTCCATTCCAGACACCTGTGTCGACCTGCTGGTTTATTTCTGCTTATAACAACATCTCTCTAAATAAGCAACCATGAAGTGGTCCGCACTCGCTGGTGTTATTGGCCTTGCTGGGTCCGGTAAGTAAAACTATTTAAGCCTTCGCTAGAGGTAAACCTAGACGAGTACTTATAGTAATATAGCTCTGGCCCAGCTGGACTCGAGTCCATTCGTCGACGCGGACACTGGAATAACTTTTCAGTCCTACACAACCACGGATGGTATCACTTACAACCTGGCTCTTCCGGCAGAGGCGACCGGCGATGCTGCCTATGACGTGATCCTCCAGATCGTAGTACCGGTGGAACTGGGCTGGGCCGCATGGGCTTGGGGCGGTGCCATGACTTACAATCCTCTGACTATCGTATGGCGCGACGGAGACAAGGTTCAGTTTTCCTCCCGCGAAGCTACGTGAGTGACTCCTCTGATTATATTCAATATTTTACCCTTGCGGAGCACCAGACTGACCAACTACAGCGGATACTACCTGCCTGGCGCGTACGAGGATGCGAAGTACACGGTCCTCAAGGGCACCAGCGCCAACGAGACGCACTTCAAATTCACGGCGCTCTGCACCGGCTGCGCCAGCTGGACCGACTTCGACGGAAACCCGTACATCCTCAACGGCGCCGGGGACACCAACTTCGCCTACTCCTTCTCCGCGACCCCGGTCGAGGAGCCGGCGAATCCGGAGACGGGCTTCAGCATCCACGACAGCGTGGGCCGGTGGATCCACGACCTGGGCAACGCCCGATCCGACAAGTTCAAGGAGTGGGTGACGACCAACACTATCGCGTAGGTACAAAAGAGAACAACTCGAACAGAACGAATAAGGTTTGGCTTGGACTTATAAATGAGAGCAGCACGGACCTAGAGCTATGAGATTCGAGGTATTTGCTAGGTACGGCGTAGCTTATACTAGATTGGTACCCACGGCCTTGTCGGATTTAGGGGGAGTCAATAGACAAATAATTAAAACATTATGATCTTGTATTGTGCCCATGTAATCCTCTTTATATGTTATATACCTTATAGTCCCAAAGAAGTACATACTATACCTACCTACCTACCTAGTCTGATGTCTTTTTTGCTCCTCGTTCAGTGGACTTCCCATGGAGAGGCATGCTATGCTCATTTACGGAAGGTGTACTATCTTTGCTATGGCGATTTGGCTATTAATATGTTGATAAGATAGACCCAGAATCTAGAGATGGCATTATAGTAGTATAAAGGGGAATAACTCGGATTATTATCACAGAGCAGACCTTATTTCTAGCTTGCTACCTGAAAAAGAAAACGAACTTCCCTTACGCCTATAATTAACTCCTACTAACAGGGATTTCGAAGGTAGTCCGTAGCATATCAAAATTTACATATTTGGTAAATCGAGGGTCCCCGGGCGGGCTCCAGAGCGTATATTTTGAAAGGCCTCATGCGGGTGATGTTCACCTAAGCGGAAGACTAGCCTTCCGAGCGCGGATCCAGTTTGGAATTAGGAAGACCAGTAACGCCAGCAATATAAGAACGGCTGCAATAATCGGGCAAAGAATCGAGAAGACAGTAAAACCGTACGAAGCTCGGTGAAATGTGGCATTGTCTTTAAGCGCGTCGGTTGCTAGTCCCACCTGCATGGCCGTGAGGACGACTGCGATATATACCGTGGTAGCTGTGACCCAAGAAAGATTGGAGGTGACGAAGTCTGTGTAGTTTTGCCACGGGCTGTTATACAGGCGGATGGATGGGAATGGCAGATCCTTTAAGGCGTATATCCAATTGAGCCTATCTAGTCGTAGTTCCCCCCGGCGAAAGCGCTGATGTACGTCTTCGGAAATATCAATTCGCAAGACCTCCGTCGCAAAAGCCCGCCAAGACGCCCACTTAGGGTCGTTTCCAGCGTCGTCTTTAGGCAGGAGGTTTTTCTCGAGTGCTATCCTGAAGTCTTCGGGATGAGTGATGAGACAAGCATACGTATAAAGGAATCCAACTGCGTTCTTTCGGATCTCCTGGGACAAGCCTCCAATACCCCAGCACGCGTCCTCCAAAAGGTAGCGCGGCAGGGGTTTGATGAATATTTTGCCAGTATCCCATATGAGGTGCATATCAAGGGCTTTTGTCAGGACGATGTTTCGTCCCAGTTGCAGCTGGGTGGTAAGGCATCTGGGAGCTCTAGGATAGCCGACGCGCCAGAGCTTGGGTTCGATATCATCGAGGCGTCTGAGCGAGAATTCGTCATTGAAAAAGTCGTTTAACGTATGCTCGTTAAGGACTTCGACGTTCTCGGCGAAACGCCCCGTCCGAAACGATGAGGGGAAATGCTCCCAGGACCAAGATCCTTCGTATGTTCCTCCAGTAGAGTTGTTGGGCCCTGACGTGGTAGATGACCTAGATGAAGACTGCAATGGTTGATTCAGAGGCGGCGACGTTGATGATGGCGATGGTTCAAAAAGATGAGTTTGGAAGGGAGGAGCCTGGCCAACTTGTCAGCTTGACTGTTTGATCATTGGTTCGGCTTGGACGGTAGTAGTCTATGGGTTATAACTTACCATGGTAACGCTGTTGAGACCGACATCGTCTGCCATCATCCCATTAACTAAGATTAGTTTTAATAGCGGTATTGAATGAAGTATAATTTGAATGATGATGAATATATCCTAAAGCCCGCGAATACACTCTGGCGCAATGGAGAACAGAATATAATAGCTTATATCTCGTAGTACTTGACACTGGCGGCTCGAGAGAGCATCATGACTGGCTATTTGGAGCATAACCGCGCTTGGCGCCTTTCGCCAAGCAGAGCCTCGTAGTATAGACCATAAGTGTCAGGATAGCTGACCAGCCTTGAAAGCTATATCGAGAAACCAGGTCTGGCGATCGATACGCCACTCCGGTAAAACCCATGGGTCATGGCTCTCAGCTGGCTTTTACAGGGGATTTCGCCATCATCCATTGGCTCGATATAAAAAAAAAGTAAAATCGAGGAGAACCATCTGGCTAACTCGTACATTTTGATACCCTTTTTATCCTGCATCCTGGCCTTTCTGTTATATACCAACTTTACCAGCGTCGGCACTTCTGGAGTACTCGGCTTAGCTCTTGTATAGATTGATAAGGCATAAGGCTCTGAGCTAGGGCACAAAATGATCAGGTGTTGATTTTCTCGATCTCACGGCCTTGTTAAGTTTGCATACCTAATGTAGAGCCATCCCCGTGAATCCTAGTACCTGGGATCTAACTGCTGACCTGGTAGTAGCCCTGTCTCCGTCGTCACCTAAGTTTTACGTAGATCCTAACAATATATCTCATATATATCCTAAGTATATCTCTTCTTTCATTAGTGGTAGACCCCTTATATTGGCTGAACTGAAGCTATTTTAAAAGGCTCTACGTACCGGAAAACCCGTAAGCATAAGATATTCCGTAGTACTGTAAGAAACACGACATCCCGGTGAATAAAATAACCTGAGAATCAAAAGTCCTAAATACTCTCGACTTAGTATGTATTAGACAGGTATGTCACCATCGCGAAGTGGTTGGTGTTGTTGGTGTTGTTAAAGGGTATCTGTATATCTGGAAGGCAATAAAGGGGCAGTCCACATACGAGATATTATTCATTTAAGGGGTAAGCAGGTAAGCAAGGGTACCAGGTACCTAACCTGATCCTTGATCCTTGAGTGGAGACTTATCCACAATTCTTTTTAAGATCCCGGTACTTTGAGAAAGCGCATCGTCATTTATCGATAGCTTCAAAGTTTCCTTCTTCAACATGTTGCAATCAGCAAGATTTAATATTTCTCTTCTTCCTATCGTCTCCCTGTCGTCTTCGTTGCGCTTTAGACAGGTAGGCGATACTGACAGCGTAACATCTTCATGTAAATACCTGATTAAATAATTACTATGGCCCCTTCGAGGAAATCAAAAGCAAACCAACCTCCATCACCATCCCGAACCTTGATTCTCGACAATGGCGCGTATACGATAAAAGCTGGGTACGTGGCTGGCGATGCCGTGGACGAGCCTCGCGTGATACCGAACTGTATCGGTCGAGATCGCAATAAGAAGATCTACATTGCTTCCGATATTAGTAAATGTACTGACTTCAGCGAAGTCGCTTTCAGGCGACCCGTCGAGAAGGGCTTCATCGTGAACTGGGAAGCCGAGAAAGAAATATGGGAACACGAATTCTTTGACGAAAAGGCGCCGCAACCCTGCGATCCCTCCGAGACCCGCCTAATACTTACCGAACCCTCGAATTCCCTTCCCATTTTGCAGACAAATTGCGACCAGATGGTCTTCGAGGAGTTCGGTTTCGCTAGCTACTATAGAGCAATTGGTATGTCCTGATTGCTAATTTTGCGTTGGGGTTATTAAAGATGAGGTAGGTTGTTTTTAGCTGACAACCTTCACTTCAGGCCCGTCTCTTAATGCCTACCACGACGTACAAGGCATCCTCAGAACCCCGCGAGACCCTGGAACTCTTGCTCAACTTCCTGCCGAGATCTTACTCCTCATCGACACCGGGTACTCCCATACCACCGTTACTCCCCTCCTCCAAGGCAGGCCCATTCATCCCGCTATTCGAAGGCTAGATGTTGGAGGTAAACTCTTAACGAATTACTTGACGCGGCTGCTTTCGCTTCGTCATTATGATATGCGTAATGAGGCATATATCGTGAACGAGATGAAGGAAGCCGCCTGTTACGTTTCCCTCGACTACAAGGGAGACCACGAACGTACCTGGAAGGGCACGAAAGGTGAACGCCGAGAAACCTATCTCAATGGTGGCGGGATAGCCAAAGATTATGTGCTACCAGATTTTCATACCATAACCAAGGGAATTATGCGGGATTTCGATTCCCTTCGTGCCTCGAAGGCTCGGAAGCTAGCTTCTGGGCGAGCTGGAGAATCTACAGAGGACGTATTAACTTTGAGGAACGAACGCTTCTGCGTTCCGGAGCTGCTATTCAATCCTTCAGATATTGGCATTCGCCAGCCTGGTATTGCGGACCTTGTCATGCAATCTCTGCGTGTTTTACCCGTTGGGTTATGGCCTGGTCTCCTTGCTAATATCATTGTCGTCGGCGGTAACTCTCTTTTTGATGGGTTTGTGGAGCGACTTCAAAAAGAGATCGTGCAACTCGCTCCCGATGAATGTTTCGTTCGAGTCGCTCGCCCTGTAGACCCTATAACGAGCACATGGCTGGGCGGTGCCAATCTAGCCAAGCACGAGAATATCAACGCCCTGTCTGTTACGAAGCAGGAATATGAGGAATTTGGTGCGGCATGGGTTGCGCGCAAGTTTTCTACCGGCTTAGAGTTATGATTTACTTCGAGTGGAATCCAGCTCTAGAATATCTAGCCCCACGCGCTGATTTATGTTACAGATGAGAATATCAGAACCTATCAGTCCCCCCGCTTATGACTTATACGTTAAGTCGATTTGGGACGTTTCCTGCCGGGTAAACACATAACAGATATTTCTGCATCAACAGGAATGTATGTCAAAGCGGCCCTCAATCAGAGGCCTCCAGTACTTCAGTCATGTCCGTGCCAACTAGAAGAGTTTGTACTGTTATTTTGATACTACTTGTGCCTGCTTGATCAGAATACTGGTCTTGGGGGTTTTGGGCCAAGGGTCGTAAGTTTATTTCTCAGCGGATGTCAGAGCCATTACCATGGCGGACATAAAATTGGTATCCACCCTCAATGTCTACCTATCGATATCGAAAGGCTGATAGCCTTCAATTAATAAATCACGATGTATACCGATATAAGACGCTCGGAGTTTTCGGGCTTTTACGAGGTATCTATAGACATCAACTATGACTCTAGCCTATAAGGTGAATAAAAATAGATATCCTATGGATCACGTCGAACAGCCAAACAGCTGGAAGCACACGTTGATTTGAGGACTACGCAGTAATAGATTTACTGAATAAAAATATAAATCTGCTCATTCATACTGAGTCGGGTATCATCTCGGCCCTCGAAATCGAAGGGCACGCAAGAGAAACAGTTGCAAGGTCGTAGATCAAATTTCTTCTGATCACGCCTTACCGCAATTAACATCGATATACGTCCGAACCGACCGAACCAAACATAGGAATAATAGCAATAGAGGAGAGAAACCGTAACGCCACCGATAACCATTGGGATTCCTAGGCCACAAATAGTTCAGGATCGTTGTCGTAGTAACAGACATGTCAGTCCATAGCATGACGCTAAATAATTCATGATCGAACACTTTATGGCTCTCAACGGGATATTACATTAATACATCTCGCGGGACCGGCGACCGCTTCGTCTCGAACACCCTATGGATCGTTAGTCAACTCGTGAGCTGCGTATTATTAGAACGGAATAGCCATACAATCGCACTAGAATTTCAGAGTTAGCTCAACTCAGAGAAAAATCCGCAAGGAGTAGACATACCAGCGTAAGCGTAGAGCCTTCGTAATGAATGATACAGTATCCGCCACCACAGGCTCTACAAAGCTTCTGGGTATTGGCGATGCAATCCAGACACTAAAAATCCAAAAGTCAGCCTGACTATGCCCATGGTTACCCGATATAAAGAGGATCACTATCGGGAAAACATACGTTGTGTTCGCATTCCCAACAACTCCGTTTGATCTTTGGGATCTCGGGGTTCTAGCACGCACAACCAACGTTAGCAAAAAAAAAAGAACCTTTGAGAAGAGCTCCCACATAAATCAAATAATCAGATAGGGACTGAGGAAAGCAAGGTTTTGCGTCTGGGGGGAACCTGTCGTCGCATACAATTTCCGGGGATGACCGAAAGCGGGTTGGATAATCCACTCTCGCTATCCCTACATGAGCCAGGGTCATGGGGGAGTGATAGTAATATATAGGTAGGTTAGGTAGATATATAGGTAAGATAGGTAGATAGAATTCCTTCCTGGATGGCCGGGCTTCGCAAACCACCTCAGGGCGCATGGGGACTCGGACTCGACGACAGCTTTGGCTCCATAGCTATCGGGGAGCAATTCAGACAGTAACCCTTCCGTACCTTGACAGTAGGCAGCGCGGCGGCTACCGATTGGTGGCCCGCTGCCCCGTTGGTCTGGCCCACGATGTGCACCAGCTGCCCGCTGAGCTCCTGCCTGCTGGGCACCTGGTAGCAGGCCTCGCACCACCACTGCCCGCAGCTGAAGCAGTACCGCTCGCGGATGCAGTCTAGGCATCTCGGGACGAACTTGTGCGCCCCCTCGCTTCCTCCGGATCGGGGGTGGGGGTCGGGGTCGGGTTTCGGGCACGTCGCCGCCTTGATCGTGGACGAGTGCAGCGGAACAGGTGCCAGCAGAGGCAAGTCCCCCGGCGGAGACTCCCCGTATACGGTGAAGCCCTCCGGCGCTGCGCCGCAAGACGCACAGCCGCCCAGAGCGAAGGTGGCAACGCTCCATTGGCGCTCGGTACCGGGTGCCGGTCCGCGCGGCGCACCTGGTACTTTCCCGAAGGCGGGCGAGTTCTGGTGGCAAGGGCTTGTGCAAAGCACGGCATCAAATCTAATCACCTCGCGGCAGTCCAGCAGCGTTTCGGCCCAGCCGTCCGCGATGTGTTTCCCTATGATGCGGCCCTTCTTGTGGTACCAGTCGTCCCCTTCGCTCTGGATGGACGCGTTCAGCGCATGCTGCGACTTGAGGTTCCAATCGATGCTGATGTTGGCACCTCCGCCCCGGGTGAAGTGATGCCGCCTGGCTATCAAGGGAGGGGCGGGCAGGGCGGGGGCGTCCCTCGTGCCGAAGACATACAGCGCCTTGAGCCTGGGGGTGCCGTCGGGGCTGGGGCGGGTGGATCGGCAGGCGAAGCGCAGGCTCTGCATGAGCTTGCGCTCGTTGAGGTTCTTCACGTCGCGGACGGAGAGGATGCGCACGCGCAGGGCGGGGTCGACGAGAATCTCGTGGCAGAACTCGGCGGTGACGGAGAGGCCGTCGAGGACCAGGGTCTGGACGCTGGGCAGGATGTCGCGGCGGCGGATGTGTTGGAACACGCGGCGCAGGGGGCCCGAGTAGAAGTCGTCTTCGGTGATGCTCTCGTCCAGGTGGGCGCTGGGCCAGACCTCGCTGCCATGGCCGGCTTTGATCCCGGTTAGGTCGAGGTGTCGGAAGACGCCGGGGGTGCGGTACAAGAGCAGGTCGCGGAACGACGGCGAAGTTGCGGCGAGGTTGAGAAGGCTCGAGATAGGCAAGTAGGGGATAATCTGATGGAGGACGAGGGAGTTGGTAAGAAGGTTGAGCAGAGGGTTAGAATCCGCAGAGGTATCGTCGGATGCTGTCGTATGGGGGGAGCTGGATGGGTCGCGCGCGTGGTGCTGGACGATGGCTCCAGATGCCATTACATGCAGGACACAGACCAGCTGTTGATGAAGAGAGAAAGAAGAAGAACAAGAACAAGAAGGAGAAGAAAAAAGAGGGACGAGAGATAGAAAGACTACCTGTTTAGCGGGAAATAATTAACTTAGTTAAAGTTTTGGGATCCAGATTAAGGTACATAAAATAAAGAGGGGATTCGGAGTAAGTTGATGGTCAAAAAGCAAGTTGGTGGTTTCTGAGGGGTTAAGAGGTAGTTAAAGAGTCTCTTGCTTGTTTCAAGCTTGAAGATATATATGGATGCTCTATGCCCGTATACCGAAAGTAGATATAGCCCTTGATCCAAGACTATACTATACCTACCATGGTATATAACTAGTAGATATATACTAAATATGCAACTTGTATGCAGGTTTGGTCTACCCAACTAGATAGGACAGGTAGGGGACCCTGAATAATTAATTTGGTGGTGAGAGGGATGCTGCTACTTTTACTCTGTTCTGTAAGATAAGTCGACTCCGCATGTCCAAGATACAACGAAGTCATCCTAATATACTGCATATCGAATAAGATACCTCCCTCGAGGGATGTCTTGGGTCTTGGGCCTTGGGCAGAGAGGGGATACGATGAGGTGTTTTCCTTTTTACCCCTCTACCGTTTGTTTATTACCTACCTCTTACCTTCGCCCCCATCACTAAGAACCTGTCATATATAATAATCATTAGGTTAGGTAGGTAGGTAGGTACGTGGATGTAAGCATATCGAAAGCATTGGCAAAGGCTTGTTAATTAACAACGCTATGCACTATTGCGTATGGTTTGGGTAACGATGGCAATAATAGTCTTGGGGGATTTGCCTTTGCCTTTCCTTGGCAAGTTGAGCCGACAGGGTGGCATCGCATTGGCAGGCATGCGGGATCATAAACTATAACTGGTCCTCGGGGTGCGTGTCCGCGGGGGAGGGAGTAAGCGACCGCATACCTACTATGTAGTATTATGTAGTATGGATGAGCGTTGAGACCAGCTCAACAGAGTTAGAACTCGCTCTCGAATCTAGACTTTACAGAAAACATGGAGACTTGGGTAGGATTGTAATAAAGTAGCATTGGGATGTCTCGATGTCGCCTTGTCGATAGGTAGGTACCTACCTACCTAAGGTATGTCTTGAATATCGTAGTACACATCTCGGGCATGTCTTTAATGTATTGTAATGCATCCTCTTGGTGGGACGGTTCGTAGAAGTCGGTCAGCGCTTATTATTTAAATAAATACCTCCAAGCTTTGAATGAGATCGTCATTATCAACCATCTCACAATCTTGCTTGGCTCTGGCTTGGCTCCCCTAAAGATTTATAATCGCGTCCCGTCTTGGAACTTCTTGGCTAGACTTTAGCCGTCGTCCTACGCGATGACTATCTAGATGCTTGTATGTATACTGTCATAGGCATTTAGGTAGGTACCTGTTATAGGTGATGGGATGCGGGAAAACAATAAAAATAAGACATGTTTTCAATAAACATACGCAATAGTCTTGGCTCTGTCTGCCTATAATTGATGTTTGTGTTATCAGAAAGAGAATTCGATTGGCTGTTAATTTTTCTGTAAGAGGATTTGACTTATTTATATTGATACTACATAGTACATCGTGGATGATGTTGGCTGGTAGAGTCGATCTTGTGACTTGGGGTTGAACAAATAAAAGGAGATTCGGATTTAAACAGCCGCATGCTCTTCGGGCTTTCTACTATTTGTATTGTATTACTCGAGCATCCTATGAAAACCCCTTAACTTCAATGTTCAATGTTAAATGTTATATATTGTAACTCGAGGTTAGGTCGGCATTGATGTAATTTTACCAATACCTAATGAGGTATATACAAGTTTAGCAAATGCTAAGTTATAATCGATGCATGATTTCGTATTATTGATATTATACACAAGAAGAGTCCACTTTCAATAAAAGACATTACCTACAATCTCTCTAGGTAGGTTAGGTACCTAAGTAGTCAATGCGCGTTGCCGTATTTGTACCTATTTGGTACGTTGAGGAGTCTCTTGGTTTTTTTTCGCGCGCTAAACGGCGGAGATACCGATACGTGTATTTTTGATTACAGTTAGCTAAGTTTAGCCCCGGAGTCGCGTCGGCAATCTACTAAAGAAAGGTATTGTATTGTACCTACCCGAGGAGCAAGAGGTACTTACCTAACTTATTGGAGGTACCTACCAAGTAGGTAATCAATACCTCGAGACAACTCGAAACACGTGCCAAATTATCATTAACGTAAGCGGTAAAATGTAAGAGGGGCAAGTAACGATGTTGTATCTTTCAAGTACCAACCTAAGGTACCTAACCTAAGGTAGGTACTAGGCAATATTAAGGCAGAAGCTGCGTCATGGAATTCGACGGAAATGGGCTGACTGATTTTCGTCATTTTCAAATCCATTTTCCATCTTTCTTCATTCACGGCTACGAACCCGCGATGGGTTTCTCCCCACAACCTTCATTTCTCGTCTAGGCGTTTTTAAAAATCCGTCTGACCGTCGCCCCCCTCCCCTCCCCCCATCCCTGAAGAAATAAGAAATAAGGAACAAGGGGACAAGGGGATGTCTTGCCCAGTCTATAAACTGGCTTTCCCCGAGAACTCATATAAGACAAATCGACGTCGACATCGGTCCAGCTGTTAATTCCGTCTAATTCCACAGTAATTCAAAGATGGAAGACCAACCTCCCATCAAGTGGACGACAACTCTGGATGTTGCGCCGCCGGCAACGTATGCTTCTAAAGATTTGAACGGCGACAAGATCATCCTCCCGCAATCTGCTCTCGAACAGCTTCTTGCCGCTTCGACCGCATCTTCCGTTTCAACCTCGGCTTCGGCTACGAACCCCCTTCGCAACTCCTACGCTTCCACATCTTCCCGAGCCCCGTATGCCTTCGGCGGCGACCCCTATCAACAACTACCGAGTCCTCTCATGTTCCGTCTCGTAAATCCCTCGAATAACAATTCCGTTTATGCCGGCATACTCGAATTTTCGGCAGAGGAGGGCGAGGTGCTACTAAGTCCGTATCTATTAGAAGCTCTGGGAATCAATTTAGACAAGAGGATATCCGGAGACGGTACTGATACTTCCGGTAACGGGTTTATGAGGCCTCAGATAATAATTCACGCCAAATCCTTAGCAAAAGGTACCTATGTCCGTCTCCGACCGCTGGAAGCTGGCTATAACCCGGACGATTGGAAGGCGCTTCTAGAGAGGCAGTTGCGCGAAAATTTCACGACACTCACGAACGGTGCCATCTTATCGGTATCAGGGGGTAAAGATGAAGTTTTCCGGTTGCTGATCGACGGGTTTCGGCCCGAAGGGGATGGTATATGCGTAGTGAATACGGATCTCGAAGTCGATATTGAAGCCTTAGATGAGGAGCAAGCGAGGGAAACCATGAGGCAGATTATGGCTAAGCAGCAAAGGGCACCCGGTACCGCCGGCGGTAGTTCGGTCGGCCAAGAGCTCAATATCTGGAAGTCTGTTAGCGGCCAGGTTCTCCCCGGGGACTATGTAGACTACGAGCTACCCTCGTGGGCTCGGTCGAGGATTCTCGAGATTGAGATTAGCGAACTGCAAGACGAATACGGTGTAGACCTGTTTGTAAGCCCCAAATCCTCGCGCCAGAGGGCTCTCCCTCGCCAGTCGGAGCATGTCTTCAGTGTCTTCAACTATACGCAGGATGGCAGTAAACGTATATCTATCGAGCCTTCTAATGTCGAGCTTGAGAATGCCGAAAGTATACTTATCTCTGTTCATGGATATTTACCCGATGCTACGCCCGCCGACTCGACAGATCTCTCCCCTCGACCGTTTAAGTTAAGGATCAAGAACGCGATGACGGTAGAAAGAGCGGCAACACCAGGTTCAATGGATGCGGAGATACAGGAAAGGTCCCCAGATGATGAACAATGCAAGAATTGTCGCCAGTGGGTTCCGAAGCGTACTATGGTTCTGCACGAGAACTTTTGCCTTCGCAATAATGTGGTATGCCCGCAATGTCAGAACGTTTTCCAGAAGACATCAGACGAATGGAACAGCCATTGGCATTGCCCTCACGACGAATCATACGGCTCATCGGACATCACGAAAGCGAAGCATGACGAAATCTTTCATACCGAGCGGCAATGTCCATCCTGTCCGTTCTCGACCAATTCCATTCCCGATCTCGCCCACCATCGCACCACTCTTTGCCCTGGCAAGATCATCCTATGCCAGTTTTGCCATCTCGAGGTTTGCCAAGAAGGCGACCCCTTCAACCCGTCTGCGGAGATGCTTCACACGGGACTTACAGAGCACGAACTAGTCGATGGTGCGAGGACTACGGACTGCCATCTCTGCTCAAAGATAATACGGCTCCGCGACATGTCGACGCATTTGAAGTATCACGAGCTGGAGAAGGCTCACCGACCAAAGCCCTCGATCTGTCGGAACGTCAACTGCGGACGGACTCAACAAGGCGTTGGTAAGAACGGTACTGTTAACGCCGGTACCAAGATGGGCCAAGGACCCGGGAACGACATCGGTCTATGTTCGTTGTGCTTCTCGCCGCTTTATGTGAGCTTGTATGATCCCGAGGGCAAGGCTCTGAAGCGGCGTATTGAACGTCGGTACTTGACGCAGATGATGCAAGGATGCGGGAAGAGATGGTGCGCGAACGAGTGGTGTAAAACAGGTCGGGCAAACTTGAAGCTGGAGCCTAAACCATCAACGGCGCAACTTGCGCTACCCCAAGTTAAGCCTCTTATAGAGTCGGTCCGTGACGTACATAACCCTATGTATTTCTGTGTTGACGAGGCGAATCAACGTAGAAGGAAACTAGCGGAGATGCTGGCAGCCGAAGGTGATTGGGATTTGGAATGGTGCATTGCAGCTTGCGAAGCTGAGGGAGCCAATTTAGACATGGCAAGGGGATGGCTTATCAACTATGCACCGTCGAAAGAATGAAGTAACGAGCGATGGCATAGAGCATATGAATGGCATGGCTTATAGCATATGGCATGCGGCATACATTAAACGGCGTTGGAAATATGGTTGGCATAGTGATACCCATATGCAAGCATGATAGAACATTGGTTTTTTTTAAAGGAGTGTATATTTATCGTGTGACGCAACCGGTCAATCTGCTACCAGACACGACAAGCCCGGTCCAAAGT